TTTCTCTTTTTCTTTGTTGGAAAAAGTCGCGGCGGGCAGCTCTCTTCTCCGCCCGCTTTTCGAATTCTTGCTTTCTGCCTCGAAACAACAGTACGACGAGGGCAGACACTAAGAACAGCTGCGCCACGAAGAAGCGTACGGTCTGCCTGCGGGATGGAATTTCAATGAGCGGACAGAAGAAGGCGGAGACACAACTTGATTGCACGTCAACGCCTCTCTGTCGCGGCATGTTCCATCGGCGGCTAACTGTCCAAAAGACCCTGTTCGCATGATCGCTAAGCAGCCTTTGACTTGGCAGTCAGCGACTCGCTTCCAAACATTTGCTCGTCAATCACGGTTTGTCTGCTCAGCAAGGCTTTCACTCATTCTTCACTTGCGGATATGTCTCATTGTCAATGTCCATCCTTTGTCAACCAGGGCTCCTCGTGGCTGACTTGGAGTCCAACTTGCTGCTCTTTCACACGAGGGCAACAAGTTTCAGCACCACTTCACCTCAAGTCGAGCCGGGGCGGAACTTCGTAGGCCGAGAAAAGTCAGCGGATGTGCCAGGTCACTTCGCAAGCTTCAGTCTCTCAAAGAAGCATGGAGCCCGAGATGCACAGAATGATTCGTATCGGCACAGATCCGCACACGATCGGGGCGATTCCGGCCTTGGTCACATTGGCAACCTGTCCGCTGTGGCCACATCCCTCGCATGCCACACTCTAACACACTCCATAGGCTGGGTTGCTGCTCAGTCGAATGCGAGAACGGGCGTTGCATTTCGCTGCGTACTATCACCGTCGTGGGCTTGTTGCAGCACCGCCTCTCAGTGACGGGCTCATCGACCGTGTCCCCGACATGGCCGCTGATGCTGCTGGTAAGCTGTTCACCCTCGCCTTGCCCGAACTCGACGCATTCATTCCCATCGTTGTCGAGCGACGGCTGTCCCCTCGACCCCCCGCCACCGAGTTGCTTCCTCCCGATCCGCTTCCACTACTGAATCTGCTCGCCGCACCCGTGACCAGTTCCTTGATCATCGAGTTGTACATCTCCGAATCCGCCTGGTAGCTCTCCCTCAACGTCAGATGATGCGTCAACAGACTCGATGTCGACGTCGTAATCGTGTTCAGATCTCTCAGCATCGACTTGAGGGCCGGCAGGGAAAGTAGCGTGAGCTGATCCTCCGTTTTGTTTACCAGCTCTTGCGCCCTTCGCAGGTCTACCGCTGGTGCTGGACCCAGTCCGAGCTCCTGCATGCGTCGCTCCACCATACGCTCGCGATTCGTACTCGAGCCCAGCGCTGGACTTGAATTGCCATTTCGTGGGCTGTTGGATGCCGATGCCGATCGTTGTGCTGCTGATGCTGGCGCCGAAGTGCCTGCCAGCTTCAAGCTCGAGCTCCTGTGTGGAACGCTGCCGTTCGAGTCGAGCGGACCAGAAGCACGACCAGCTGCGGACGACTCGTACTTCAACTGCAAGGGCGGGAGTTGTTTTGAACCGCCCGACCCTGATGCAAACGAAGAATGAATCTCGTCCAAGTTGACCGGTACGCCCATCGATATGAGATAGTCGCGTCGAGTCTTGCTGCGCACCCAGTCGATCGGCTTGACCGAGGGGAAGCTGGATAAGTCAGCCCAAAGTTGACGCGATTCTGGGCTCACTAGCACTTGCGATGGTCCTCCCACCTGCCGGAGAGCCGTCGTGTCCAAGCTCTTTTCTGCTGCTGCTGAAAGGGGAAGCAACGCATTGACGGAATTTGCAAGTTCGATCCGACTCGACTTTGCCGTCACTTGCAGAGGGGCCCAATCTCGCGTCGTAGGCGGTGCTGCGTAAGCCAGCGCTGGTGCTGGCGTCTGTCGTGCTGCATCGCCCGTTGGTTGCTCAAGTCCGTCATCACCGAAGTCGTCGTTGCCAAAACCATCATCGTCCTGCGCATCTCCGGTCTCGAAGTCGTCAAAATCGCCAAAGTCATCATTTGCAGCTGCACCTTCCCCTACTCCCGCCGGCTCTCCAAAATCGTCGAACCCATCGTCGTCCTCTGGCGGCACTGAAGAATCCGCTGCTATCGTAACCTTCGCATCAAATTCTTGTGGAGTCACTTCGTGCTCGATGTGCTCAGCTTGGTCCTGCCGCGAGTCTTCGAAGGTGTCTATGTCGTCGTCCTCTTCCTCGTCCGGCTCTGCAAGAGCCTCTGCCGCAGGCTTGTCTGCGGGGGTCTCGGCCGCGATACCTTGCTCCACAGCCGGAGGCGCTATCGTTACTGCCTCTTCCTTCACTTCTGTCATGCTGGACGATGCATCTTCGGTCGGTGTTAATCGAGCCAAGTCTGACGTATGTTCCAAGGTCTGGACTTCGGAGGTCGGTGAGCGAGCAGCATCGGCAGCAGCTCGCGAGGGTGACACTTGCTTTCTTGTCTTCTCCGGGCTATTTGCTCTTGAGTTGGAGGCGGAAGCCGCACCCCAACCCGGATCCTCGTCTTCGTACTCGAGGGACAGGCGTACATTCTCCTTGTCTGCCTCGATTCCTGGTACTTCCTTCGATCGCTTGGCCGCCGACGTAGAAGCAGCAGAAGTTGAAGCACTTGCGGGATCGTCCCAAACTGCGAAGGGATCTGAGTCCATGATTGCGATCCAGCCGGTCAGATCGCCTTGTTCAGCCGGGTTGTGGTTGATGGCAAGGTGGAGCAGCGCGACAAGACCAAGCAAGAGGGGTAGCGTGTGCAAGCTGGCTCAACCGCGTTCGGCGAGAAGACACAGCAGCCGAGAATGTCAGATGCGAAATTTGGCGGCAACCCGATCCACCGATGAGAATTTCCGCCCCTTCCACGATTCCAAGAAACCGAGTTCAACACTTCCTTTTGAACTCATAGGACTATCATCTTCTCTCAGCACCATTTTCGGAGGTGTCTGTCACAGTTCACAGCCTCAATTCGATCCGGCAGCCATTCGAGAAGGCTCAGTCGCCAACGATGCCGGTGGCAGACCCTTCCCTCCCGCTCGAGGGGAACGGCAGCGCTTTACAGCCAGCACCACATTCCGCGAGAGCGTCTCTACCGAACTCGACCGACGCGACGCAGTCCTCCTCGACCTCACCTTCTTCGACCTCGATGCCGACAAAGCGACAGATCCTCAAGCAAGTGGCTCTCTCACCCTTATCGCTTCTCTCGCTACTCCCTATCCCATCACCGCAGCGGCTGCTCCTGCACACACTCTCGCTAGGCCCCGTTCCACGTCACATCGCCTTCGTCATGGACGGCAACCGTCGTTGGGCACGTACATCCCACCACACCATCCAGCAAGGCCATCTGACCGGCTTCGCGACGCTCAAATCCGTTCTCGAGGTGTGTCTGAATCTCGACGGTCTCGATACGGTCACGGTGTACGCTTTCGCCATTGACAACTTTCGACGCAGCGAGAGCGAGGTCAGTGCGCTGATGGAGATTGCAAAGACCAGATTGATCGAATTGGCTGGGCATGGAGAGCTCATCGCCCGCTATTCGGTACGGGTTCGGATCGCGGGTAGGAAGGAACTGCTGCCACCAGACGTGAGGGAGGCGGTGGAGAGGGTGGAGAACATGACCAAGGACAATACAAAGGCTACGCTCAACATCTGCATGCCGTACGCGAGTAGGGACGAGATGACAGGTGCTGCTCGAACCTGCCTCGATCGCAAGTTGAGGGACGTCGAGAGGGCGGCCGTTGCTGCAAAAGCGCAGCAGATTGCATCGGACAAGCGCGATGCAGATTCGCAACAGCAGCAGCAGCAGCATCCTTCATCATTGTCGTCGTCGTCGCCGCCGCCGCTCGAAAACGTCCTCGACAATATCGACTTTTCCATCACTCCCCAAGATCTCTCACAAAACATGCAGTTGTCCCACTCTCCACCACTCGACATCCTCGTCCGCACCTCTGGCGTATCCAGGCTGAGCGATTTCATGCTCTGGCAATGCACAGAGTCGACGCATATGCACTTCGTCGACAAGTTCTGGCCGCAGTTTGGGCTGCTCGACATGGTACCCATCATCTTGGACTGGCAGAGGCACCAGTGGAGTCTGGCGCTGCGAAAATCTTGCGGCTGGGAATAGTTTGCTGCCGGCTACCCGCCTCTTTCATCCAGCGTGCTGCATCCAGCAATCCCGCATACAACGTCATACCCTCTCAGATCGTCTTGGTTCGAACCAATATACCCATTGCATTTTCTCGTCCCCACAACACACCTTGTATCACTAGCCCATGGCATGCGTTGTCCCTCTTGGAATTTGACCTCCTCTATCGCTGTGACCCGTCACCTTGACACATCATCCGCCTTCCGGAGCACCGTCTCCTTGGCAAATTCTTCGAGAATTTCCTTCCGGTCTCGCGTACCATCCTCACCTCGCTTCAATCGACCTCCGTCAAGTTGCTTCCCAACCACCTCGGGTTCGGCCAAGCCCTCGCCAGCACCTTGCCTCTGACCATACCCAGCGGGACGGGACCGTAGTGTCTGCTGTCCGTCGAATTCGCCATGTTGTCGCCCGCCAACCAAACGTGTCCCAGGGGGATGGTGACATACTGTACGTCGCCTTTGGAGCGCACGTACGTGTTTGTTTTTAGGTCGGTGGAAGTGAGCTCGTTGTGCGTGGTGGAGTCTGTGTCCATGCTTTTGAGTAGATCTACTTCTGCAGGAGGAGGGGTTGTGGTGGTGGTGGTGGTGGTGGTGGTGGTGGTGTTGTGGGGGGATAGGATGTCTTCGAATTTGACGAGTTTGGAGTCTAGTCCGGTCTCGTTGCGAGGCGGTGGTGGTGGGGGTTGTTTTTGACCTCTCCAGACGGACATCGGTAGAGGCCTCATCCTCGGATCCAGCGCCACCGTATCCCCCGGTAATCCGATCACCCTCTTGCACACCGTCCTGCTCGGATCGAACGGACTCAACGCAACCACCAAATCACCTACCTTCAAGCCCGTTCCCTGCGCTTGATCCGTCTTCGAAAACATCAACCCTCCAATCCTCCCCCTTGATCTGTAAGGATGTGTCTCTCCTTCATCTTCCTGTCCATCTCTCAAACCTCCGCGCAATGATGAGAGAAACCGCGCAAAAGGCAACCGAAGCTGCAGCAGGAAATCTCCCTCCGGTGCCAAAGTGGGCAGCATCGAGGCTCCTGTAGAGTTGCGGATTTCAAAGGCATGTTCGTTGACCAAATGTATGGCGCAGGCGATTTGAAGCGTGACGGCGGTTGTGTAGGCTGCTTTGCTCAGCCAGGGTCGCCCTCGCAGCGCGCTTGAGAAGCCTCCAGAGTGTGGTCGGAACTGTGACATGTTGTCGATCCACCATGAAGCTCTTGAACGATCAGCCGTTGCTGAAAACCCGAGTGGGATGCGTGGCGGTTTCAAGCGAACCTATATCGCCTCAGAGGTGGTGCTGACGAATGCAGGCTGTACTGTTGATGGTTCGCAGCCCCGACAGTGCGTCTTGTGGGCAATTGTCGTTGGTGTTCATCAGGGGTCAAGAGTTGTTGATGTTGTGAAGAGGCTGTTGCATGTGGAGAACCGAATCGAAAAGTCGCCGAGTTCCGCGATATTTTCGCATCAGGCAGCGGCACGCCTGCTCACATAAGCCCCTCCTCTCACCCTCTTCTCACTCATGACCGTACCACTTTCATCATGGAAATACACAGCGACCAAGCGCTCGCAAGACACGTCGAATCAAGGATGCAGTTTGCCCAACCTGGCGGAATGGCATGGGAGAATGATTGAGCAGAAATACAATTGTGGCAACAAAGCGGAGCGGAGACTGAGGTATATGCAAATAGGTGAGTGGATGCGGATAGCATGCAGCTAGCTGCTGATGCATCGACGTCTCAAGGCAGTGCCGCCTTTGCAGGAAGCGGAGAGAGACGATTGTTTTGCAGGAACTTGAGCGGATTGAAGCCCTTGGAAGCCCGTCGAACGCCCATGTCGCCGGCGCCTCGATGTTGTTCAGCGATGGTCGTCAGCTGAGTGTCCGATGCCCTCCTTAGTCCTTCTGCGTGCGAGCGACTCTGGCGGGCGACAGGTGTGCTACTGGCACGCAACGGCTTGGGAGCTTCTTGAGCCACGTCAAAGTCGCTCATGGAAGAAGAGGCCAAGACACTTGGCTTCGACGAAGACGTCTGCGTCCGCGTCACCTGGCCAGGCGAGACGGCTTCGGCATGGACGCGCTCGACGACATTGGCGGCAGCCGAGGCGCGGAACCAGTTCTTCGAATAGTTGAGCATCGTCCTCGACCTGCGCAAGGTTTGATTGTTCTTCCGCGGCGAGTCGTCTTGACTTTCGGAAGTACTGACAGATGGTGCAACTTCGGTGAGCGGTGTCGCAAGTCCGCCTGCGGCGAGCTGCCTCTCGGACTGTACCGTGCCTCCCATCGACTTGACAATGTCCGCCTGCGCGCGTTTGTGGTTGAGGGCCCCAATAGATGCGTTGGTGAACGCACGGCGAAGCGATCCAGTCACCGACGTGATGGAGTTGGTGCGGGAACGACCGCCGGATCGCGACCTCAGTTGCTGCTGCGAGAAGATCTCGTCCGCAGACGGTCTACGCGGCGCGAGAGCATCAGTTCCGATAGCGTGGTGCAGGTCCTGGGTGCTTGCCATCGGCGACGCATATGCTGACGACAGTGCCGAGTTGGCGCTGAAGTCGGCGGTGGGATCGGTGTCGCCAAAGCCCGCATCGGCAGAATAGGTTCGAGACCTCTTGCCAAACGTCATGGTGAGAGAGTCTCGCATACCGTAAAAGCTGTTGCGAGATCGTGGAGGCAGCGATGACACCGAAGCTCGCAAGTTGTTCGTTGAGTTTCCTGCGGATCCGGTTCCAACGATGGGAGAAGACGTCAGCGAGTGCGAGGCTGATCCCGCAGCAGGTCCGGACAAGGTCAGTCGCGGATTCGAGCTCAGAGGCACAGAGCCAGCGACGCCGAAGCTTCCAAATTCGTGCACAGGGAGCTCGCGGCTGGACGTGACAGGCGAAGTGGGCGTCGAGGCAGAGCCCGGACCCCAGGTAGGGCTGCCGAGCTCTGTGTTGACGTTGAGTCCCGTCGGCGCAAAGATACTAGCTGGTCGCACCCTGTTGGCTTTCTTGAGCAGAGTCGACTTCCATCCCTCTCGGTCAGTCGGCGTATCGAGCTGCAGCTTGGTTGACGATCGCGACCGCGCGCCTGGGTGCACAAATTCGGCCGTGAAGACCAAGTTGTTTGGGTCCTCGTCCGCGTCAGGATTCTCGAGCAGACCTGCACAGCTCTTGCGGCGCTGGATCTTGACGGCCGAGGTCTCCTTCGCAGAAAGGCGATTGAGACCGAGGGAAGAACCAACCGCGGATCCAAGACTGGACCCTGAAGCTGCATATAATGTCGAAAGAGCACCTCCGTCTCGAGCGATGCGGGCTGAGATGACCGAGTCGGACAGGATCATCCCGCGATCCACGATGGCGCGAGAATTAGGCGACGCATGTCGCAGCAAGATCTCGGTCGGCATCCAGGGCCCAGACGACGAGCGCTGACCCTTCTGGTTCGAGCTCGTAGCTTGCGCTGCTCCCGCTGCGTGCATCGCCAGGAATTCCATCAAGGGATCGACTGTGCCCGGCTTGGATGAATCAAAGTAGCCCTGGAATTCCGAAGGGCGACTGGCGTTGGGTGTCGGTGCCTCGGAAGCTTCGAGCAGCTCGCCGTCGGCTGCATCGCCAAAGTAGAGGCTGCACGGAAAAGCTGCCTCGGAACCTGATGGCGAGAATGTTGCGCGAGAAATGGCGAGCGAGAGCATATCGATCCAGAGCTGCCTCTCCTTGGTGTTGGACGCGGCAAGCTCGAAGTGGTGCTCCTTGACCGACAGTCGGAACGAGTGAGGGATCAAATTCCGCTCGTCTTCCACGTTTGAGAGGCGGGCGGCCCACAGCGGGAACCAATGCCGACACTCGTACGTCGAATTCTTGCGAACCTTGACCATGATGAGGAAGCCGTGGTAGATCAAGACGCCGAGGTACTTGAAGCGCAGAGGCGCTACGAGCGGGTTCAAAACCCGGTGATGGTGCAAGACGTCCAGCGTTCCTGAGAGCTGACAATCTGCAAGCGATTTGAGGAAGGACGCTGTAACATTCTGGTTCGGCTCGATGCGCGACAAGATCAGATCAGCACGGAGCTCCGACTCGCGACGCTTTCCGGCCTCGTCCACCTGATCGGCGACTTCTCTCATGAGAGAAATGGCCAGGGCAAGCTCTTCGACGGATCCGCCGGTCCCGGAGCTGTGCTTCTGCAGTGTTTGCAATACGAGCGGATATAGGCAGAGTCGCTGGATGGGCTTGATGAGGAAATCCCTGAACAGTAGTCGTGAAGAGTTCTGGCGGATCGCGTTAGGAGCCAAGTTAGGGGTCGTTGCAGTGCTGCCTGGGTTAGAAGTGGCATGCAGAGTCGAGGTGGAGCTCGAGGAGACGTTCGAAGAGTTGGCGGCAGACATGGGCGTGAAGTACGATGCTGGGCTGTTGGCAAACACGTTGGGTGTGTTGGCGCCGGAGGGTGGACGCGAACCTCCCTTATGAGGTAGCCGAGTAAGCTTGAGGATGTCGGCACAGTGCCTCTCGAAGGCGTCCCAATCGGAATGTCGCTTCTCCGCCTCACGGATCAGGGCCAGCGCTTCGCCATGGCGTGAGCAGAAAGCCTTGTAGCACTCAAGCGAGGGTATCATCTGGTTGAAAAGCTTGGCGACGCGGACAACGGCCTCGTCGGCTTGAGGGCTGAGCGCCCTTTCGAGCTCGGTCTTCTTGACCTCTACGTGTCGTTGCTGTCCAGCCTTTCGGAGTCCGAGGTCAACGAGAATGCCCTCCAGTTTGGCCGACAATTTCTGGTGGGTGCGAAGCAGGTCTTCCGAATTCCTCATGACCAACGCCTGGCGAGCGGGCTGGTCGTTGAAGAAAGGCATCGTGCAGAGGTTGTCGAAGAAGACCAAGACCAGTGTGGCGAGATCATCGGCATAATTGCGCTCGGTGTCGATGAGCTCGAGCAGGGCAGCATAGCGGCGGACTTTGGCGGTCGTGTACGCTGCTTCAGCAATGCTCGGATCCATTGCGCCTTCCTCGGCGAGGTCCGGGTATTCCAAAAGCGCGGCATCGCCTTCAGAGATCAAGGACACGGGAGATGCTTGGCTGGGCTGGAGGCTTGGATCGAAGCTTCCGACTTCGACACGTAGGGTGTCTGCAGATTGCTCCTCGATGTGTGATTTGTAGTTGCTCTCAAATTCGGCGCCTGAAGGTACCGAACTGATGGCTGTATCGAGACTGCCAGCGTGACTGGAGCCTGTGGTAGAGGTGGATGGAGTACGGCTGATGTCAGACTGTGCTGCTGAAGTCTCGGTGCCGCTACCATCGCTGCTACTGTTGTCCGCCTCTTGCAGCTTCGGCGCAACAAGCGGAGTGGGTGGAGGTCGCGAGCCGGTTGACGCGCTGAATGGACTCGAGCCGAGAGCCGCATCGATGACTTCTTCGCTGGTACTGCTCGGCATGCCAGGGAGAGGTGAATGTGCTTTGAGATCAATTGCAGCGAGATCAGGCGAGCTGAGGGCGTCAGCGTAGGCAGAGCTGCCAGACCCTTGTCGGGCTAGTGGAGCGCTATGAGGAGTCGAGCTGCTAGATGCTGTTTGACCGGTCGTGTCATTCCGTACCCCGAAGTGATGAAGGGCGGATGCCTCTTCCGCGTCCGTGAGCACTTGAACCAGAGGACCGGTGACATTACGAGAAACAGCCGACTGCACCTGGAAGGCGAGACCGGCCATGCATGCTGGGACCGTAGAGTCCGTGGACGGAGAGACCGGACTCTCCAAGCTATCGCGAGATGAGTGTGGTGGCTCGAATGTGACTCTGCTGCGACGAGGCAAGGGCGAGTGGTGATCCGGCGAGGAGGCCCGCGGTGTAGAGATTGTAGGCGATGCTATGGAGGAAGAGGTACTTGACCGGCTTGCTGGGTCATCTGCATCATCGCCAGAAGCATCTGCAGGACTGCGATCCGAAGACGGAAACTTCACGGCTGTCGAGATCTTGTCGGTAGGAAGGCGACGCGAGGGGATCGGCACGGCTGATGTGGCTGACTGCATCATGGTCACCGGCACAGCCTGCGGAGAGGTCGAGCCTGATTCGTTTGCAGACATGGTGGAGGACGTGATCGTCGATGCGGTGGTGATTGCGAGTCGCAGTCTTTGCGGGAAGACCGCTTCGTTGGGTTAAGTGCGCAGGCCAAGAGTCCCACAGAGGATGTGAAATGAGTGCGAGCTGCACAGTGATGCGCAAGCGTGCGCAGCGTCGGAACGAACTTACTTCGTGACAAAGAGCCGAACTACGTGCGCGATGCTTGTTCAGCGCCCAATTGAGTTGCGACTCGGAACAGACTTCGGCAGAGCCAAAACAGCTTTGCTTTGAACAATGTCGAGGCGAGGCGCCAAGCAGAGTCGGAGGATCCGCAGAACGAGAAGCGTCCGGCGGACAGCGATAGCGCAAGTGAAAGCGAAAGGGAAAGCGCAGAGAAATTATCTGTTCAGGTCGAGAGAGCCATCTCGCCCCAAATAGGCTTTTGATGAAAGCGGCAGATCAAAGCGGACCAAAAGATCCTCTGTCTGAGTGGGATGCAGACTATCGAGAGCTTAGACAGGCCCTTGAACGGCGGCTGGCCAGTCGGACTCTGCTAAGCAGTCTGAGCAGACGGGTATATCGAGCAGTTTTCGTGGGTATGCGATTCGAGTTGTGCGCGACTTGAGAAGAAACGAACGTCGATACGATGCTGTCGCGGTCGGTGTAGTGGCGGATGAGAAGAAGCGCCTGGTATACCTAAGCACCTTACGTCGACAATGAAGGACTAGGAGAGTGCGTTTGGTATCGAGTCGAGGTAAAGACGGTTTGTGGCCACTGCTATACTGCCCGCTGGTGGTGGTCGAGCCGAAGATGAAGTATGGCAGTCAGAGCCTGGTGTTGCAGTCAAGGTGATAATGATGATGGGGACGACGACGATGATGCTGATGAAGAGGAGGAGGAGGAGGCGCAAACCAGGTGAGGATATGAGCCAAAGCCAAGAAGCAGGATGGGAGGAGCAGGAGGAGCAGGAGGAGCGAGAGGCATGCAGCGAAGGATCCGGAACTCCCGAGTTGACGGACGAGTCTGCAGCATGCAGCCTAGCAGGAAAATCGACAGGACGCCATCCGCAGCGTCAAAAGGAATGCGAATGAAACAGCAGCAGCAGCAGCAGCCAGAAGATTGCGGACCGAGCCGTGTAAGCGAGCAAATCAAACCCTGCACCAGCTCTTTGACAGAGAGCGAGATTGGACGGATGATGAGGACCCAGGAAGAGGATCGAACGCACATCGACAAGGGTCTAGTCGAAGGTCAGCAAGGGCGACAGGCCGATGGGCAGAAGAGCGCTGAATTGCCTTCGAGTGGGGACGTGAGGCAATCCGGCTCAACCCTGCATCTTACAACAATTGCATCGCTTCGCCATCGAGTGGGGCATGCTCCCGCATCGACTACATTTTGACAACCCAGGCCCAGAAATTACAGTAATTGTGGGAATTTCTCGTAAGAGGAAAAAAGAAAGGCCAAATCCGCACATGCAGCCATGACCTTGACACTGCTGAGCTCGAAACAGCTGACAATCGTCGTCCTCAAACCAGATCAAGACCGGAGCACGAGATGCTCACCGGTCTGATTGCTCGCTTGCTCTTGTTAGTGTCCGTTGAGCGGGGCGGAGGCGAGCTTCACGGTCGCGGTTGACGCTCCATGCCTATACTCGCTCAACGCTGCAGTAACTTGCAATGATTCGGTACAGCGGGTGCACCCCTCAAGACAGCACGGTCGGTACGTTTGGAACCTCCCGGAATCCATTCTGTACTGCACGTCTCTTGACGTTTCCACCAGCTTCGTCGAAGCTTGGCCAGGCACGCTCTCGAATATGCTCTTCTGGCTGTGAGCTCTGGCTAGCGACTCATTCAATGTCGGATCGAGAAAGCAGACTTGTCCTATACCAGTGACTAGCCATGCTATCAAAACATTCAGGTTGTCACAGAAGAGAGATCTCGAGCGAGGAACAACATAGAATAATGTGTTTCGGAAACGCCGCTATCGGCGTTGAGGGTCCACATGCCGGTGGCCTTCGTGCCCTCCCTCACATCTCCTACTTCCCTCTCCGCGAACTCGATTCGGATTTTCCGAGCACAGACAAGTGCATCCGTGTAAGTCGTGAATGGAGGATGGCACCGCCGACGCTTCTGACACGAACGAGATGAAAGCAGCAAAACGCATGAGAGCGAGATGCTCAACGGCGACCGCCTCTATTCTTGGCCAAGCTTGGCTACTCGCATCTCCGACGCAGCCGAGAGCCACTCGACTCGAGTCGAAGAGGCGACCGGTTGAGGAAAACTTGGCGGCAGCTAAAACGCAGAAGAGAAGATCAGACGCAGAATGTCGCAATCGCGTCTCCGGTCCCGGCCCCATCTCGAACCCTTGCGGATCAATTTTTCCGCTTTAGCGGGTGTGAGCGTGCGTGTGTTTGTTGTGTTGTTTTTTTTTTGCGATGGAAGGATCGCGACACGGCTACAGTAGCGGAAAAATCATGATGAACATAAACTTCAAAATTGTGATTCCTTGCTTTTTTTGGTCGGTGTTGCCGCAATCGCACCCGGAGTTGAACCTCGCTGAACAAGTCAACCCGTAACCTCCGTTCAGTTGGGCGGCGCGTCGGTCAAAGAGAAACGCAACGCTCTCGTTTCTCGGCCAATCCGATCTTGAACGATTCCCGCTCGTTTTGGTTCTGAGCTGACCGCGTGGAAGAGTCGAAGCAGCGTACAGTGCCCAGTCGCTCCGCTAAGAATATAGATAGCCATCCTGGGGATGGAAATCCTCCGATGTCGATGCGTGTGAAGAATTGAGTCGAAGCCGAACTCGGTGGCGCATTCCAATGGTGACGAAGGTGAGGGCTTCGTCGGATATCACATGCGGACGCGAACAGCCGACACGTCGGCACGCTTTTGGACACCCACATGAGCCACCGAGCAAGGACAGGCATCAAGGCAAGATCAAAGAGGCGCTGTCGTGCTTTGTGCTTTTCTCTTTGGCTACTGATCGCGACACGATTGCTCAGTCAGTCGTGTAACAAGAGGACCAACGCGAGAGAGTCTCGATCCGCATCGAGGGTTTAGTCCCGTCGTTCTCAGCACGCGTTCCGTTTCCTGGGTGTGTAGCGGATTGCGGACCTCTGGCCAAGGGATTGATTGGAAATTTCTTTCGAGCGCTTTCGCCCAAGCCACGATCTTACTTGAACCCTGCAGTGGACAAACAGGTGCGACGTCGATCGGTGGAAATTTCCATTTCGATTATGGGATAGGCTGGAGACGAGCTACTACTGTAAGTCGAAGAGCAAGCCACCATGTGTGCAAATAGATACAGCAACGCAGGCACGACTCAACGTATGCTCCTCGCTCTATCTCCGTGCGCGACTCATTCCAGCAACTTCTTTGGCTTCGATGCGGAATCCTGTCTCATCGCCGTCAGCGAGCGGAGCTGGTCGATGACGACAACTCCGCCTAGACAGGTTGTGTGAGATTTCGCAGTAAGCAAGCATGCCGGTGAGGATGCTTCTCGAAGCCTCAATACAAACAAGGAAACGAAGCATGCCGAACTAGTCGATTCCTGGAGAGTGACGACTCCGCGTAGCCTGCGAGGAGAAGGTTCTTGACCAGCCTGCAGCGATGATCGACCGAGGCGACTACGGGTCTGAGCTCGCGATGTCGACCGGAACCACTTATCAGCAGCTTTTGGTCTCAGGTCCCTTCGTCTCGGCTCGAGAACGACACACCTTCGCCTAGTTCTCAAGAAACGAATGCCTCGGAAGGCTGTTTGTCAAGCCAATAGCGACCGAAGCGTAACGCTTTCCGCAGGTCAGAGAGGACCACGCCGACTCGATATCGACATGTGCAAATTTATTTGATGAGCTGGGCTGGAGGCGGGGCGGACGTGTCTCCATCCTGGCCGGTACACGGCACCGGCCAACGCAATCGCACTCCTGACATCGAAGAATGCAGCGTCTGAGACCGGAACCTTTGAATGTACGGAGCGGAGCGGCTTCGGCGCGACAAAAGTCCGGGTGCATTTCCTCGCCCGGTCAGCGCAATTCGCAATTCCAGGGCAGCTCAGCGTGCCCACACCTCCTCTTCCAATTGGGCCCCTTGGACGCGGCTCCCAAATATTCAAGTCGTCAAGGACAGCCAATCATTGGTCAGCAGCACAGCACAAAAGCAAGGCAAGTTGGCCGATTCGATCTGCTTACCCGGTGTGTTGCAACCGTTCTCAATACAGTAATGCCAGAATCACGACCTGCAGTGTGCAACGTTGCAAGTGAGGCTAGGAAGAGGCAACAATCCGGCTCACGATCCAAACGAGACAGGGTCCAACCTAGGCACCGCAAAGAGTCCACGCTGCTCGTACCCAGAGCACCGTAACGTTTTCCTTTCTTGTTCACACTCGACCGTCAAGGTAGCCACCAGCCGAGGTCTTCTAACATCGAACTGTGTTGTTGAAATCAGCCATACGAAAGCTCTAGTGTCGAACTGGTCAAATCTCACGACGGTCTTGTTTGTGCCTCGCTTCGAATTACCTTACACCATCAACGAGGTCCCGGTCTCGACTGAGTTTGGGCGTGCTACCGATGAAGATGGTGCTTGCGGGAGCCTGCAACCGCCTTGGGTGGTTTTGGTGCTCCTTTTTTTTCGATCCGCGGATCGTCGAGAAGAAATCATGGAAATTGCCGCGGGAACAGAATGACATCACTTTGCAGCCGGGCCTTGATCGCAGATATGCGGAGGTGAGGCTCGACATTTTTTGATGTTATCACAACAGTCTAACAAACAGTGGGTGACAAAAAATCGTCGTAGATACACAAGGGTCCAAAGGATGCATCTCTTCCTGCAACGTGTGCATCAAAAGCATGTACACGCACACCTCCTCCTTGCAGGAGCCAATCAGTGTCACGACATATTCACTCCGAGCACGTTCACCCATCGGGCCATCGCAGCAATACACGGACACCCCTCCGAACAACACACTAGCCAGATAGCACCAACCCAATCAACTTGGGGCCTGACGCAATGGCAGCCAGAACCACTGCCCAAGTTTTGCACTGGAAAAAGCCTTGGTAAGCGAGGGTCGGGAAATGCCCGACGACCGCGTGCTTTTTTCTGTCGCGCGCACGCATATCCCGACACCTCACTTGCAGCACTCTTTGCCATTCGCCTGGAACGGTCATTCGCTTCGAAGGGCGACGCACTGCCGACCAGCTCGCCTTGTCGTGTCGGATCAAGCGAAGCCTCCCATGGGTATGCAATGGCTAGCTGCACACCAACGGCCAAGCATATTAGCGCCAAATAGGACGAAGCGCTTATCGGGTAGATGCAAAATGGAGCAAGACTTCTTCTTGGCATGCTTTTGGACCGCAATCACCTGTTTTTTGGACGTCTCACCTCCTTAGGATGGAGCTCCGCAGGTTTGCCTTGGCAAAGCTCCAATTTGGGTGACGTCCCTTCAAGACACGCAGAGATGATCTTGTGGAGAAGCTCAACTTGTGCTCTCAAAGTGACCGGAGCACTGTAGGCACCCAGGTAAAGGTTGGCATCTCAGCCCGTCGGGAAGCGAGCTGTGGACGAAAAGAAAATCGCCTTTCTCGTTTGCCCCTCGCTCTGCTCTTTTCATAGGGCTCCTAAGGTGAGCCGTGCTTCGGGGCGAGATGAGTATCTCCAGATTCCCCAGCCTTCGGACAAGTTGATCCGCCACAGAAAGAGGACCCTGCAGAGAAAGGAAAAGGCTTTTGGCGCGCAAAGACCCTTTTGGATGGTGGGTGCTTAAATTGACCGACGCAGCTTGCCTTTTCTCCCACCAACGCAAAATTGCTCCCATGACCAGCGTTGCTCGCGTAGCTTGAAACTGCACCGCCTTTGCCCTGACCGCGGTTCACGACTTTTTTGAGCGCAACAACTCACCACATGGTTGCGGCGTCTGCTCTTGTGTTGGTGTCGAGGATGCAACCATGGCTGGTATCAAGGTGCAACGACGGTGTGGGCGAGTGGTGATGAAACGAGGGTGGGCGTGGTCGTCGCTGTTCCGAGGCCCTCATGCTTGCAGCCAAATCTACAGCAATCGATGGGTGAACGTGGGTTCAGGTGTGCATCGCGAGCGATTGTTGTGGGAGCCTTGGTGGGAGCGCGAAATTCCGATGTGTTGACCGAAAATACGGGCCGTCGGCCAGGTTTCTGTTGCATCCAGTCGTGGGAATCGGGCTCGTGCGTCGTTGGTATTTACACGTTGTTTTCAGGTGACATCTACTGGAGACTAGCACACTCCTGTTTCAGGCGTGATGTGATCAACACTGATGGCACTGTGGAGTTGCAACGCCATCAACATTGTTGTTTACGGGGCCATCAGGAAGGGTGGTGCAAAGTCGCTCGTATTGGTGAAGAAAAGTGAGAAGGAGACAAGTGACGATTGGACAACGTACTTTATACAAAGCTCCGCTCAAGCTCACTCGGAGCTGATACGATCAAAGTTGGCATCAAAGAAGAGATCCCGTCCCATCTTCGTCCCTACCTCGGAAGCGATCGTCTCTCCCTGCCAATCCGTCAGCCGGAACGTGACCATCGTCGAGCTCTGATCGAACTGCCTGGTAGCATCCTTCAGATCCCACTTCCAATACGAGCTGTCTACATGACCCGCTTCCATCCACCCGTTTCCAGCGAACTTCATCTCGACCCTGACCACGGCCTCATGATTACCCCTGATCTGAACCTGGAAGAAGCCCGGGCTGGCACCTTCCCTCCAGTGAACCTGGAGCTTGCTGATCCCACTGTTGCTGCGTTCGAACGCGTCTTTGCAGTTGACAAACTTCCAGGTGATCGGAAGCTTGCTACCAGCGGCATTGTTGGTGACGCTGTTCCACGCATCGAGGTGCATGTCGAGACCGGAGTAGCACTGATTTACGCCAGGGCAGAGGTCGCTGACGATGGCAACGGTCTTTTTGCCAACGGGTAGCGTTCCACGCGAAGGCTGTTCGACCGACCACTCGCGGTTCTCGAAGAGAGAGGCAGAGGTGGAGGCGATCTCGACACAGGTCCCGCAGGCAAGTCCGTCTTGGAAGAAGGACTGATCCATGGCGACAAAGGGCAGGTTGTGGTGAGGTAGAGAGTCGAACATGCATGCTCCTCCTTGCCAGAGTCCAGCGCCGCCGAATTGGGTTCCGGGACCGTGGTGGATGAGCGAGGGGTTGAACCAGGAGGGGTTGGTGGTGGAGGTGGTGGGGAGCGTGGTGCTCCCGCGGACGCCTTTGCATGAAATGCCGGAGCCTTGGGCGTTGGAGGAGGGTGAGGAGCTCGGGGCGTAGCCTTCGGGCTGGGTGGTGCTGCCGGGGCTGGGGTGGCCTTGCTGAGAGCCTGATTGGGGGGTGTTGGAGTTGCCTTCGGAGCCCCATGATGCACTGCCAGGAGCAGGCTTGCTGCTACCACCAGCGGAAACGTCGCCGGGCTTAGACGAGGTGTTTGGGTTATCGCTACCATCGCTTCCGGAGACAGGTGGAATTCCAGCAGCAGCAGCACCAGCAGCAGCACCAGGCTGCTGATCAGCTGAGTAGCCCTTCGGCTGCGATCCCTGGTCAGCATCTATTTGATCAGAAGGCGCGCCTACGGAAGGAGAGCCAACACCACCACCATCGTGGTTGACAGGTGGCACACTGCCGCTAGCTTGACCGAGAGCGCCGCCGTTCGAGTCCTGAGCCTTGTGCTTCGACGCACACTTGCCCTTCTTCTTGTGCATCTTCTTCGGCTGTTGATGGTCGTCTCCAGAAGAACCTCCCGAGTCACCGGCAACGCCACTTAGGAGAGTCCATGGCTGAGCAGCCGAGTTGCTGTTATCGCCAAGACGCTTGTGCTGGTGACCAGCGACGTGACAAGCCTTGCTGTGTCGCTTGGCGGGAGCGTGTCCAAGACCAGCTTGGGTTGAAACCAGAGCCTCGACAGCCGAAGAGGCGAGGACGGCCGCTACGAGGGCAAGGGCGGGCGTAAGTCTCATTTTGAGTAGAACGGAACGAGACGAGAGTGGGAGTCCTCTTTGAATGGCTTAGAGGTGTTAAAGAGTGTGTATCGAGGGACCAGCCCAAAAGTTGGATAGAGACCGAAGAGGAAAGAGAGAGAAACACGAAAGAGATGACGGAGCATGTTGCAAGCTGATTGCGTTTGGGATCTCCTTATATACCTGCTTCTACTCTCAGTAAAGACAATTCAACCAGACGGACAAATTTTTCTCGGCAGTGAACGAGACCACGACAACCACTTTCTCATACGCAGCACCAATGTTGCCCATCCGTTGATGAAGTGGGCCGCTCTTCAATGATGATATTGCACAGAAACACCTCGCAAGCCGACCGTTCAATGGACCGTATCTTTCAAGGGCGTTCGGTTGTCCCTGATACGGATCGACGGCGGTCAATTGCACCTGAGCTCCCGCCAAGAGTCAACGATCGGCTTTCCACTGTATTCATAAAGGTGCCTGGTGGTTACCTGCAGCCCACCTGCATGTAGCGATGAAGATCATTTGCTCGCTGCGTTCACGATGAAGGCTCATTCCTGCACCTCAAGACCCATTCGAGGTCTCACTGTATCGACGCTTTCGCAGCATAGGTGTCTTGGTGGGGAGATCAGTGCAGGCCCATCTGTGGCCATCCATGACGACCCCTCTGCGCAGCTCGACAAGTGACACCGAGATCCGAAATTTGTCGCTTTTCTGAAAGGTGGAGTTTTGATTTTACGCGATGTGTTGCACAAAATGGCATTTCTTCCTGAGACCAACACTCTTTTCCTTCCACCACGAAGTTCACGCTATGAACCTCGACGTGGGCAGACGCATCTCTCTCGGTCCGCACAAGGGCACTATCCGCTACCGTGGTCCAGTCCCGCCTTCTGCCGGAGAATGGCTGGGTGTCGAATGGGATGACCCAACACGTGGCAAGCACGACGGTACCAGCGCAGACGGAACCCGATACTTTCACGTTCGAATTCCCGGCAGCGGATCTTTCATCCGTCCGACCTCTTCTAAGCTCTCGAGCGGATGCAGCTTTCTCTCTGCACTTCGCAACAAGTATTGTCCTCCAACCGAATTGTCTGCAGCGGCGCAGCGGTCAGTGGGACGAGAGCAGCAGTATTCGCGCAAGAACATCGCCGACATCGAAATCGAAACTCCGAATCTCGATCGCATCGCGATCAAATCCGCACGGCTCGATAGATTGAAGGAGGTCGGTCTTGGTGGATGGAACTATTCTTCACTATCGGATGCGGATACTGAGGCGGGTCAGGATGCGCGGTTTGATGTGGCCAGAGCGTACGAGGAAGGGGAGGGGGAGCGTGGTGGAAGTGGCTCGATAAGCGCAACGTGTCCGAACATTAGGTGGCTGGATCTGTCGAGGTCGTTGTTGCCCGATTGGGAGGAAGTTTCGTTGATAGCTGGCGAGTTGAGGCAGCTGAAGACGCTTCTGCTGCATTTCAATCGGTTGCAGTCGCCGCCGGAGGAGATACCGCCAAGCTGGGGGGAGAGGTTGGGACATATTCAGGACTTGCGCTTGGATGGGACGCTGATGCAGTGGTCTGAGGTGGTGAGGCTAGCACCTGCATTCCGGGGCTTGCGCTCGCTACACATCGGCAGCAACGAGATCGTCACCCTGGCTGGGAGCAGCGTAGCAGCTGGGAACCAGGGTGGGGCGGAGATCTTTCCATCCCTCACATCGCTCAGTCTGGAGGACAACGGGCTCGAGTCGTGGCCAGATATCGTCGCGGCGCTGTCTGCACTTCCCAGTCTTGAGACGCTCAACCTCGATCGCAATCGTATCACCCACATTCCACCCGCGACTGCGACGTCTGCAACACCCAGACTATCCAGACTCAAGGAACTTCACCTACGAGGTAACGGAATCGACGCATGGTCCTCGCTCGAAAACCTTGCTCACTGGCTCGGACCTTCTACATCGCTCGAAGCACTACACATCTCCGACGTCCCGCTCGAAGAAGATGCAACCCCATCTCATCCAATTGAGTCAGACAATGACCTACTGTCACAGTACGAATATCGCGACTTTCGAGCGCTCGCCATCGCCCGTCTCCCCACGCTCAAAACCCTCGACAAGACCGAGATCACACCCAAAGAAAGACGCGATGCCGAACTGTTCGTCTACACGCGCTTTCGTGAATCCGACGCATACATCATCCAAGGCGGTGTATCTCGACAAGGTACACACGACCGATTGGACTTGTCGAATCAAGAGAAAGCCGAGAGGTTTCCGAGATTTATCGAGCTGGCCAAAGTCTTCGACGGAGAAGAGGCTTTCTCCATTCCGTCGGATGGTGCGCAGGGGGAGGGGGGAAAGAGTGACAGGAAAAAGAATACGCTCAGATCTAAGATGCTCCGTATCTCGGTGGTCGTTTGTGCAGCTGCGCCGGTTGCAACGGCACCTCATGTTACCGGCGAGGTTGCGGTAAAGGAAGGGGTGCAGGTGTTGGCGTCAACGCCGTTGCGGTTGCTCAAGATCAAGTTGGCGTCTGCGGTGGGGGTCAAGGTGGGACAAGTGGGAGCAGTGTGGGCGTTGATGAAGCAGTCGAATGGAACTGAGGAGGGTGAGAAGGGGGATGGAGGGGAGAAGATCGTGCTGGAGCTGGACGACATATCGAGGAGTCTGGACTGGTATGAAGTGGCGTCAGGCGATTCACTCGTGCTGGTTGTCGATTCGTAAGCTTTCATACAAGTGCTTTGGTCAATTGCGCATCGCGCCCATCTCAATGCACATCTCTTACACACAGCAGACACCAGACATCGCCGGGGCGGCGACCCTTCCACGGTCGTTGCGATAGGAATTAATTGCCAACATTGCCGCGCTGAAGCCTTGGCTGCGATCAAGACGAACAAAGCTTTCAAGGGGTCTCAGGATCCCCGACAACGATCGTGCCCGCCTTGTTGGACTCGCCACCCGGCAGCGTCACCTGGATGAAGTCTGGCTGCTGCTGTCGCAGTCTCGCGAGCCACCTCGCGAACGCATCCGAGTCGGCAGGCGGATGATCAAAGATCCAGTGGGGAGGGATGTAATGCACGCCGACACGGGCGTCGTCGGGTTCCTTGCCGAGCGAGGCTGACCAGCCGAACCACCAACGACGGTCGAGCTTGCTCGCGGCAGGAGCGGGGCTGGGCGAAAGCGAGCGTCGGATAAGCGGGATCTGTGCCTGTTCAGAAAGAGCGAAAAGGCAAGGTGTCAGTGATGGTCTAGAAGCAAACTTCAAGCATGGGACAACGTACAGCTTGTGCGTGTAGTGCGGAGGAGATGGACAGTACTGCTGCAATGAGCAGCAGCAGCTCGGAGCGAAACAGCATTTCTCCGAGTTGTGACGGTGTGTCAAGACGTGTGGACTGTTTTGAAGGACGATCGTGGTGATGAAGCAGATCACGTTCAACGATCCACAACGAAGTGAAGCGAAAGCGAAACGAGACGAAGCTTCAAGACGGACCGATGCCCATTTATGGTGTCTTTCGAGGTGTGGGGCACGCAAAGTGAGGACTGTGAAGTGATTTCCCGCACCGGTCTCGGCGCACCACTAGCCTCCTGAAACACGTTTCTGCCGCCCGGACTTCAAACAGGTGGGTTGGACGGAGATGAGACGTCAACGGAAATGGTGACGTGCTTTCCAACGTAAAGCGCTCGGCATCGCATCGCAAGTGGAGACGGCCGAAAAGGGCAGAGCACTTTTCCCACGATCAGTCGTATCGGTGGCGCTGGGTCACAATTGATCCACCAAACTTCATTACTAGGGTCCTATCAGCTCTCGATGAGGGTATCGCTCTGAAGATGCCAAGAAAACCACCTCGTGCAGGTACGAAACAACCAGCTACGCGACGTCAGTCAGGATGTCGCATGAGGTACATGTTGGCATATTTCGAGGGTCCCGGTCACCGTAACGGTAGCAAACGTCAACGCGCATGGCGTTGATTGCGGGGTCTATCGTACGCGTGCGCGTAACGAGGAAGGCAGAGTCGAGTGGGAGTATCAAGGCGAAGCTGAGTTGGTCCGCGAACAGACCGCTTCATTTCGTTGTCGAGGTGTATAAATCCTACAGTTGGTCTCCGTTTGACAACCAGGGCGGGAGGCTTTGCCTGACCGTCGGCTTTGACGACGCCGATTTGAAACACCGTTCCGTGTTGTCAGAACAGCGTGTGTCACTGTCAAATCTTGAGCGTTTCTGATGACAATTTGGTTGGCCTGTCGACGTCTCTTGCTCTAGACGATGTGCGTTGCTCCGGCTCATCGGGGAGTAATCGCCCCGTTGTAACCTTTCCCGGGTAAGTATGACGACGGTCGCTCGGACAAGCTCCCTTCCTCATTTTGTTTGTGGTGACTCGAGCCCCGTCCACAAAAAGTCTCACTAGGACATGAGATGGATCCCTCATCCCCCCAAACACGAGCGAGAGGCTTGGTGAAACCCTCATAACACCTTAGCGCCACTCGACATCGGCCTGGCAGAAATAGGTGGAGACATGTTTCCGACAGTGTTCTCCAGAAGTGGGGTGGCTTGGAGGAGACAGAAAATGAAGCGTCGTCCCTCGTATCTGGCGGCTGCACAGTCGCCACAGGTGTCTCTTTACTACTCTGGCAGCTCGACACCGCCTTTTGCTCACCTTCATCTTCTGCTCGTTGGGCTTCAATGGTGGAACTGCTTGAGACTCGAAAAATGTACGGCAGCGTCTCTCTTCTGCATTTCCGTGCAATCTCTTGGATGTGGGTTGTATCATTTGTTATAAAAGATCGATCTCGGATCTGTCCTCCTGAGAGGAGAGAGGGAGGGTCTTGGATTGTCTCGATGCTCATCCTCCTCCCACCAGAGCAGACCTAATCCTTGCCTTCGCTGAGCGATCGTATCAATCTCTCCTCTGTACTGTATCTCTCTCTTATCGCGGCTAGAACCGTGTTCTCAAAGTCCACATCAGCTCGCTCTTCCTTCGCCGGTCGAAGCTATAAAAGTCTCCGCTCGCTTCATCATCATTCCTGGTCTGCCGATCTCCTTTTTTCTTTTCCTCCGTTCTCGCCGGCCGAAGAGTCGGTCTCCCCCATCCTTCTTCAACTTTCCCCGCCATCGCTGCGAACTCCCATCAAGATGCAGCGTCACGACGGTCAAGAGTACATCCCCGGCGTATTCGCCAACACGGCACCGCATCCATCCCAAGTCATCTCCCTGATCCGCTTCTCCCAAGAGAACACCACGTGGAACCTGCCCACCATGATCGCACAGACTCTCCTCGTCGCCGAGATCATCCGCACCTACCCGGCCGAGTTTCGAATGGTGTCGCGACTAGTGCAGCGCAAGCATCCGAACATGGCCGAGGTGTTCTTCATCCTGATCAAGTACCTCTGCCTGATTGCGGTGGTGTTGGATATACTTGTGACGGAGACGTTTGCGGCTAGGAGCGATGCGGATTGCAGCGGGTGGGCGTGGACGAGTTCGACGCTGTACTTTGCGTGTTCGACGTTGGTTTTCGCGGTGGTTAGTTGGAGAGCGAGGATCATCTTTCGCACCAGCAACATTGCTTCTTGGGTGCTTGGGGTGGGGTTGTCGGTTCAGTTCGCCATCGCCATGTGGACGAACTACCGGGTGGACAAGGCGGACGCTTTGACTCCCGCTGGCACATGTGCTCCTTCCAGCCAAGTTCACTCCACCCCTTCGTCAAGCAACCCCGCTCTCCACCTGCACTTCTGGCAGAGTTCGACGTACTGGTTTCTGCTGTACAACACCGTGTTCGAATCATTGATCATGATGGCTTGCTGTTGGAAGCTCAAGAATACGTCGAGCGGTCCCAACGGCGTCGGTCTGACTAGGATCGCCAATGTGCTGTTCGACAATAACGTCCACTACATGGCCGGCGTCGAAACCTGCAACGTCATCGAAGCCATCATGCTCATGGGTTGGCCTACGAGCTTACCACCCGTGCACATGACTTCGATCGCCATCCAGATCGTCATGGGACTGCAGATGCTGATCGGAGAACAGGAAGCCGTCTACAGCCCCACCTGCTCCCAAATGACGTTCTCCGCTTACTCCACTTCCACCAGCAACGGTTACGTCAACAAGCATCATACGGCTAGCGATGACAGTAGCAACATTACGCACAGCTTGCCTGGAAGAGCGCTGTCGTACGTCAAGAGACCAGGTACCGCTAACACGGCTACTGATGGTGGATTTGGCGGGGAGAGCAGAGTCGTCGGTGCGGGAGGAAAGCATGGCAGGAAGGGGACGTTTTCTTCGATCAGCTCAATCCCTGCGTACGTCAAGAGTGGAATTGGTGGTGCGACGGATGAGGATGTTGCGCCTCAAGTTCCGGCGAAAGGTCCGATCCCGTTCAGGCAGGATGTGCAGGTGACGGTGGACGCGTCGCCTGTTCATCCTTCGGCTGGTGGTGCCGCGCCCCCGCCGGTTCCTGCTCCTTACATGTGAAGCAAGTTTCGCACACTTCGTAGCGCTGCTCGCAACATCGCGGGAGCTTTCTCCCAGACAGTCTCGCCAGAAAGCTGCTCACTCTCCTTGTCTCGCTTTTTATCGCTTGTCAGTGTTCCAACGCCTCTGTGTATCCCATGTGTCGACTCTCCTTTCTTCCCTGCGATCGTTTCAATGCATCACCGTCTTTCTCACAACCGGTCTGCGCACGGCTGAACTCTAGTGGTAATTAGACACAGGCTTCGCGCGACTTCGATCAAATGCAAAGAAGATGAGATTATGCGAGAGAGACCAAATGATGCCGTATATCGATAGATCAGCTACCACCGTCCTTTCCGACCTGCTTCAGACGATGCTTCTCAACCCGTTGTAGCGAAGCCTTGCTATCCGACAGTGTCTGGTGTATGCTTCGACCATCCGCATCTTGATCCGAGCCAGCATCCGACAGCGTCAGACTGGCTTGACGTCTCATCTCGTCCGTCGGTCTTGCCGGTCGTAACGGCGGGGACTTGTGCACCGAGCCATAAACATCCGACGGTGGTGGATAGTCGTAGGGCTCATCGAATGTAGCTGATCTTTGCGGTGAAGGTCTGCGTCTCGACCTACCTGATCCGGACGCATGCGGTTGGATGTGACGTTTGTCGAGGTCATCTGCTTCATCGTCGCTTGCTTCGCCTATCGAGTGTGCACGACCGCCAACGTCGTCGCTTTCATGGTGCGACTCGTGAGAGATGCGATCGGAACTGTTGAGGAAATCTTCGTCGTCCGGGTTGACCTTGGAATACGCCGATGTGTAAGGATTGTGGCGGAGGAGGGAATCGATGAGCCAGAACTGCAACACGTTCATGGCAAGCGGGAATAGTGCCATGGAGAAGAGCACTTGGACATCCTTGTGGCTGCCAAAGAAGCCCAGGATCCACGAGCCGACGTCGAAGAGGAAAGGGAACAAAGCAAAGATGACAAGAACGGCCATCTTCATAAGGAACAGCACGAAAAGGTACGATGCCAGCTGTTTCAACCAGTACTCGATCCTTGGCCTGCCTCGGCGGAATGCTCTACGATCGGCGCCTGCTTGAGCAGAAGAGCCGGGCTCGCCAGACGATGCGGGGACGATGGACGGAAGCGCTGGAGTGTACTGACCCGAAACGAAGCCCTCGAGGCCGAGTCGTTCGGTGAGATAGTAGGTGACGTACTTGAGCGCAACGTAGATGAAGAAGACCCCAACGGTAGTATCGACGAGGATGTTGAGAAAGTAGAGCGAGCAGGGATTCTCGCCGCCGCCACTTGCCACAAAGTCGGAGAGGATCACGTTGAGGATGTGCACGAAGAGTTGACCAAGCATCTGCTTTGAAATGTCGAGAGCCCAGATCTTCCATTTGCGTTTCGGCTTCTCCCTTTGACGCTTGTACACGAGCGAGCCGATGACGAGGATGCCCATAATGGCTTGTACGAAGAGCGCGAATGGTCCCATGAGCTTGCAGTTGTCTCCGTCGACTTCCGGTGCGCCCATGATGGGAGATGGTGTCGGTGTCAAGGTGGGCTCGAAGAGAAGGCTGGCTATTGAAGGAGTTGGCGGCGTCATGTCACGTACTGCACCGACCAGACTCGGGGAGCCGGCTTCGAGGAAGCTCATGGCTGCAGTTGGAGCCCACCTGTGGCTGCAGCGATGTACGAAAGCTCCCAGATCCACAGGTGCAACTCGAGTTGGATCAGCGATGCAACAGCTGCTTGGTGGTGGTGGTGTTGGTCGAGGAGGGTCGGATCCTGACTGTGCCACGAGTCAATAAAACTAGCCGCTGTGGCCTGTGCTCTTCCAGTTGGATTTTTCGGTAATTCCGCGAGAGTAGCACCGGTGCCTCGATTTCTGTTCGCCACCTCAGCTTGTTCCGTCGCCTTGGGTGGAGGCAACCGCCCTGGAATCCTGGCATAGGCTAGATTCAGGCATCGCAGCGCAGATTTCGTCATCAGTGCCAGACAAGAGGACAGAGAGCCGGATGCTAGCATGAATGTAAGAGATGCAGTGAAATACAAGTACACGGATGGACGGAATCGAGACACAGAAGAAAGGAAAGCCGATGCGAGCGTGGGCTTCAGCAACCACGGGTGCTCTAGAAGAAAGCACCAAAGTCGTACTTCTCGCCGGGAGCGGGACCGGTTGCGGCCGAGGCAGCTTTGGCAGCGGCACCTGCCGATTTCGACGTCTTGGCATTGCTGCGTTTGGAAGCAGCGGGCTTTGACTTGGATGGCACCACAACTCGTGCCTTCTTTTGAAGTCTTCGATCCTTGCGCGACATCGACTGCTCCTCATCCACCTCTTCCTCTTGGTCCTGAACATCCTCGACGGAGTTTTCGTCGTCATCTTGAGCAGCAACACCTCGCTTCTTGGAGCCACTCTTCTTGAGGATCGATTTGAGCTGTGGCGCCTTCTTGGACGCAACGGGCTCCTCGACCTCTTCCTCCTCGTCGTCTTCGAAACTATCCTCGTCGTCCTCGAGCAGTGCTTCGTCGATCTCATCTTCGTCCTCCTCGCTATCCTGCTCAGGTGGAGGTGGAACCATCTCGACTTGGTCCAGGACCAAGGCGTCACGACCGAGCACCAACGAGATGGGCCTGAGTCGCAGCTCGCGAGCCTGGAACTTCTTGCGCCATTCCTTCCTGACCAACACAAGCGGCATGCTTGCCGAGATTCGTTGCTTGGTTTCGTCCGAGACCTTGGCCGCGTCTGTAGCAAGTTTGGGAGCTTGAGTGTAGTAGCCCAGCATTTGGTGCGACCAGTCTCGAAGGATGACACGCGAGGCTCCAATCTCGTCAGGGATGTTGCGCTTCTTCATGCGACCAGTGGCTCGAGCAAGCGCGATGAGGAACTCTTGCGTGTCAGCGTGCACCTTCTGACGCCTCGAAGCGGCTTTGACTTTTTCCTGTTGGTCAGCGTCGAGCTCCTCGTCGGCTAGCGATGCGCTCTCGGGCTGGAAGGAGCCGAAAGCGGGGATGTTGTAGATGAGCATGAGATCTTCGGGATGCGAAACGCGCGACAGCAGAGCCCAGGTGAGGGGCAGAGGCTCCTTGATTCTCTGTACGTGGCCCTGGTTGCGCATGAGCGTCTGCATCGACTTGAGTTCCATGCGTGCCATCAACTTGTGCTCGTCATCTTGCTCCTCGTCATCCTGCTCCTCTTCATCGTCGTCGTCGTCCTCCTCATCAGATTCTTCCGCAGCTTCGGAGCTCTTGAGAGGGATGAGAGCAGGGGTGTCGAGCACTGCAGGCCAATCGCTCGTCTCGTTGTCCTCATCCTCGGCATCTTCGTCTTCGGGGACGCCGATGGCGTTGAGAATGGCATCTGCGACAGTGCTTCTGCCCGAGTAGGCCAGGCCCACTACAGCAACATCGCCCTTGCCGACGCCTTTGAGGTCGAGCTGCTCCACGAGCGCCTCTGCACCGGTGTTCTCGGCCAGCTGATCCGAGGGCGATGAGATGGGGAAAGCGGGAACTCCGGTGGTTGTAGAGAGGTAAGCGGACCATGCGGCGACAGTCTCGAGAGGCACCATGTCGGCACGGCCGAGCGCGAATGCGAGCTTCTTACTCTTGCGGCTGCTGATTTCGGCCTCGAGCCACGGGCATCGGAAACTTTGAGGATCACGAGCGTCGAGAGCGAGAACGACGGTCTTGATCTCGTCCGAGTCGAGCAGTTCGGAAAGCGTGCCGCGATACAGCGGTGCTGCCAATGGAATATCTTCGAGAATGTCGTCCTCGTCCACCTCTTCGTCCTCATCGTCCTCTGCAGCTTCAGCGTCAAGGCCATCCGCCCCTTCTGCCTTTTCTCCATTGCGTTCGGCAAGCTTTTCGGCCTTCCTTACGATCTTCTCCTCCTCTTGAAGTCTACGCTTGGTCTCGATCTCATTGAGCAGCTGCTCTTTGTACGGGAATGAGTTGGGGATGCCCGGATCCTTGCGCGCTTTGCTCTTCCATTGAGTGCTCCTTCGCTCGTCTCTGCGTGTTTTGCGACGGTGCTCCTTGACCTTCTTTTTTATCTTCTCCCTCTGCGCGATCTTGACACGCTTGGAAGCGCGCTTCTTGACTTTGACCATGACTGGCTGCGAATGTGATGACGCTCGAGTGATGGGAAGGGGTGAGGTGGAGTGAAGAAGAGTGACTTGATGGGGCGCTGTCTTGTTTCTTCTCGTCTCTAACTCGTCAGGGTTTCGGCAATTCCGCTAAGACTGAAACGAGAAGAACGAAAAAATCGAGAGAGGCCACTTTTTTCGCTTTTTGGCTGGAAATTTTCCTGGCGTTGCAGTGCAGGTTCAGGGTCTAGAAGAGGTCATGCTTAGTCACAGCTTCAGCTTCACTATCGCGGAATTTGATGTTCCAAGGAAAAGTCCTAAAAAATCTCGAGCCGAAGAAGGGGTGAATGCGTAATTTCTCTTTTTTTGCGTTTGGTCTGGAGGCGGGCAGTTTGCGAGAGTCGCGTGCGTCTGCCTTTCGTGGAGAATCAAGTTGAGCGGCGTCGCCGAATTCTGAGAAACAAGACGGCGGCGGCGGCGGCTATCTTTCCTCAGCGAAACCTTCATCTCGAACTTCGAAATCTTCTCTTCTCACCGTCGGATAACGAAGCGTTGTCAACATCAAGACACTCGGGATCGCCGCTTCGCAAACGGATCACTTATAATTTGCACATCCTAAGCGTGTAATGTCGGCATCTGCGTAAGGCTTGTCGCCTTCAAGAGGTCTTCACCCTGCGCCACCTAGCGCCTGCCGCCTGTCCGGTGTCCGTCACCAGGTACTTCTTCGAACTCGCACGCGACGCACACCTCTTACGATTATACGATTGGATCGTCACGCGAGCTTGTATGCGTTGAAGGACAGCCGCGGTGATGCCGTCCGTCGAGCCCGTCCGAGCTCGAACTATCGCGCCACTCCCCTCCAAGTCCTCATCCCTACGACGTGCTGCCCGACTTGACATCGACACCAACCCGTCAGATCTTGCCGCCATGAAGCGCGCCTCCAACTCCAACCTCTACTCTATAGAGGCGGACATCGCTGCACCGCCTTCCCCGTCCAAGCGCAGGAATTCGGCCTCTTCTGAATCGGAGTACTCTTCGCCCTCACCCACCACGCCACTCAAACCCCTTCGTTCCAGCCTCTCCAAAAAGGCACCGCCACCAGGAAGCATGGCTGCCATCAACTCAATAAGCGGCACCAGCTCGGCCAACTACCAGGGCATGTACCTCAGTTTTGTCATCAACGCGCTCTCCGAGAAGGAGAAGGGCAACACTGGCCCTTACTACGAGCTTCTCGTCCAATTCGCAGAGCCATCCACGGGCAGATCAGGCGCCTCGGTCTCTTCCTTGCGCTCGCTTCTCGCTGCTCTCTCGCACGTCGTATCCGACTTGGATCGATCACATACTAAGCTCGTCGAGAGCATTTTTGCTCTTCCCTGGACATCCATGGACGACAGCTTTGCGCAGATGTGGATCAAGTTTGTATGCAGCTTGGTCAGCGCAAGGGGCGAGTGGCTCACGGTCATCCTCACAAAGGCGACAAAGGCTCTCTCGTACCGACTCGAGTGGCTACCGTATCAGTTTGCCGACGAGTCCGGCAAGAGATCCGTCTCTACACTCAAGCGCAGACAGGTCTATGAGCGAGTCCATCTCCTCATCCGTTCGCTGCTGAGCGTCGTACCTACGCTGCCTGGTGTTCTGGGCCCGCTGCTTGTACAATTTCTGCCACACAAGATGGTGCATCGCTCCGATCAACTCGTCTACATGCGCAACATCCTACACGTCAGCGAGTACTGCGCAGAGCTGTCGGAAGCCATCCTCGGCGCTGTCATTGACCGTGCCATCCAGCTCGATGTAGAGATTCAAGTCGAGCTCGACGAGTTTGACGACGACGAGGCCGAAGAGCTCGGTCTGGATTTCGAAGACCCATTCGAGCAGGCGCTCGATGACATCGATGAGGGAGACAGTTCCGACGACGATGATGAAAGCGACGCCGGCGACTTTGCCGACAACCTCTCGGACCTATCTGACGAGAATTACGAACAAGGTGTAGCGACAGAAGAGCAAAAGCGTACCCAGGAGGACCTGCAACGGTCCATGCGACGCATTCGCGAGTCTGTGGCCAAGCTCGACGCCATCATGATCGCCCTGTTCGAGCATCTTCGCAAGCTCGATGCGCAGTACGTCGCCGGTGCCAACAGCTTGACCTACAACAGCCCCATGGACTCGAATGCGAATCGACGCAATCTCTTCCACACGCTCCTCTCCATCTTTGCTCGCAACATCTTGCCCACCTTCCGATCACGGCACGTGCAGTTCCTGCTCTTCTGGTTCAACTCGCTCGACCCCGAGTTTTCCGACTTCTTCCTTGGTGTTCTGCTCGAGAAGAGTCTGTACAGCAAAAGGATCGATCACGGACAAACGGACGAGCCGGCGGTGATCAGATCCGCCGCCGCAGGCTATGTGGCAAGCTTCGTCAGCAGAGCCTCTTACGTCGACGGTCCCACCACACGGGTCGTGCTCTACAACCTCTGTGCCTTCCTGGACGCACACATCGACGAGAGCAGCCGTACCGACACCGAGGCCGGATCAGCCGCCCCCGGAACAGGCACACACTCGGTGTTCTACTCGGTGGTGCAAGCGGCGTTCTACATCTTCTGCTTCCGATGGCGGGATCTCAAGATCACCAACGAAGAGCAAGATGCTGGAGCGGACGATCTGGACTACCAAGACGCGGATGAGATCGGCGGAGGCATGCACGATAGCGTTGGCAGTTTGGGTCAGTTTGGCGCAGAGGCGTGGTGCGATGGATTGACGTCTCTGCAGAGAGCTGTGACTTCTCGACTGAATCCGCTCAAGTACTGCTCCGCCAACGTGGTCAAACAATTTGCCAGGATCGCACAGCACACCGGATTCCTCTACTGCTATTCGATCATCGAAGCCAACAACCGATCGGTTCGCAGCCGAAGCAACCCGGTCTCGCGATCCACCTCGCTCAACAGGCTGCAGCTGGACGCATCCGGGTCGAGCACACCCATGAGTCAGGACGGCAGCGATCGTGGAACTCCCAAACCGGACTCCCCGCAGACGAAACAAGCACCGGCGACGGCTGCGGCTCCAGCGGCAGTGACAACATCCTCGGTGCTGGAATCCTTCTTCCCCTTCGACCCGTACAAGCTGGAATCGTCCGCGTCGTTCATCGAACCACTCTACCGGGAATGGTCGGAAGTGGCGCCGGAGGAAGACGGTTCGGAGTCCTCCGACGACGACGACGACGACGAGGATGACGAGGATGAAGCCGATGACGTCCGACGCAACGAAAGCGGACTTGCTATCCCCGGATCGAAAGCGAGGAAGAGCAGAGGAGAGGACGACGACGACGAGGAGGAGGAGGAGGAAGACGATGGGAACAGCTCGTCGTTTGTCTCGCAGGTAGAGGCTATGAGCATCAGTCCCTACGTCTGATGCATTCCCGCTCTGCTCTGCTTCGCCGGAAGTGGCTCCTCGTGTCGACTTTCGTTCTGCTGTAATGTCCATGTATCGCATCACGTATTCTCACTGTATCTCTTGTTGTTTCCTAATCGCATTTGCAATCGATGTTTTTGTCTCTCTCAATCGCACAGACCGTACTGCTGACCGTGGCTGATTAAGAGTTTTGTCTTTGGGGTCTTTCGACGAAGCACTACTTGAGGTTCTGAACGAACTCGACGACTTTTTTCTCCGGCAACATGCCGACGAACCCATCCAATACCTGCATTTCCCCCAGAAAAGAGCAGCAAACAGTTCGTCAGCCAAAGCACATCTTTCTGTCTCTCTCTCTATTCGTGGTGTGAAACATACCTTTCCATTCTTCAACGCGATCACCGTGGGCATAGCGCTGACCTTGAAGTCCCTGGCGATGTCCTGGTGTTGATCGACATCGATGGTGACGAGATCAACGTGTTTGCCGCCTACGAGATCGGGTTGTGTGGCTATCTTGTGGAGCGAAGGGGATAGGAGCTTGCAAGGTTGGCACCAGGTGGCGAAGAAGTCTACGAGGACGGGGGTGTCGGCGTCGGCGCCGGTGGGGGAGAGCACGCGAGATTGGAACGTGCTGGACGAGACGTTCTCGTACACCTTTCGGGGGAGAGGGGTGGTGGTGAAGGTTCGGATGGTGCGCAAATTGCGCAGAGGTGCGGCTGCTGTGGTAAGGAGGCTGCGCGAGATCATTGTGGCCAAGTGTGGGTTATGCGTGGTGGGATGACGGAGGGTAGGACGGGGATAAGAAGAAGCGTCTTTTGGTGCTTAGCTTCGGTCCAAAATGTGGAGCTGTAACGCGGACATAATGATTATGTAAGCCAAGGGATGCAAAGCCGGTGTCCAGAAGTGAATGCTCAGTCTAGACCACAATATCTTGGTGACTATGAGCATCGTAGCATGGAGATCATTCGTCGGCCAGATCGACGGGTCCAGGCCCTACAGATGCAAGTTGAGCCGCGCGCGGCACGGCATCGTCGCGGACAGACGGCTGCAAGTACTCAACGAGCCTTGCGAATAGCCGAGACGCAGCCGGACACGACCCCCTGACTTCTAGAAGCAGCGTGCAATGTACACCACGTTTGTCCCGCACGCCGTTGGCGAGGGCGAGCCGATTAGCGAGAGCGACTCGTTTGTGACAGTTGCGCAGATGACCGACAAATATGTTTGTTATGCAAGAAGACTTCCTGACAGCGTCGTGTCAAGAATACGGAGCGGGCATGCGCTGGACAGCCGATCTCCGATGGTGCCCCGATGGGATGGGTTTTTTGGGGCACCATTTTTCCAGTCCCTTTTTGACGAAGGAATGTCGGATAAAATGGAAACGAATGTGTAGCGAAAGGGGATGGATCCATCTGTCGATCTGCTGATGATCGACAGACTCGAGCGCAGGGCTCAAGTTGGTTTCGACCGAGCACGCCGAAGCGCAGCTGACCATCTCGTTGTACAATTCAGCGGGCACTGTAGCGCAAGTACCACTCGAACGGGAACAGAAGTCGCTAAGCACAACTCGGAAAGACGCTGTTCGGCATTCGTAAGGTCCAGTGAGGTCCAGCGACCGACAACAACACGACGACAATGATGTTCGGACGACGATCGTCGTAGGTGATGGGTTGACGAATGAGTCGGGCAACTGCTCCGGCTGAGCTAGGCTAGTTTGGGTCGACCGTTGGCGAGGCGGACTTTGGAAAATATCACTTCTGAGCTCCGAGATGCAGTCAAAATGCCGAAGCGCTAGGACGATAATCGACCTGAACTGCAGCTCAAGCAATCCGCCATTGCTGTCACGAAGGGCACCGTGAGTCTGCTTCAAATCCCAACAGAGACGCACAGTCAGTCAAGGGAAGCCATCCAGAGAAGCCGAAGGTACAGAAAGTGCTGGGAAAAAGGCTGAGCCGAATCGCTGCGAGGTGTGATGATCCATTGGCCCAAATCTGAGACCAACACCAATTTCCTTCGGGTAAGCCCCGCTGTCGAGGAATTGAACCGCAAAAAAGCAGAGGAAATCCGACCAAATCGTGGCGGCGTCTCCGAGAACCGTGCAGTCGCGCGCAGCAAGCACCGCCAAAAACTGGCTTGCGAAATGAGCCAGTCAGCCAGCCATTCAAGCAATTCGCGAGCTGGCACGCGTCTGTCTGTTTGAAGCCGTGCTTGAAGATGATCCACGCCCAATGACGCTCCAACACCGCCTGAGGTGCTTGCTTTGGGAGACAAAAGCGACGCTCGTCCGAGAGACCCACGACAGCATTCACGTGTCAAGTCTTTCGCACGGTCGAATGAGGAAGGTACTGAGATTCATCAACAAGAAGGTTACGCAGAAGTCGTTCCAGTCAGACGAGCAATTGGGTTTAGCACGGTCGAATACATGTACGAGCAGAAACTGGCGAGGAGGAACAAGAAAGGGTCCAAAAGGAAGGAGAGGACAAGGCGACGCTCGCTGCTGGCTGTTGGCTGCTGCACTCCACGTCCGAGTGTCCGAGACGGTCTGGCATGCATGAGCGAGCCATGGCTTGACTGGCTGGCTGGCTGCTGGCCTCGCCCCGCCTCGCCTGGCTACTTCCGCCACGCCTCGGTTGGTCCGACTGCTCTGAGCTGAGCTGCCAAAGACTGCGCCTCGCAGCCAGCGATCAGCTTGTCGCTCTGATGCGCATAAGTTGGGCTGCAAATCGGTGTCTCTTGCGCGTTTGACAGCTCCACCGTGCATGCTCTGTCCGCTGCAATCCCATCGCTCTCTGCCGCTGTACAGAAGCAGTCGCCGTCGTATGCTCCCTTGCCAAGCCTGTCAATGCCGCCGTCTTGCTGTCTCGGTACGACTCTGTACCATCGGGCTGCCCTCGTTGCTGCTGCACGCTCGCATATCCTGCCAATGACGCCTGCCCCGTTCGGTCTCGGAGCTTGATTTCGTCAAGCGAGTACACGATGCGCTTCTCCTCGCCCTTGCCATGCGACACACACTCTGCTGATCCTCCACGAGACTTGTCTCGCCTCTTCCCTACATCCGCAGCTGCGTGTCCGTTCGCTTGGCCTTTCTGGCCTGATCGTCCTCGTCTGACTCGAGGACGTATATCTATCCTTCCTCTTGTTCATCATCATCCAAACTTCCCTCCTTCCCCCTCTCCCTCTAACCCTCTCTCGTATCTATATCACACTCCCCTCTCCACTCTATTTTGCGTACCGACCCTTCCCCGTTCCCACTCCCTCACTTGCCCTCCTTGTCGCCGTCCACACACTCTTTCTCTCTTCACCTTTGCTCTGACTCGTGCTCGACTATACAGCTTCCATCTAGCCAAACCACAGAAACACACTCTTTTGTATCTCTTCTCGGCCAACAACAAAGCTCCGATCTCAACAATCGACACTACTCAGCATCTGATCCATTATACCTGTAACCGGAACACATTCACTCTGCAATCTATCGTCAAACACTGTCTCGACGGGTCCAATCAAGCAACTTGCAGCATTTGGCGCCCTCCAGTATCATCTTTACGCAATGTCCTTTTCATCTCTTCCCGCTCCGGGCTCTGCCGCATCATCGTCCATCTGGACCAGACGCATGATCACAAAGTCAGTCCCTACCACCGACGCCGAAGTCGAGCTCAACGTCCTCTCGCTCCTTCTCGATGTGCCTCTCACTTCGCAGGACGAGCAGGACCTCCCCACCTCTCCCATCTCGTTGCACAGCCCTCTCTCTCCTTGGTCGTCGGCCGTCTCGCCTGCTTTGCACAGCGCCTCCTCTTTCGATGCAGCTCCGGCTGACATGCAGCTTTTCAGAAGCGCAAGCCCTGCTCCCATCATGCCTCCTTCCATTCAACGATCAAAGTCGATGGATTCGAGTCACTTTGACCACGGCTACTCGCTCGAGATGCACGCCGCCCAGACCGCAGTCAAGGCGGCCCTTGACGTGCTCGAGGAGCCCAGCTTGAACCGAGGCCTTCGCATCTCGACCTCGCTTTCGCAATCTCCCGACGGCGGGAACTCGCTCGGCCTTCGAGGCTGCCTCACCGCTCCGCTCTCGCCTGCACTCTCGTCTCCCGGCTCGCCCGCCGAATCTTGCTTCTCCGGCACCGAATCGGATGGTACCAAGAAGAAAGGTCGTGCTCGCATGTCGCAGGAAAAGCGCAAGAGGCTCGCCAGACGTCGCGAACGCGAAGCACTAGTCGCTGCCCTGACTCAACAGTCTAGCGATGGTGGCGTTGCAGCTGCCGAGATGCACAACTATGTCTACCAAAACTCGCATCTCACATCCGCTCCCTCTGCGTCCCACTTCAGCCACAGTGCGCCCGTCACTCCCGTCGGATCCTACTTTGCATCGTCCACCAACTCGACCTTTGGTGGAGGTTTCCCATTCTCGTCTTCTCCCACCGAAATCTCTTCGGCAGCGGCTGCATTCAATGTTGCCATCTCATCACCTCGATCGAGAACTTTTGGATTCTCGGCAGCGGCGGCGGCCGACCATCCATCGCCGGCACTCACCCATGCTTCGGTAGCAACCTCGAGCTCGGCATTTGGATCCATCGGTACGCCCAGCTCGTCGCCCACGTCGGTGCTCTCACCCATCGGAAGCGATGCATCCAGCAGCCCTCCTACGCTGGTCGTCCAGCCTCCGTCGCCTCAACGTGTGCGTGGAGTAAACTTTGTTCCCCGCACGACTGCCAAGCCTAGCGCCGGAAACGGAGCTTACCATCAGCAGTGGAATGGCTTTGTCTCTGCCTCGAACCTCGCTTCCGTTTACTGAGTTGGCCGGGTGCAAAGTGTGCCCCCGGCTCTCTCCCGTTTCGTACTCAAACCAAACACCTGATCAAGTCTTCATACCTTAAATACGCACCACTGTAGCACCTCCAGAAACCCCCCCTTTCCAACACAACTGTAGCCTTACTAGACCTTGATCCCACTCATCTCTCGTCCCGCCATGCCGCGCGACGCTCTGTTCCCCTCTTTTCTGCATTTGCATTTGCCTCCTCAATCTCATACAAGAACATTTCAATCCTTTTCCAAGTCCTGTCTGCGTTTCGAAACGAGCGTATGCGTTTGTTATGTGATGGGGAAGCTTCCTCTATCAGTGAACTCATCTGCTCTGGTTTGCCGATCGACCCTCGCTGAAGCGCTCACTTCTACGAGTAGACACTCGCAACCTCTCGATCTCTCTCACACTCAAAACCCCATCGACGATCGACGTCACAGCCCCTAAACACCTCTGCCCCTCCTCGCTCTCTTCGCAAAACATCAGCTCAGCACACATTTTAACACACATATTGTGCAGCAGCCACTCTTGTTCATCGTGCTTCGTCGAAACGTCTTTCTTTCGATTCGATGAGTTTTTTTGTCGGTCTCCGACGAGGTTCAACTGGATGCTCGGCGGCGCGGGGGCAGCGATCGCATCTGCTCTTGGGAAGGGGGGGGGGGGCAAAATCTAGGCAGTGAGGGCGGCCATGGGGTTGGTTGCAGGAGCGGCGGCGGTCTGGTTGGTTCCGCTCTGGGGGCAGTTCCTGGCGATGTGACCTGGCTGGTTGCATGTGTAGCAAGCCTTTCCCCTCAAAGCACCCGCACCCGCCGTGGCATTCGGGTTATCGCAGTCCCTAGCGAAGTGTCCGATGTCACCGCACCTTCTGCACTTCAACCCCTTCTTGGCCGTTGCGCACTCGCTGCGGATGTGACCCGTACCGCCGCATCCGAAACACTTTTTCTCCTTCTCCACCGTAGGACAGTTTGCCTTGACATGTCCCTTGCCACCGCAACCGAAACATTCGGCGGTCGAGGCCGTCGGGCAGTCGATCTTGACGTGTCCGCGTCCTCCGCAGTTGAAGCACTCCTTGGTGGTTGGGTTGCGGGGCGAGGGACAGGAGGAGGATTCGTGGCCCGATTCCAGACAGTTGAAGCATCGTCGATCGGTGAAGCTGCAGTTCTCGGCTAGGTGACCCAGCTGACCACACCTGTGGGCGGGACGAGACAATAAAGCGATGGTCAGCATGTTGTGGCGAAAGAAAGGTAGAAGGTCGGTGACGGTAGACTTACACGTAACATCCACGTCGGCGAAACATCTTGAACCTATCGACCAGCTAAACTCTTCCGACTACTTCTTCCAAAACACCACTACGAAAGAAGCAGCAAGATAGGATCAGCCACCAGCTCGTGATATACGCATGATCGTGTGACGACTTACGCTGAAAAAGATTCTCAAGCGACTTCCTCGATTCGGTGTCGAACAACGAGAAGGAAAGTATGATGGTGGAAAGGAGCCAAAGACGATGTCGTGTGCTTGCTGCATCCGAAATTTCACGCCTTGAGTGGAGGCGGAAAAACAGAGAGTCGGCGTTCGAAGTGCTCAACGTCGGCTGCTCCGCTTGCGATTTTGGCCCGAAATCTCTCCCCACCACACTGCGCAAGCTTTGGTGGGTCGATCGCGGCGCCACTCCTTCAACGCCACTTGCCGTGTGTGCAGAACAGCTTCGCACGATCCCCCAGCGTTACGCTCGACCTCAGCTCTCGCTGACGCTTTGACTCGCTCTTCGTTTCAGTCACACGGCGGTCCGTTCCAACTCTTCACGCACGCAGAAAGGTAAGTTGAACTGCTCCTTGTCATCTAAAGCCGGCCCTGATCAACGGCCAGCACCGCCAACAGCACCCTCAACAACTCGGCGCTCGCCAGATCGTTCGTCGTCCTCACCGTCAACCGCGCCATCTTGGCATCTCTGTTGGGCTCCAACCTCAACAGACACCCCACCTTACCCGCATTCGCCATGTGAAGCACACCGGCAGCCACCGAGTTGCTCGGATTCGCATCCACCCCATCCAACACCTGCAACCTCGCCCCCTCCAACACCCTCCTCTGCCTGACCACATCCACCTCACCCGCATTCGTGAGCTTGAATCCAAAGATCTTCTGTGCTTCCCGAGGCGGTCCACCGATCTGCCTCCAGCGTTCGAAAAAGTCAGTCGCACCTAGCTGGACCGGCTCGATGAATTTGGTCATCAGCACGGGCAGTCGCAGCCGGATCTCTTGCAGCGATCCCGCCAGGTACGACACTTCGAGGATCGGCGGCTGCGTAAACAGTTCCTTGCACTCCACCAGCACCAGCGTCTGCGCCTGAGTCATGGCGCCCAGCGAGTTGGTCGCAATCTTGGGCACCGTCACGCTCAACCCCGCAGGCTCCTGCGACCGCACAGAGACCGTGAACGAGTTGAAGTTGACCGCGATCTTGTTGCCAAAGTAGAGCGCGAGGCGACCCTGATGTCCGTGATACTCGGTCTTAAGCCCGATCTGGATCTGACTGTCTTCGTAGAGCACGCCTTCGGGTGCAAAGCACAGCCGTTGGAAGAACTTGTCAGCACCGGCAGTCAGTGGCTTCGTGTTGAGAGGTGTCGATGGCGTCGTCGCTGCAGAGCTTCCTGGAGTTGTCTGTCCGCCGATCAAGGGCTGCTCCGAGAGGAGACCCGCATTTTCGAGCCCTGGCGTCGGTGCGCTCATATCGAGTCCCTCCAAGCCGGCCAACACATTCTCCGTATCGTCGTTTGCACCGTTGCGCATGGCATCGGCTGTGACCGCTTCGCTGCGGTGACCCGCTGGGATGACGGAGCCAGCATTGCCCGTCGGCATGGCTCCACCGTTGGCTTTGCCCTTTTTGAGACTCTCGAGCCTCGCCTGTTCTCTTCCGCGGTTGGTGTCCTTGCCGCCAATGATCCACGTCCTCTTGTCCTCCGTATCCGTATGCTTCTTGTGCAGCCGGCTGAGCAGCAAGGACGAGCGTTCCGCAAACGGCGGCATCTCGTCGCACACCGCTTGCAATAGATCATCATCTGGCATCTCTGCCAGAGCTACGTACTCGCACGCCCTCTGCTGCAGCTCGGCATCGAGAACGTGCCTGTACCTGTTGAGCACGTACAGGATCTGCTCGCGGATCTCGGGAAACAGGTTGAGCCATTTGACGTACGTCGACAGCAGCAATGCGCGTGTCGATTGCGAACACAGATGCGACCGTGAGTGCAGCGTGTGGAACTGCTCGATGGGGCTCGCGCCGGGATCGTTTGCAATCAGATGGCCGAACTCGCCCAAGATGTATCCTCCCACCTTGATCATGTTCTCGTGGCACGTCGATGACTTGAGGTGCTCGAGCACCTTGGTCGCCGCGTACTCTTGCACGTCCTCGTTGTTGACGACGATCTGGATCACGCGGTACCACACCTCTTCGCTGACGTGGTCGCCCGCAGAGCTGATGAGCTGCAGGATCGTGTCGACGTACCAGCTGTACTCGGTCGCAAACTTCTCGGTGAGGATAGCGATCTTGAGCACCATCTCTTCCCTCAGCGCATAGTCCGCCACCTGCATGTACTTGAGCAGCTCCGCAACAATGACTTTGGCGTTGGTCGAGTCGCACATGCTGTACAGCAGATCGACACCTCTGCGTCGCACCGAGATGTCCTTGTCGCGCAGCGAAAGGATGATGGTGTTCTGATGCATCTTGATCGGCTCCAAGCTCTCGGCACACGCTGCCAGGTGAGCCATGGTGTCGAGACCCAGGTAACGCACGTTTGTCTCGCGGGACAAGATGAAGCGGCCGAGCAACACAGCCGCCTTTGCTACTACCGCAGATTCGGTATCGAGCTGGATGGCGAGGTTGATAGCCTCGAACAGGATGGCGTTTTGCGCGTTGTTGTGCTGCACGTTTTTGGGACTGTCTTGCGAGTTGTTGATGATCGTATCTAGTACGGTTTCGATGGTAGATCTGAGCGTAGGGTCGTCGGGGCTAGGGTAGTACTGAAGCAGACGCAACAGCTTGACCTGCAGCCAAGGGATGGGCACTTTGTAGTAGATGTACTCGGATGTAAAGTCGCTCTCCACGACGATCCGATGCATGCGATGTACAGCTTTCTGATACGAGCTCGCGAAAGCCTCCGGATGATCCTGTGCCATGGCCATGACCAAACTTGTCACGGCAAGCGCCACACCTAGATTGTCGTCGTCCATGATGGCGATGATGCGCAGAGCCCATTCCTCTGCCGGAATCACCTCGGGATGCTTCCGGTACAGACGGAGCAGCGTGAGCGCCGCCTTCTTCTTGACGAAGCTTCGGGATGTTGGCGAGATGAGGAGACGGTGCACGTCGCCTGAAAGAGCTTCCGCCATCTCCTTGCCGCCGATGTTGGCGATGGCATGGAGCGCGAGGCAGTTGCTCACTTCGTTGATCTCATCCAGGTCCTTGCGGATCGAGTTGACGACGAGCCGGACAATGTCGGAGTTTTCATGCATGAGCAATGTGATGGCCAGGTATCCGATCTGCTTCTCCGAGTACTTGGTGCTGGCGATGAGGTTGACCGCTTCCATATGGCCAATGTCGACTTGGTAGCCGAGGATGTAGGTGAAGACGATCTTGGAGAGGTACTTCTTCTTCTGGTAACCGTCCAGCTGACCGTCTTTGAACTTTTGGCGGATGTGTGCCATCTCCTTGTTGATGCGCCTCTCCTCCAGCTCGCGGACACGACATGCTCGCAGGTCTGCGATGTACTGCGTCAATCCTCTCATGGAGGAGGACGAGTTGGACGTCATGGTGTTTCGTGCTGCCAGTGCGCTGGCGTCCGGGCAGGCTCTGACGGGTCTGAGGTGATGGCTGGAGTCTCGTGGTCAGAACGGACGCAATGAGAAGGATTACGACCGTGTGCCCTGTATTTGATGTAATAGCAAGGGCAAAGTCGCTCAGCCACGAGGAAGTACGGACAGGTGGGCGGTGGTCGTGCTGGAGGTAGAGTTGGAGACCGCTGTGGTTTCTCTTGTGTTTTCCGGTAGCAATTGCTGTGACCAGTCAGTAGAGCCGGAACAAGCGACGAAAAGCTCGGTGAGAAGCAAGACGCTGAGGAATGGCCAAGATGAAAGGGACTGCGATGGCCGAATGACTGAATGGCAAAGGCAAGAAGACCCTGAGTTGGAGTGTGACGAGCACAAATTACCCTGTGCTGTGCTGTGCCGTGCCGTGCTCTGCAGCCCCGCATTGTCGCGGTACTTCCGACTTAAATAGAAGCAAAGCACACACAAAGGGTTTCTCCTGCGCGAATTTCGGATTGGCCGAGGCGGAGAGAGTGAAAGTCACAGCCAGCGCGGCCCGTGCTTTTGTGGCTGGTCCGCTGATGCACGACTTTCTTCCAAAACAATTTGGCTCCTTCTTGACACCTCCTCGAGGCCTCTGCAGGGACTGTGTGCTCGTTGATGTCGGCTTCTGGTCTCACAAGAAGCTCTCAAAAGTGCTGCGTATGATGGTGCTCACCGAGAACGAGTACAGCCTTCGTGATGGCGATTCTAGCTGAGCGAGTGTTAGTTCGTGGCCGGCGCGGCGCCTAGGCCGCCTCTCTGTGATCCCTCCAGATCTCGGGCTGCTGATGCCAAGATGTATCCCGGAACCAATTTACTGCACGCATGGCTCTGTACACACTTGTCCTTTGACATGATGCATGCTCATTGATACGAAGCCAGACAGCTCAACGAGGCGGCCACGTTGCAGCCGCGCCGAAAAGCGACCATGCTTCTCAGCTCTCCTCACACAACACAGAAACTGGGACACAAACCACTGAATGACTTTGAAAGTTGTTCTGGATATAGCACGACGTCGAATGGAAGAAGTTCGGTAACACGACCTGCGTACAGGTATGGCACAACTCTCTCTTTTGCCTAGCCTGCCTCACCCAAATCGGCCCAACTTGTCAGTGTCGTCCGACAGCGGGGCAAAGATGCCGCAACGAGCAAAGTCAAGCCACCCTTTGCCCATGAAACCAGGTCGGCAACGTGCACATCAGTTGAGCCTGCCGAGATTGCGAACGGAATCAAGAAAGACGAAAGCGACGGCCTCCAAAGGACGCGGGAACGCGAAAGGGAAACGAAGAAAAGACTGGGGTGATCGAGGGTGAGGGGAAGGAGAGCAAGACGGAGAGGTCGGGCAACTTTTTCTTTCAATCTGAATTCGCGCTTAGGCGGCCTCCTCACCCTTGGCCTCGGCGGCGGGAGCCTCGGCAGCGGCGGTCTCGCTGGGCTTCTCGGAATCCTGCATGTCCGAGGTCCAGAGGGTAAGGTTGTCACGGAGCAGCTGCATGATGAGAGTCGAGTCCTTGTAGCTCTCCTCGGAGAGCGTGTCGAGCTCGGCGATGGCGTCGTCGAAGGCCTGCTTGGCGAGGTGGCAAGCGCGGTCGGGGCTGTTCAAGATCTCGTAGTAGAACACCGAGAAGTTGAGGGCGAGACCGAGGCGGATGGGGTGGGTAGGGGGCAGCTCGGTGACGGCAACGTCCGAAGCGGCCTTGTAAGCCTCGAGCGACTTGTCGGCAGAGTCCTTGCGCTTGTCGCCGGTGGCGAACTCGGCGAGGTATCGGTGGTAGTCGCCCTTCATCTTGTGGTAGAAGACCTTGCTCTCACCCGAAGCGGCCGAGGGGATGAGGTGCTTGTCCAAAACATCGAGGATGTCCTCGCAAATCTGGGCAAGCTCGGCCTCGATCTTCTCGCGGTAGGTCTTGATCATCGAGACCTGGGTCTCGTTGCCCTTGGACTCCTCCTTCTGCTCGATGGAGGAGACGATACGCCACGAGGCACGGCGAGCACCAATGACGTTCTTGTAGGCGACGGAAAGCAAGTTGCGCTCCTCGACGGTGAGCTCCTGGTCGGACGAAGCGACGCGCTTCATGTTCTCGACCATCTCTGTAGGCGCGGCGCAGCGATCGCAAAAAAAGAAGCAAGGTCAGTGTCAGTTTCGATCCCCTGTCTCGAGAAGCTTTGGATCCTCTCCATTTCCTTTTCTCCTCGCTCCCTGCGAAGCCTCCCTGATCGTTGCGGAAACATAGCGTTGCACTACAACCACCCAGGGATCAGAAAGGCGGAAAAATACGCGGAAGCGGCTGCTTCGGGGATGCTACTTACCCTCGTAGCGCTCAGCCTGCTCGGCGAGCTTGGCGAGGTAGACAGAGTCTTCACGCGATTCCGGCATCTTGAAGGTTGTTTGTGAGAAAAAAGGGTCTAAGAGACGAAAAGAACTAAGGCTGCTGTACGAAGTGAATGGCAGAGGAGTTGTGGAAGGTTCAAAGGGTCAGCTGCTGTCTTGCATCATTAAAAAGTACCGCAGTGTCGACATCCAGAACGGCGAGGCGGAACAATATGAAGGGTTGATCCGTTCGGAACAGGTACGACGATGCTGCTGTACATTTGGTCTGCCGGGTGTTGAGACGTTGCGCGTGCTCTTCGGACTGGCAACATCAGCGTCCACGCCGTCGCGCGGTCCATAAGCGTTTAGACGAGGACGGCTGAATGACAACCACGACGCTGGCGGACGATGACGAAGAGTCGAGATGCAGTTGAAGCGACGACTTGCTCGCGCTGTGTGCCTCTGCAGGGCAAGCAGGTCTCGACTATGCTTTCGCGTTACGACCTTGACACTCTGTCCTGCACTGTCACATAATTGCGACGAAGGAGGCCTTTTAGGCGAGTCGAACGACACGACGTTGACAAAGGCCGATGGTGACGATGCCGGTGGTGGTGTGCAAAGTGTGATAGACTGTAGTTGCGGGTCATAATGACACGCGACGTGATGACGTGAATGTCGATGGTGGCGGAAGTCGATCGAGGGCGAGCCGGCTAGTATCGGGCGAGTGCGGGACAGGGGGACGGGTGCTGATGCATTCTGGATGTCGATTGCGGGGGGGAGCAAGGTGCGAAGGGCACTGCATCGACGGTGCAAGAGGTACTCACCCTGAACTGGACAGACGGAAGATACGATTTGATGAAGGTGGTGGTGGTGATGGTCAAAGTGACACGAATGGTGATGGTGGTTGACGGGCGTGGGAGCGGAGAGGGAGCAGCGATAACAACGGGGCGCGGACACGCAGGAAGGTGTGCGAAGCGCTCTCTCGCTGGCTAGCTGGCTGTCTCACCCGTGATTTTGAGGGGCGAAATGCGGACTCGCGGGCAGAGAAAGGGCGAGAAGCCAGAAAGGGGGACGGACGAACACACACTCGGACACACGCTCACTCAGTTCCAACAGACACAGTCAAATCCAGGCAAGCTATCTGTCACTAAGCCACTCACCTGCTCGGCCAGCCCCAGCCAGCCAAGTCTGTCGATCAACCAGACGCGCGGAAGCGCTGGATGCGGATTCCAAAAACCCAAAGGCGAGCGCGACCCAAAAAGCACGGTTCATCGCAGAAAGCCGCTGCACAGCACAGCACAGCAAAGCAAAGCAACTCGAGGAAATTAGACACACGCACACACACGCTTCTGCCAACACAACTCTGCCTGCACAGAACAGGCAGTTTCCTGAACTTTCGTGGCGAGCAAAGCGCGACGACCAATCTCGAATACAATCTGCGCGTATCAATTCGAATACAAACTGTCAAAAGCGTCCTGCAAGTGGAAATTCCGTGTGCTTCGCCTCAAGCAGGGAGCAGCGCGCAGCTGCCCGCTCGGCGCCACGAAGCAAGGCAACTTTGCTCGAATACAAATTTCAATAAGGAAAAAAAGCGCGAAGCACTATGAAGATCTCACTCTGGAAACAACGCGGCAATTCATGTGAAGTTGTGCGGTAGGAATTGACGCGGAAGCGGAAATGCAGTCAAGATTGAAGCTTGAAATGAGAATCAATTTTGTAGTCGAGTAGTTGTTCGGCGCTGAATACCGACGCAGGCAGAGCAACACCGCGACATTGTGCCGCCGCGACACCACGACACACACACAGCCCGAGACTGAGACCGAAAACGACGGCCTCCGGCGAGGAGAAGACCAGGCGATGGGCAATCGTGGTGCGGGAAGAAACACACATCGCGAAAATCTGCATCTCGCAATCTCACGCAGGAGCAAGTCAGGAACGACAGTGACTGTTCTCACACGCGCATCTCTGTCTTCGCTGCGCAAATCGGTGCAACAACAGGTAGTGAATTGTCTTCGCTCGCTGAGATGCACGAAGTGTGACGGCCTGAACGCAGGTCTCGATATGATGCCTCCTCGCTCGACGTTGTCACTGTCGATTACTGTAGTATTACAAAAGCGGATAGGGATGGCTGGCTTGTACCATGGATCCTGACGATTGCTCATAAAAGAGGTGTCCCTGTCGCGTGCCAGAAGGAATCGTGCAGGCTGTGTGCAACCGTTTTCTCGGCTCGGATCGATTGGCCAAAGCGACGCAAAGGGTGACCCGTGCGCAGCCTCTCGCTATACCCGTCTCTCTCTCTCTTTCTCTCGATCAGATGCAAGGTTTGAGTCGAATTTGTGACAGTATCTGTGTTTCTTTGTGGGCACGTTCTCGCACGACACTCATGTCGCGGTGGACTAAGGTCTAACATGACTTCGTTTTGTGATTCAACACACGATCCTTGATGCTCTCCGGCTAGCTCAATTCTTGTCACTCTTGATGCTGCCAGAGTCCAAAGGTGCACTGGAAAGGTGGCATCGTTCAAGTTGATGATAGAAGCTGCTTTGCAGCTGCAGCTAGTAGAGCCGTTCAGGATATGAGCCACCAGTTCTGAACCGCTAACGCCGTAGCGAGGTACCAGCAATGACACAACTACACGCTGCGAACGATCGCCAGACAAAAGGACAGACGAACGAGGTGGCAGGACAAAGTTTCTTTTGGCATTTTGAGCATATATCTGAACAGAATGCAGGTATTACGGCGTGAGCGACGGCCAAGAAGGAAAGGAAATGAGAGAGATAGATGCGATGCAAAGAGGATTCGTGTGTATGTATGTGCGGACGTCAAGCCATCAACGTTCGGCTAGCAGCTAGATGGCTGTCAGCCATTCGTCGGGCATGATGTGCGGAGCTCGGCAGTGCACAAGACGCTTAGAGGTCACCATCGTCCTCGTCGGGCAAGGGAGCGGCGGCGGCGCGCTGGAGCTCTGCGTCGTACTGAGCCATGAGCGCCTGGTCGACCTGGACCTCGGGAGGGGCGAGCGCAGGGGCGGCGGCGAACTCGAGGGTGGGGTTTCCGACCAGCTTTCGTGCCAACCAAAGGAAAGGCTTCTCGAAGTTGTAGTTGGACTTGGCCGAGATCTCAAAGTACTGCAGGTTCTTCTTGCGGTGGAAGGTGACGGCGCCGGTCTTGACCTTGCGCTCCTTGACGTCGACCTTGTTACCGCAGAGAACGATAGGGATGTTCTCGCAGACTCGTTCCAAGTCACGGTGCCAGTTGGGGACGTTCTTGTAGGTGATGCGCGAAGTGACGTCGAACATGATGATACCGCACTGACCCTGGATGTAGTATCCGTCGCGCAGACCACCGAACTTCTCCTGTCCCGCCGTGTCCCAGACGTTGAAGCAAATGGTACCGAAGTTGGTGTGGAACTGAAGAGGGTGCACCTCGACACCGAGCGTGGCGATGTACTTCTTCTCGAACTCTCCGGTCAAGTGACGCTTGACGAAGGTGGTCTTGCCGGTACCACCGTCACCGACGAGGACGAGCTTGAACTGGGGGATCTCCTGGTTTTCGGCAGACATCTTGGATGTGTTGCTTATTCGGGATGTGGATGTGCGAGCGTAGAGGTGAGGGGTGGAGTAAGAAGGAAGGAACGCGGAAGAACAGCTGAAGCAGTGGTAAGCACCGACACAAACATGCGCTGTCGGACAGCCCGCCTAACGGAACGAGACACAGGCTCACCAAAAAGTTCGAGCCGGCAGCAGCAGCAGCAGCAGGTTGGAGTTTGAGCATCCAACCTTCCTTCCTTTCTCTGTTCTCACTCACAAAGCCAGCATCAGTGACGTGCATCTTCGAAGAAAAAAAAAGGTCCAACTCCGAGTGGGACTACAGAGGCTGCGCTCGCTTCCAAGATGCATTCAAAGTTTTTGCTCAGCCCCGAATCGCAAATGAAGGAGCGTGACGAAATCGAGGTGATCGAGGAAATTGAAAGACATTCGCTTGGCCCATGATTCAGCGCCAGTCCAGACGCGAAAATTTCGCCAGCGGAATGCATTCGTGCATCCACAGGTTTGATCGATTTGAATGATCCTTTCTGTTCCACTTTTCAATCTATCCGATGACTTTTGGGACGCGGTCAAATCAGCGATCTGGCACCGACTTCCGAGAGACTGTGGAGGCGACTTTCTTGAAACGGCTTGAGAAGAAAAAATTTCTGGAGAAGGCAAAGCAAGGGTGCAGGCCCAGATGCCTTTACTGAAAGCAGCTTCGGGAGCCTGTTCACCATCACCACTCCTTCTCCTGCAACGCCTGACACCACGTCTTTGCTGCGACTCCCAAACTCGGGCACCATTCCATCCCACCGAGTCCCGCAGCGCGCTGTATCGCACACTCCGTCGGCTCTATCCTGCAAGCACGCCCGCCCGCTGGTTCGGTCATCAGCATAGCCCCCCTGACGCCCCCTCTGAACATCGGCTCTTCCGCATCAATAGCTCGGATACTGTGCATCAATAACTTGGCTCCCTCGCATCAACAGCCCGGATTTTCCGCATCAATCACAACGCAGAACGTGACGATCACCATGTCGAAAGATCACAAGAGCAAAGACAAGTCGAAGCGACGCGAGTCGAAATCCGGCTCTTCCTCCTCCTCGTCGAAGTCTCGCAAGTCTTCCTCGTCGACTTCTGTCTCGGATCTCCCTATCACGCTCCCATCCAACAACATCGCCTCTGATGTTGCCTCTACCTCGGCACCACGTACCGTGACTACCGCTTTCTCGACCTTGTATCCGATCCTCAACCTCCCCATTCCACCCGTATGGTCGTCCGATCCATACTCGGCATTCTCCGATCTCATGGATACCCTCGTAATGCGATACGTGCCTCAACTTTCCGGAGTCCTCATCACACATTCTCCCACTCGCTTCCTCCAAGATACCGCCGTCTTCTCCGCCGATTCGGCATTCGCTACGGCGGCCGTCGGGTTCGAGTGCGTGGTATGGACGCCTCGTATCGGTCAGATGTTGGAGGGAAACATCTGTCTCTCCTCCCCTTCCCACGTATCCCTCCTCCTGTACGGACTGTTCAACGCCTCCATTCCAGCATCACACCTTCCCGCAGAATTCGAATTCGTCCTCGACGACTCCGGAGATCAAGGCATGGGTTTCTGGAAGAGCAAGATCGACAACACCAAACTCGGAGGCTCCACTGGAAAACTCCAGTTCACCGTCATCAGCCTCACAATCGCAAACCACATGCTCTCACTACACGGATCCATGCTCGACGATCCTTTCAGTTCCCCCTTGACCCTCGACAGATCGTACCTCAAAAAGAGTCTCTTGCCAACCCAGGCGTTCGGTCTAGGCAGTACCTCCGCAAAACCCACCAACAAGGACGTCGAAAAGGTGGCTTCCCCAAGAAGAGTCAGATGGCAGGACGAAGATGACACTGATGCAGTACAAAGCGACGACCCTTCCAAGTACGATACCCCCGAAGTCGTCAAGGTGGAAGAACCGGTCAAGGTGGTCAAGGAGAAGAAGAGTAAGAGGAAATCAACCGGTTCAACCGCAGAGACAGAACAGCAAGAGGCTTCGACAACCGATTCACCAAAACGCGAAAAGAAGCGCAGAAAGGAAGCCTGATCCGTAGCATCGTCTAGTTCCATGCTCATTGCCACTTTGCATCAATGTCACCTGCATTACTTCAATCATTCGATTTGCGATCACGATTATCCGCAATTTGTCACACAGCGTCGACTTCACGGCACAGCTTGCAGATTCATAACGGCAACACGTGAGACGCGGCAAAAGATCGTGGTTGCGATTGTCATGAGGTCTGTCGAATGGGATCGGCAAAGGTATGGGCATGAATGACTTGTACGTTCTTGGAAGAGATGAAGCGCAAATGGGAAATCGAGCAAGGTCGGTCCTGGGCGCCAAACAGCAGCTGTCGTTGCAGAGAGACTGACTGCGGGCCCAAGGACACAATCATGACTGGCAAGGTGGAGCCATGTCTTTTCGTGTGGATGTAGGGGATGGGGTCATCAACTGAGGGTGCGAGACGAAGCCGCTTTTGGGTGTCTCCAATTGAAGAAAGCTTGCCAAGGGACTCTCACTGGAACTCCTGCGACGCCGCTGCCGACTGAGCTTTTTTGGCCTGACTGAACTGCAGAGCCATCTTTTCAAAATCGCGAGCCAGGCTCTGACGCACGCGAAGCTTGTCCGGCTGCGTGCGAAGGTCAGGACTGGAAACGAGCAAGAGACGCTTGACACGAGTGATCAGTCCCTTGCTGCCTTCGAGAGGAATGTCGAGGAAATCATAGCGCTGGATGCATCGCTCGAACTTGGCGAAATCCTCGTCGTCGAGCTCCTCCTGAATGCGAATGTAGAGCTTTCTCTCGAACGACATGTAGCTGAGATGCTCGTCCTCCCCCTCATCCTGATCCTGGTAGGTGGCGGTGGAGGCGGGCATGAAGGAGCCAGGGCTGGAGAATGCAGAACTAAGTTCTTGTCGCGACGTGGGTTGCGCCGCTTGGTAATGGGTATCGGTGACTGCCATCAGTCGCTGCGAGGCAACGCTGATGTCAGTATGGGAGGTGAGAGAGGCGGCAGCAAGTTGCTGCGTAGGCAGCTCGGGCGATGTGTCTCTCGAATGCGCCTTAACTGTCTTTGGGTTGCAGAACACATCTTCGATCGCGAGAGGGATAGCATCGTGGACGCTTCCGGCTCGGCTACGGCTGCGGGTGCCTGATTGAGTGCTGAGTCGGGAAGCTGCTCGGGATACAGGACGTGAGGCACCACCCGCCTGACCGCCGGCAGGAGTCGTGCCTTTCTGCTGAGCAGTAAAGGTAGAGCGCATCGCTTCGCGTCGTTTTTCGAGGCAGCCCTGCAGGTAGTCGCTGCTGGTGAGCGCCTTGTCGCTGGGGCTGGTTTGTCGACTCTGGGACTGGGATGAAGCGGTAGCTACAACGCCGGACGCGGTGAGGGCACCTTTGACGATCTGAGCGAGGCTGAGGCTTGGACCGCGGTCGCCGGACACAGTGCTTCGGCGTTTGCTCTGCAGAGCGGCTTTGGCCACACCACTGCCTGCCACGATGCTGGCGGCTGTCGTCGACACGTTGTTCTCCAGGACCGTACCATTGAAACGCTGTGCCGAAGCTGGACGTGCGACGCCCGAGGCCGACTCTTGCTGACTCTGTGCTTGCGTCTGAGAGCTGAGCAAGTGCCCTCGTTGAACTCCGAGGACAGATCCGGATCGCGGTGCAAACATTCCGATGGCACCGACCGTTCCTGATCTTTTGTGAGCGATGTGGCTTGAGGGAACATCTGTATGAGTAGCGAGACGCGAGCTCCGTCCTTCAGCGTTGGCGGCGGCTGCATAAGCAGCATACTGTACGTCTTCAGGGCTGTACGCCACGTCTTCAAGCGGACGCGAGCTATCCCACTTGCTGTGCAGCGCCTCGAGCTCCCTGGCTTGCATCGCTATGGCCTGCCTCTTCTCCGAGTCGACGTTGAGATGTTGAGTAACGGTAGTCGTCTGGAGAACACCGGCGTTGATTGGTAGGCTCGGCATGGCCTGAGGACGAAGCTCGGAACGATCTTCGACTTGCAGATTCGACGAGCAGTACGGCGTGTGGCCGAAGCTCGCTGTTACTTGATTCGCTCTCTCGACGGACGAGGGAGCTGAAGGCACAGAGAGATGATCGTAGTCTCGCATGTCGAGAGCTTGGTACGGTGAGCCGAGGTTGCTCCCGGGAAAAGGGCGTTGAGACAGACAGTCTTCTAGCGAGCTCATGCGGCCCTGAAGCTGGGTACGTGTCTTCTCCTCTCTATGGAGATAGACGTGAAGCTTCGCGTTCTCCGCCTCGAGCAGAGCGTTGTGCTCCTTGAGAACACGATGCTCAGCCTCGAGGGCTCCGATCTGTGCCCTGAGCTTGGCGGCAAACGTTTCCCAGCCTCTGCACTTGACAGCGAGCTCGTAGTACTTTGCGGAGAAGGCAGCATGCATAGTATCGACGCCGATGCGCTGCTCAGGAGAGGTGGGAGGCGAAGGAATATCAGAGTAGGACTCTGCCCTCGAAGCTGATGTGATAGAAGATTGTGGAATGCGATCCGGCTGCTGATGCTCGTGCTGATGCTCGTGTTGATGCTGATGCTGATACAGATGCTGATGTGAGTCGCGAATGGCGATCTGCGAGGTCGAGGCAGGCGGCTGCGATGGTTGTTGCTGCTGGAGCTGCGGTTCCTGTGTTGAGACGGTCTGGCTGCGCTTCTTGACGACGCCAGTGGACGAGGAGGACGAGATCTGACTCGAAGTTGCGGACATGTTGACGCTGTTGTCAGCGTTGATGCCAGATCCGGACGCAGGCAAGACACGAGGATAGCTCTTCTTATCCGTAGACAGCTGATTGTCGATAGCATCGTCCTCCGAAGTCGAAAAGTGGCTAATTTTTTGGTTCGAGATGCTCGCGGAGAGGTGGGTTTGAGAGTGGGTGTTGACACTGGCCTGCTTGCGAGGTTGCGTTTCAACGTCACGAAGCGGAGCAGGCTGGGCATGGGAACGTTGTTGACTTTCGTGCTCGCGCTCCTTGCGGATCTGTGCCCTCATCTCCGTGTATCCTCCCGAACCTCTGTGCGATGCAGTCCGGGACTGAGATCTGAGCGATGTGGAAGCGACATTGATGACGGTCGATGGCGCTGGAGCCAGCGGCCTGCGATTCATGGAGCAGGGTTCTCGACGGGGGGAAAATGGGGGGAAGAGACAGTGGGGAGCGGTCGGGCAAGGAACGTGATTTGAGTTGGGAGATGGCGTAGCGACTCCTGCCTGACGCGGACGAATGATGAGAAGGGAAAGGCCCTTTTAAGAGCGAGGTCTACTCCGAGGCAAAAGGCGGATGACGGGGAGGGGGAGAAAGCAACATCCAAACCAAGACTCGCTGATGTGCGCTGAACGGAGCAGGTTGACGTTGATTAGGAATTTGATGGACGACGTACGTTGGATATCGGAGTCGTAGCTACTGTCGTAGCTATCCTGGAGCGTGATGAAGTCGAAACGGAGCAATGTGACTTGATGGAAGAAATGCAAGCCGGTGGCGAAAGGAGCGAAGAGCGAAGCCAAATCTTGTTTCGTGGGAGGAGAGCGCGGTCTCACGGATATGGTGGAGCTTGCTTGGAAGCAATGTGATTGTAGCAAATGTTACTTTGAGCCAAACCAAGAAGCAAGCTGCGCAATTGAGAGAGAGAGGACGTCGTCGAAAAAGGAATACGTTGGAAGCTGCAGACGAGATGAAGCGCAGTGGGTCTGGTGTAGCGTGATTCCGCCGAGATACCCAGCAGGCTGCGAGAGAAGGCTCTGCGATGGATCCGGAAGTGTCCGTGAGAGCAGCGAGGGAATTGAATGCGCACAGCCGAAGCCTATCTGTCGAGAGGTGGGCGCTGAGCTTGCTTTGCTGTGCCGAAAGCTGCGCAGCGATGGAGAAAGAGATGAAGGTGTGACGGGCGAAGGGTGGCGAACGAAAGCAGCAGAAGGTGTTCGAGCAGAATATGGTGTTGAAGTCCCCGGGAGAGGCGAGCTGTCCGGTACTGCGATCTCGATGTTGGAGGGTGGCAGGAGGAGGACAAAGGGAAGGGAATGACCAAGTTTGACAGGTCGACACCGTGCAAGAGCGAAGGAGCCCGCGGCTTGCAAAGGGATCAAAGGGTCCATGTGCAGATTCGCGGACCACCGCTCAACATTTCTTTTCTTTGGCTGCACTGTGACAATAGAACCAGGCTACGGCACACACCCTTGACACGCTGTGAAAGGCGGCTCAAGGGACCAGCAGAGCACAATCTTGAGGTGTCAGACACCTTGTCACCACACACAGAGGGTGCGTACGTGTATCTCGTATACGTATGTGTGACATGGTGGCTCATCTTGGTGAGGCGATGCACAAGCCACAGCGGATCGCGCCACGACGGACTGAGCTATTTTGTGCAGGCTGTGCGCGGCTCGACCGACGTGTGAATGTGGCGCTGCAAAGTCATGGATGTTGGCGACCCGAGAAAACTGTGTCGCTGCTTGCTGCCTGCGATGAGGCGCAGTGTAGGACAAGGCGCTGTTGCGCCCTCACACACAGAACGGCGAGGCGGAACACGAGCCGAGGGTGGTCCCTGACTGGCTCATCTCTGCATCGGATCAAAAGCGGCGCATTTCAACCAGGGATCTCTCCTCGACTCCCTTTGCAGTGAGGTGAAAGGTGCAGGACAGACCAAGCCATTGGCTTGGAACGATCCCGTGTGGACAGAGATCTCGTCGCTCCTTGCTTGTCCTGAAGCGGACAACCTGGGGGCGAGATGCGTTCACTCGACCACGGGCGATTGGCCTTTGCAAAGGCCGCTGGCGTCCAAGGCGATCTTCGAGGGTTTCTCGGGGTAGCTCTGGTCGTCAGACTCTGTGATTTTAGGCGTCGACGCTGTTCTGGTCTGGTCAGGCGAGCAGTTGCCGACTAGCGGCTCCTCGGTACTCCCGTTGCTGCCGAGCTCGTCCCGTCTGGCCCTGAATTTTCTTACTGTTTTGCCGCAGACGTGTTGCTTCGGTACGTGCGGATGAGGACAGGCTAGTGACTGTGCTAGGGCTCCAGAAGAAAGTTTGCATGGATGCGTCTGACTGTGACTTTGCAGAGGAAGCTCGCGGAAACGGCGACGCCGTGCAGAGGGCAGCGCGCAGTTCTTCCAGCACAACTAGCTGAGCCATATGAATTTCATGCGAGTAATCACACTCACAAACATACGCACACGCCATCATGCGGTTGACAGCCTCGCTTCGCCACCGTAAAAGCAAAAAACGAGAGCCAAGGGTGCGCCATGCGGTTCCTTGGCCACGGCACGTTTTTGTCTGTCGAACTGCGCCTGCGCTGAATGTGCAGCTCTCCGCAGCCAGACTTTTCTTTTTCGCCAGTTGAGAAGATCGACAGACAGGCGAATTTCATTAGCCGAGACCAACACTTCGCTAACACGTCAACCCGAAGATCGCGACCAGCCAGCCCGAACAGAGAAGCAAGAACATTCACAAAAGCGCTCGACGGCGAATTGCCATGCCGAACTTGGTTCACATGCAGACGCACAAATTTCCACTGCTGGTCTCGCAATGCATCGTCTGTGCAGCCAGTCGTCAAGCTGGTCAGCGCACATCCAGGACGGCGCAGCAAAGCCGAGGGTCAGCGGCCGCTGTTGCGACGACCATCCTGCTCCTCGAGAGCTCGGCCATCGCGGATCACCATTCGGCAGCTGCTCTTGCCGTTGAGACTGCTCTGAACTCTGTGGTTGATCAATAGTGACATGCTCGCTCAACACATCCATATTGCGAATACTCGTTTCGTGTCATTGCGCTACTCCTCTCCGACTTGCTGCACTGTACATCTGACGAGAGCCAAATCCCCTGCTCGGAAGAGCCCGTCCGCACGCTACTGTGGCGGGCTCGCGTGGCGCAAATCGACAAGGAACAAAGATATCTGTGACCAGTAGCTTGGCAGTAAGAGTCTGCATCGTAATGACGTCAAGTGTGGAAAGGCCAACAGCAACGGCTCAGCCGATGCTTGACTACGCAGCTGGAGCGACGGCAATGGAACAAGGCGAGCTGAATCGGATGAGCGAGTCTTAAGTTGTCCGGAGCAATGCCGTCCCGAGGCGTCTGGACCCTACACTCTCACTGACAACTGTTGTGCGGTTTCACCCGGTATCCCGGATTGCCTCTTTGCCAGCTCCGGGCCCCTGCATTGTCGCACTCCTCGATCTGAATCGCGTGCCGAGTCGAGATGCAGAGTTTTCGCGCTGTGCAAAGCGGCCGTCCATCTCGGATCGAGGCATGCTCCGGTATCCAGACGTTGACCCTTGCGGGCACACAAGCTCTTCCTCTGCTTCAGGGCTTCCCCCACGGGCACACGACTCAAGCTTGTTGCAGTGTCTGGGCAACATCAACCGACTCGCCACCGCTAATCTTACTCCGAGCTTACGAATGGAGCTTACCGCTTACAAACCGGCTTCGTGTACTCTCCGCCTTCTTCTGACCCGACAGAGATCAATCTGACTCAAGAATAGCATCCTTGACAAGACAGAGTCAGCTTTGCAACGCTGAGCCTCTCCAGTCTGACAGCCATCGGAGCTCGAATGTCGGCTCGCTTTGATTTTTTTTTTCTTTTTCGCGGGCGTCGATCCATTGCCAAGGAACGGACCCAAGGGACCCTTTTCTCTCTATAATCACACACTTATGCATCTCCCCGTGTGATCAGCCGGAAGGATCGGTGTCCGATCGTGTGCCCATGTCGAGCATCAACGATGTGTAGAATGGCAAGAGCTTTTCCCTGCGCGGTCCCATGCTCAACAGGCTTCCGCGCTGCGGTCATTTCCGAGCACCTGTCAAAGCTGTTTCGACGCATTCAGCGGGGCAGAGGCCGTCCTTGCTGCATACAAGACAGAGACTCTCGAGCTAACTTCGCCGTGATGCAAGTGCCCTTCTCGGCATCAAAGCGGATACGAGTCGCTCCCAGGGTCAGTCACACTTAGCAGTTGACCCTGTGAGCAAGTCAAGGGCACAGCAATTGTCACTGCAACCATTCTCTCCAGAAGCTGTGTATGCAACCTCACACGGCAGCCGCAAGACGCGACTTATACCTAGTTGACCGATGCCGAGGGTAGATTGCAAAGGCCGCTCTCTCCTGGGTATGCATTTGCTGGGCTGGTCACCTCGGCAGCATGCTCCATTGTACGTGTGCACGTCAGCGGTGAATGACGTGCATGGGAAAATGAATGCCTGCGTCTCGACCTTCTCATGATGCTCGCATAGGGGGCATGTGAGTTTTGCCGACGCAGCGGAAACCCTGTTCCCGCCTTTGTCGGGGGTCGAAGCGAGGCTCCAGTGAGCAATCTGTAGCAAACTCTGAACAGCAAGTGGGTGGCTATCAGCATCGCATGCTGTTGCTCCATGATGCAAATCATCGAGCCGACTCTAGCGATCTGCAGTACAGCTCGCTTGCCCATGCTCATGTTGCCTGTCAAGGATCTTTCGGTAAAGCACACACCAAGCAAGGGATTGCTGCTTGTGGGAGTCTAGCATCGCTGCGATCGCAATTCCGCAGCCTGAATGCGGGGTTGTGTTCATAGTTGGCGTTTCGTACGGCCGTCATTGCACCCATGAGTGCGCAATATTATCCGTTGCCCGCGAAGGGTCCTCGACCTCAAGCCCCGGACGTCTCTTGCTCAGGCATCTTGGGAAGCCGGGATCCCGATCAGATACTATCGAAAGCCGCTCGTCATATCGGAGATGCTACCGCGCCTCTGTTCTCTGGCTTGTACGATATCCGGCAGCTGTGTACCGGGCTTGATTCTCGCCGTTTTGCGCGACTCTCTGCCGAGAACTTGGCCCTCCAACATCGGCGACTGGATGAACGGAGAATTTGCATCTGTCTGAGTGAACCTGAATGGAGGCGACTCGGAGCCTACACGACAGGCATAGCGACGAGCGACGGCGTGGCGTGATGGTCGAACAGAGTCCGGCAAGCTGTGCCGAGCACCAGAGCATGTTCGGCATGGTCCGCGGCAAGCACGCGGCAGGCGGAGGAAGATTAAAAAAAAGGAGACCAAAAACTTTTCCGAAGACCGAATATTCGGAACCCAAAGTTGATGACGATCCTCCACTTGGACAGTGTGTACTCGCATCAGGCCAAGCTTTGCTCTCGACCCACCATTGCATCGCACATCGGCCTCGACAGATTTCAATTCAGACGGTCAAGTCTTCGCAGTCCTAAGCTGTCGAGCGACTCGCAAGCGCCTGCACGGACACCTATTATCGCTGGTCAACCATGGCGCTGGCCAAGGCGTAGGGTAATCGCTGGAATCTGCTTCCACGCGCCAGCCGTGGGAGATGGATCTGACTCAACAGTCAAGTGGGAAGCATGACGGCGACAAGCAAGGCTCGCTTCGGCGACTTGCGGCACAGCTCAAGCGTATCTGGCCATGCTGCAAGCTTCTAGCGCCGGCCGTCGCTGGTGCACTGCTTCTCACGCCCTTTGTGCTCGAGCATCGACTACGAACTTGGATGTCACCGACGCCATTCTTCACATACATCCTCTTTTTCCTCTTCTTCTTCCCCACTCCTTCGCCAGTCGGGGCCTATCTCGAGAAGTCTGTCATCACGCTGGCTTTCGTCGCCGCAGGTACCGGCATCACCTTCCTCGCCGTCTGCGGGTGCATCTGGATTGACGGCGAGAACGCACCGGCAAAAGTCTCGAAGCGCTCAAGAGCGATAGGGGTCTGCGTCCTCATGTTCTTCTGTTTCGCAACTGGAGCCTTGTCGAGCTACGCGCCGCGCCTCAAGAATGCCTGTCGAGCTGTTGTCTTCAGCACGCTATGGGAGCTCACGACGCAGTACAATATTATCAGCGCGCGCATCTTCTTCGACCATTTCTACCCGGCCTTGGTAGCCATGATCGTGGGTATCTTTTGCAATTTTGTCGTGTTTCCGAGAACAGCACGCGCAATATCAATCAATCAGCTCTGCGAGCTCTTCGATGGTACGGCACGGCTCACGAGTCTCGCCGTCGACGGCTTCTTCGACCAACACGCCGGATCAGCAAGCAAGGGCAAGGCAACGCAATCGAAGAGCTTCAGTCAACTGAAAAAGGAGCTCCAAAGCCTGCAAGCTCGACTGTCCTTCAATCTGGATGCAGCACAGAACGAGGTCGCATTCGCACGCGTACCTGTTGGACATCTGCAGCTGTTCCTCCCCATGCTTCGGGACATCCGTGGCTGGTTCAATTGCAGCCTCGCCTGCCTTCAAGATGCAAGCGCCGTAGAGGAGGCGTCACAGCGATCGGAACAGCCGACAGACTGCGCGACAGATCATGCTACGCCGCAGCCCGCCTTTGATTTCGAAGAAATCATCCGCGCTTTCAGCCTCGATATCACGCGCTCACTAGTCTGCCTGCGTCGGTGCATCGCCAAATGTACGGATTCGGCAGGCTCCGCCAAGAGGCGGTTTTCTGCGGGCGTCGTCGACGAGAAAGCAGACCAAAATCGAAGTTCGACCGACCCAGAGCTCGACCTTAACCAACAAAGAGCAGAGTTGCGCGCCTCAATCCGCTCCTTCAAGACGGCTCTCAGCGACGCCATCAAAAGGCCTCGATCAGAGATGACGCTCGATGCACAGCGTCAACATGAGTGCGAACAGGACGGCGTGACAACTTCCGATCTTGGCACTCCTGCTTCGCGATCCTCTACGCCAACCGAAGAACGTACACCGCTAGCACACCTATTCCACAACGACTCGTACCAGACTTCTTTCCTCATGATCTCTCTCCTCGAAGTGGCGTTGCTCGTCGATTCGTGTCTTAACGCAGCATCCGGCGTGGCAAAGATCTGGGCCGGGACTTCACGCAGGAGGCTCCACATGCCCGTAGCAGATTGGCGCTACTGGCTAGGTCGTACCAATCTTGGCGGTGGTGACGACATCGCTTTGGCCGACGAGCGTGTCGATGCTCTTTTGCATGAAGACGACGAGCCGTTGCCTGCCGACACGGAGACGCAGCTCGACGACATCGACTTCTTTGACAAGGGCTCGCAAGATTTGCTCACTGTTTCGCCCACGCTCGAAAGAACTGAATCAAGGGTCAGCGACGGCGTCGCAAATCTGCGCCACGCTATCAGAAGAAGTATGCGAGCCTTACGAAAGATATTTGCGACACGCCGTGCGTTGCACTGCCGTGTCGCTTTATCAAACATTTTGACGACGTTACGTCACAGCCGGCACATCAAATTTGGCTTGAAACTCACTGCGGGAATCGTGCTCTTGACGCTGCCTGCGTGGCTGCCCTACAGCGATTCCAAACGATGGTGGTACGATAAAAGAGGTCAATGGATGGCCATCTCATACCTATTCTGCCTCGAAACGTCGACAGGAGCGAGCATCCGCACGTCGCTCTTTCGCATCCTCGGAACTATTTTTGGCAGCCTTCTCGGTCTGGTCATCAGCGAAGTCAGCCGCCAAAACCCTTACGCTCTTGCGTTCTTGCTTACACTCGCATCCATCCCTCCATCGTACCTGATGCTCTTTACCCGCTTCCAAGGCGTAGGGGTGGTGATGGGCCTCACGCTGCCCATCGTGGCCCTGATTCCACAAGAAGACGCTGGACAGAGTGTGGCGTACGTCGCGTGGAATAGAGGCTACATGATCCTCTTGGGTATCATCGCGGCTCTTCTTGTCAATCTTTTCGTATGGCCCATCCACGCGCGCCTCGAGCTGGTGCGGAGAATATCGCTCATCACGTCGAAACTTCAATCCCTCTATCTCAGCCTCTCCAGGCAGATGCTCTCAGGCGGCCTCACTTCTTCGCACAAATCCAACGCGGCTTTCGAAGAGCTCGAGGGCAACATCGAATTTCGGATCGGTCAAGCGCGTCGTCTAGTGGACATCATGAAGATCGAGATCAGTCTCAAGCCCAAGCGCACAAGGGTGTTGTCCGAGCTACTGGATCAGCTCGAGAAAATCCACGAGCTACTGTTGGGGTTGAGAAGGTGTAGAGAGCATGGATTGAGGTCGGTGAGGCAGCACGCTGTCGTGAACGTACTGGAGTTGCGCCAGAGTTTGATCGCTTCGGTGCTGCTGGTACTCTGGACCACCGGACAAGCGTTGCAGACCAAGGCGCCGCTGCCGCAGTGTTTGCCCAGTCCGAGGCTGGCGTTGGAGGAACTGACTGAGGCTGTGGCGGAGCAGCTGAGAGACATGGTCGAGGAAGGGGTGCAGGAGCCGTCGAGGATGCGCGGGAGACGTGGTGCTCCGGACGCCTTCCATGCTTTGGACAGCTTGAACCAGAAGAGTATCCTCGTCAACGTCAGGAGACGGCATCGCAAAGGCTTGCACTCTATCCAGTCTTACAGCCCTACCAACGGCTCTCGCAGCGGTGCCGCTTCTCCGGCTCGACACTCACACCACCGGAAACATCACACGGCATCGCATTCGGAGTCCGAGACACCCGGTACGACCGCCGTCAAAAGATCGCTCGACTACGCAATGTTCTTCATCCTTGCCGAACACGCGCTTCTAGAGGAGATTGTGAGCTCGTTGGAGAAGCTTTCGGAGCTTTGCAGGAGCATCGTCGGGGAAGCGAGTTTCTTGACGACCGAGTTCGTGCCTCACACCAGCAGTCACGGGGCGGACGGGGACTCGAGGACGCTTGGCGGCGTAGCAACGCCGGTGGGAGCAGTCAGGTCAGAGGCGGGGGACGCGACAAGGACGGGAGGAGGTAGAAGCCTGTCTGTTCCGGATACGATGAGAGGTAGAGATGGATCACCGATGAGTCGTCCCCTGCCCTCATCGAGGCTTCGACCGTCGGCAGATGCTGAATACACCTTGAGCAAGTAAGAGAAATCCAAGATACCCTTCGCAAACGTCCCTCATACGACGTCATTTGTACATGATAATTTATGAATTCAAACGCCATGCAGCAATCTTTCTACAACATCGTTCCACGACCCGTCTCGGCCGTCCTCATCTCCTCCCCCCTTTTCACTTGCCGATGCAAAACGTAGCAAAGATACTACCCAAAATCTCATCCGGTCTAACCTCTCTGCCCGTGATCTTGCCGACGGCCCTGGCTGCGTACCTCAGCTCCTCGGCTGCGAGCACCAGATCGACGTCTCGTTCCTCTGCTAGAGATTGAAAGTTGTCGATGTGGTGGAGACATTCTCTGAGCAAGGTTCTGTGGCGGGATTGGGTGATGAGTGGGGTTTCGTTGGTTTGAGGTAAAGAGTATTTTGAGGCGATGAGGGTGGATAGGTTTGAGATGAGCAGGGAGATGTTGTGGTTCGTGCGGACGCTGCCTGACCAGCTGAGTTGCGAAGGATTGGGACTGGATGGAGAGGGTCGAGAAGGGTGGGGGAGTAGGTCGGATTTGTTGTAGAAGATAAGGTCTGGATCGCTAGCGCTATAACTTTCTGGACGAAGGATCATCTTTTCCAGCTCGAAATCCTCGTTCGCGGGAAGCACGAGCAGAGACAGATCGGCTCGAGAAACACTATCCTTGGCACGTTGAATACCGATCTGTTCGATCTCATCTATACCTCGACCCTGCGCGGAAGAATCGCGGATACCGGCGGTGTCGTAGACGATGACCTTGTAGCCGGCGAGATCGAGGTGCACCTGGAGGACGTCGCGCGTGGTACCGGGGATGTCGCTGACGATGGCGGCGTTTCGATCTGCGAGTCTGTTGAGGAGGGAGCTCTTGCCGGCGTTGGGTGGACCGTAGATGGCGAGGCGAATTCCTGTGGTGAGGATCTCTCCGACATGTCTTGTTTCGACACTCTTGCCGTTTTCGTTTGAAGTGGATATCCCCAGTTCTCCACGCAACAGCACCGCCAACTCGCCCACCATCTCTCTAACCCCAATCCAGGTGCCATCCTCCACCCCATCCTCATCAGCAAAATCGATCAACGCCTCCACCCCCGCCATCGCCCGCAAAATCCTCTCCCTCAACCCCTCAAACCTCCGCGTCTGCAACCCCCTCGTCCCATCCAACGCCAGTCTCCTCTGGACACTCGTCTCTGCACTCACCAACCCATGCAACGCCTCCGCACCCGCCAGATCCATCTTCCCACCCTCAAACGCTCTCCTCGTAAACTCCCCTGGTTCCGCCATCCTAACCCCGCTACCGAATGCAGAAAGCGCATCGAGGGTGTCGTGGATGGTGGAGTGTCCGCCGTGGATGTGCAGTTCGAGCGTGGGTTCGGAGGTGTAGCTGTGCGGGGCGGGGAAGTAGATGACGCCGGAGGGGGAGTCGATGATCTCGTGGGTGGTGGGGTGGTGGATGTTGCGCAGGACGAGTTTGTGCACAGGTGGAAGGCGCGTGTAGGGCCGGAGGGAGGTGGTGAGGCAGAGAGAGAAGTAGAGATTGGGGACGAGAGGGCCGGAGATGCGGATGATGGCGACGCCTGCTCGACCGGCGCCAGTGGCCAGAGCGAAGATGGTATCGTTGGTGGTGGGATCCGAAGAAGGAGAAGCAGAGGTGCTGAGGTTGCGGTGGCTGTATGGATGCGAAGGAATCGGTTGTGAGACCTGGCGAGACATGTAGTGAGAACGTCGAGGCAAAGTGTTGAGGCTGGAGCTGTACAGTCGGCAGAGACGAGGTGCGAGAAAGGGTGCGATATCGGAAGGACTGCATGCTGGGAGCTGTTGAGCTGCTACTCGAGACAGCCAGGATCCTCGATGGAGGTACCTCGGAGCCATCTGCGCTTCCGAGGCAGCGCTGGCCTCTGTTTGGTCGGACTGGATCCACGAGAGTGGGATAAGTTCAAGAAAGAAGAAGGCAAAACGAACGCATCGAAGGGTCATGTCAAGTTCCGCACGCCCAAACCGAAAAAAAAAGGCCAAAAGTGGAGAAAGGGTCCTTCCTCGCTGCATGCTCACAAGCTCAACTCCCTTCTCAATGTACCACCATCTTTCACTTCCTTGTCTTTCCTCCGCTCACTCTGCTACCGAGCGAATGTCATCACAGCTCCACAGAACCATCCGCTACCTAACCCACTCGCCTCTCACCCTCCGCACAATGTCGACCACACCAACACCAGCACCACCACGACCACCAACATCAACAACCGAAACACCCTCGTCCTCCACCCCCCCACCACCTCTCGTGATGCAACTCATCATCGACCCCTCCAACCCCACCACCTCAACCTGGCCAAAAGGGCCCTGGATGGCGCAATCCGCCCACGCAGCTATCTGCGCCATCCAGACGTCGCTCGACTCGCCGCTGACGCAAGAGTACATCTCCCCGACCAACTTGGGCGCGATGCACAAGGTGGTGCTCCAAACGCCTTCCTCCGGGAAAGCCAAGATGACGCTCGTGGAGCTATCGCAGAAGCTGGGCGAGGCGAGGAGGGAGTTCGAGGAAGGAGAAGGAGAAGAGGAGGAGTTTCCGAGGCATCATTTGTGGGTGGAACAGCCGGAGAATGTGGCGACTTGTTTGGCGGTGGCCCCAAATAGGAAGCCTGCCAAGTTGAAGAAGATGCTGCGCGCATGTACGTTGGTTAGAGATTGAGCAATCCCAGGCGAAAATGGTGAGGATGTAGCAGAGATTTTGTGTATGAGGTGTCTTTGCAGGGGTGAATGATACAAGTACATGATACTAGAAACTGAATTGAAGCCGAGAAGCGGGTATCATTGCGATTGATGCGTATGTTAGAAGGAAAGAGAGAGCGAGAGAGCGAATGCGTATGCGTTGGAAGATCGGACAAGATCATGCTTTGACAAGCGCCTCGACGGCCTTGTCGAACGACTCTATCCTGACCGGCATCTCGAGCGTGTAGAAAGGATTCTTCATGACATGATCCGCATACGCCTCGTAGCACCTATGCAACACCCCCGCTGGATTTGGATGCGCTGGAGACGTCACCAGTACGAACTTTGTCCCTGTTTCCATCCCACAAAACATTCATATGTCAGTTCAAAGACACCTCGCCCATTGTTGTACGTTTCTTCGCTGAACAACTCACCTGTGGAAGTAACCATGACGCGAATGGTAAAATGATCCGAATCAAGACTCTCGATGCCGCTGCACTTGCGGTTGGGCACGGGGTTGAGTTTGGCGGTGATGGCGTGGATGCCGTGGAGCGTTCCTGCGAGCACGAGGTATTCGTTCGACGAGAGGCGGCCGTTGTTGGGCATGGAGGAGGCGGCGGGGTGGACGAAGTGTTCGGATTGGTAGATGAGGCCCCCTGCCTTGTTGATGATCCAAAGCGAAGACATTGTGGTGAGACGACGAGAGCAAGGTGGTTGTGGTTGTGGGGGTGCGAATTAGAAGGGTGGTCTGAGAGCGGAGAGGAGGAGGAGCAGCAGCAGCAGCACCGGCAGCAGCGGCCATGTTAATTTGGGTTGGACCCTCAAGATGAAAGATGAATGCTTTCGGCCGGGTGGAAGAATTGGAATGGGCGAGCTGCACGCGACTGAGAGGGCGCTGTCTCTTCTCTCTCACAAAGGGAGCGGCGAGAAGGAAGAAAGCGCGTTGCTCTCTGCGAAAAGGGAAAAAATTCGGTTGCGAGCGAAATTGCACACACTGCTCAGCTGTTAGAAGCTGCAGCTGCGGATCATCACCAGCACCATCACCATCACCACCTCAACCGCATCCTTGGTGTGATCAGCTACCGCTTCACATCCCCTCACACCGCCACCATGTCGGCCGCAGACCTCGTCACCGTCCTCGCCGAAGGCACATTCGAAGAGCAGATCGTCGAAGTATCCACCTTCCTCTCGCGCTCCCAACCCGAAGCCTCTCGCAACGACTTTATCTCCAAGTTCCAGCAGCTCGCTCTCGACGCCGAACCCAGCACTACCGCCGAATCTGCTGAGACCACCACCACCCCCTCCGACGCAGCCAAGAAGCAGCAGACCGTATCCCAGCTCGTCTCTGAGATCAGCTCGCTCGGCGAAGGAACTGATCGTGAACTCGAAGGCGTCTACAACCTCATCTTCTCCCTCGTCTCGTCCACTCAACAGCAATCTCAACTTGTTCCCGCATTGATCTCTGCCATCTCCAAAGATGCTTCTTCCAGCAGTGCCGACAGCAAGAACAATGTCAAGTACCGAATCCTCTCGAACCTGTTCAACTCTCTCGAGCCCACGTCGCCCTTGCGTCTGCAGACGTTCACCGCTCTGCTCTCGTTGGTCTCGGCGAACGACGATCTGGACTACCTCACTTCGGCGCTCGCTGCACTTCCGCAGTGGTTGGCACAGTGGTCGGTCTCGGAATCCGAAAAGGCTGCCTGTCTCGAATCCGTCGCAAAGGCTCTCGAGGGTGCCGAGAAGGAACACGGTCAGACCTCGAAAGCGTATCAGTTCCTGCTGCTCCACCTGCGCTACATCTCTACGCTTCCTGCTTCCGCCTCCACCAAACAGGCTGCCGAACGCACCGTCGCCGCCGCCCTCCGTCTGCCCCAGCTGTACGAGTTCGAAGACCTCATCCACATCCCCGCCGTGCTCGAGCTGAAATCCTCCGCCTCCCCGCTCTTCGACCTGCTCAAGATCTTCGTCGGCGGCTCCACACAAGACTTCACCTCCTTCTCCTCCTCCAACTCGTCCCTCTTCGCCTCCCTCAACCTCTCCTCCGACGACCTCTTGCACAAAATCCGTCTGCTCGACCTCGCCGACCTCTGCGCTCAATCGGTTTCCAGCGACGTTAGCTACGCCTCCATCGCTTCCACCCTCAAGATCGAGGAGGACGAGGTGGAGCTCTGGGTGATCGACGTCATTCGTGCCGGTCTGGTGAGCGGAAAGCTCAGCCAGGTGAACGACGCGTTTAGGGTGTACAAGGCTACCCACAGGCAGTTCGGCAAGGAGCAGTGGCAGGGCTTGGAGAAGAGGTTGGTTCAGTGGCAGAACAGCATCAACAGCATCGTAGAGAGCATCGCTGCTACCAGGGGTGGAAAGTTGCCAGAGGGTGCGCTCGAGGTTGCTGCGTAGGAAAATATCTTTAAGGTGTTCGTTGCCCGGTGAAGAGGTCGCAGCTGCGACGGGCAGTGTGTCTATGATGAGGGCCTCGAGATGTTTATACTTTGATGTTCAACCCAGCTGTAACTATTGTTTCTGCGAATGTGTTGCCAGGAACGAGATCTGGATTGTGTAGCGCTACCCTTGAGAGAGAGAGAAGCACCGCAAAGGCAAAAGGGGTATACCATTTTCATCAAACCGCCCGTCTCCGTCACACCGGCAACATGGCTAGCGCCTCCTCAAACGCCTCATCCTCGTCATCAAACTCGTCCGGCATCCCCACATCCTCCTGCTCCTCTGCTGCATACTGACTGCTCTGCATGGACTCCCTCCACAACTCCTCCAGCACGTCATCCGTTGCATCCCAGTAGGGATCCACCACTTCCTCCTCTTCTCTGCCCTGCATCTCTCTCTCCAACCACTCCAGCTGATCCGGATCCAACCAGCCGATCTCCGCATGACCTTTTGCCTCGTAGACGCGCTTCAACCTAGCATACTCTGCGATAACCTGTCTTCTCGTCAACTCTTCGTCTTCTTCCGGTGGTGAACTGGGGGGAGGACTGGAGAGATCATCGTCATCTTGATCCATTTCATCGCTGAACAGTTCCCGATTCCCACCATGGATTCCCTTTCTAAACCCGTCTATTTGCTGCTTTCTCGCGGAGGAACGTGATGTATCCATTGCACGTTGACATCGTTCAAAGAAGGATTTTCGATACGAAGACGATGAGGAGCTGGATGTGGAGAAGGGTTGGGGTTTGTACGACCGGGTCGTGGAACCAGTGGGTGTGGGACGTGAGCGCGATCGTGAGGTGGTCGAGGAAGAGTGTTGCGCGAAGAATCGTGCACGTGTAGCATTGACCGCTGCTATGGTACTTGCGGGGTACAGGCTTCGTTCCGTCGGTGACGAGGAGAAGATTTGCTCTGGGAGGTAGTTGCCCTTACTACTGGACGGTGAAGAAGTAGCAGCAGCAGGAGCAGCAGCGGAGAGGTTGCTAGGACCAGCGAGGGGCGAGGAATGTTGCTGCTGTGCGTATTGAGCGGGTTGTGGGTGATGGAAGGGATCCATGTCGAACTGCGGTGCGCCCCAGTTGGTGACCTTGGTGGAAGCGGATGGTTGGTGAGATGCAGGGCGAAGATGTGTTAGAGGTTGCTGCGCAAAGATGCCAGTCATATCGATCGATGCTGTGCAACAAAGCTTCCGACTGCTGTGTACATGATGCTGCGGGCGACGGTGGTGTAAGTGCGGAAAGGAAGCAAAGCGACGATGATCAAGAAGCTGACACTGCTCAAAAAAAGGGTCCAAAGCGGCATCGCACTTGAAACCAATTTACGCGCTGCGCAGCTTGCCGAAACGCGTTCTTGCAACTCTAACATTTTCATACCCCATCATCCCGATACACCCTCGACTCTATCAAGTACTCCACCAGCGATGGCGGAACCAACCCCCTCAACTGCTCCCTCTTCCCATCCTCGCCAACACTCTCATCCTTCAGAAGCGACCTGATCCGTGTCGAGCTCATCTTTGCCTGCTCCGGATCGATATCCAGCATCCCAATCGAACCTTCCCTTACCCAAGGAGCCACGTACTCGGATTCCAGCAGCTTGTCCTCTCCCCTCCTCGCCTTCTCCTTCGCATCCCCTCCTTGCTCCTCCCCATCTGCCGCTGTCTGAGGGTACGACGATGGATCGCGTCTAGCGCACACAAACGTCGTCCGCTCTTTCTCGAAGAACTGCGAACATTGCTGCTCAAATTCCGGTGCAGAAGCGTAGTACTTGAGCTGGAACACGCGGTAGAGCGTGTCGAAGCCGACGACCCAGTGTAGTCTCGGCGATGCTGCTGCTGCTCTGCTGTGCTGATCGTGCGACTGCTGTTGTTTGAGCAGGTCCCAGGTGAGGGTGGATTTGGCAAAGATGAGCGGTTTGTCCACCAGTCCGACGGCGACGTTGGCAGGGTAACCCGAGGCGGACTGGATGCGTTCGACGTCCTTCGCCATGAGCGTCATCATTTCGACTCGCTGCGAGAGGGATGCGTCTCCGGGCTTGCCGCTCCCTTTGTCGGCGTTTTGGGTCGAGAAGAGGAGAAGGTGGCCGTCGTAGGTGCGTTTTGGTCGGGCAAGGATGGGCGGTGAGAGGAGCAGTGCGAGGTGGGCTCGGGATGGAGGGTTGAAGGACGAGTCGAGGACGGCAATGTCGATCGTGTTGGTGCTGCTGCTGCTGCTGCTGCTGGGAGAGAATGGCCAGGTTGAGGACGTCGAGTAGACAAGACGTACACCTGAAGTGTTGCTGTTGGCGGCTGAAGCAGCGGCACGAGCAATGTTGGTTGCCATGGTCATGTCGGATCGCAGCTCTTTTGAGCTTGGACTGATGGATGAAGCGCTATCCGCCATCGTATGTCCTCCAGGTTGCTTGTGATGCTGTATGCTTTGCAGTCAAGAGCTGATGAGTTGAAGTAGTAGGGGTGCACAAAGGGTTCATGCAGCTTTGCAGCTGTGGAGTCGAGCCTAAAAGCGACTTTCGCACGAGATAGAGTTCACAGGCGCGTGTGTGTTCTTCTCGGCAGGGCAACCGTGCGCGACTGTCTCTACCACACCTTCCAGCTCAACACTTTCTTGCGTCTCCAACACCATCGTTTCTCTCTCACACACCCCCCGAGACATCAACCATGGAGTCGACACTGTACCAAGTCCAATCGCTCTTCTACCAAGGCGCTTATCAAGGCTGCATCGACCTCGCGCTCTCGTCCACCTCCAACGCCCGTTCCTCCGACCCCGCATCCGTCTCCACCCTCCTGTACGCAGCACGATCCCACCTCGCACGTTCGCCCTCCGATCCATCCTCCGCGCTATCCCTCCTCTCCTCCCTCACACCCGAACCTCAGATTCAGGCCATCCAATCGCTCGCGCGCTTCATCCAAGCCACCTCCCAGAACAACACCGACGTCGCCTCCCGCGAAATCGTCAACCTCACCGAGCTTCTCGACCACGCCGTCGTCGGAGAGGACAAGGGTCAGACCATCCGGTGCGCTGCTGCCACCGCCCTCTTCCTGGACGGAGATGCCGAAGAAGCGCTGAACACCCTCGGAGTATCCGGGTCCGGTGGTAGCAAGGAGATCGAGTGCGTAGCGTTGGGCGTGCACATCTTGCTCTCCATCCATCGACTCGATCTGGCGGAAAAGGAATACCTCGCCGCACGAACCTGGGCAGACGACTCGCTGCTCATCCAACTCATCGAAGCCTGGATCGGTCTCGCCAAAGGCGGTCGTTCCACCCAACAGGCCTTCTACGTATACGACGAGTTGGCTCAGAACCCGTCCGCAGCTGGAACCATCAACGCCGTCCCCGCGCTCATCGGTAAGGCAACCGCGCTGGCTGCAAACGGCGACTGGACAGGTGCAAAGAAGCAGCTCGAAGACGCCGCGAAATTGGATCCCAACAATGTAGAGGTGCTGGCCAACAGAGCAGTGGTGGAAACACATTCAGGAGCAACAGCCGCGGCAGACTACTTGCAAGAACTGAAACAGTCAAATCCAACTCACCCGCTCATCGTCGAATACGAAGCACTCCAGAATTCGTTCGATCAGCATGCACAGAACTTCTCCCTCGGTGCATCTGTCGAGGCATAGATTCCGCCCAGTCCCTCCTCTTGTACATCATACTTTTACTTGCTGAAATTGACGCAACCCAAACCCCAAACTTCAACTCTGAGACTTTCGCACACACACCACAGTTTCTGAGAGACACAAGACTGCTCTTTTCACATGAGACTGATACAAATACAAAAACAACTACTTCAAGATCACCTGCGACCATTACTCCTTCCATTGGTCGACGCCACCGCAGCAGCGGACAAAGCAGGTGATCCCATCTCCACCTCACTCACGGGCGTAGCGTCCCCCGCCAGCCCCGTACCCACCTCGTTCGCCGCAGCAGCATAGAACGCCCTCGTTCTCCTGCCCCCAAACCTGCTCGCGACATGACGATGTTCGTCGTCCTCCATCTCATCGTCGTCGTCGTCGAGATGCAGATCCGCGAGTACAGGCTTGGCAGCTCGTGCGGCGAAAAACGTCCTCTTGGCCCTACCCTTGCTTTTCGCTCCACCGTTCTGCAGGTACTTCAATCCCAAATCATGCTCGTACGGCTTCAGCGGATCCATGATCCCCGGCTTCCTCCTGCCACCTTCTGCCAAACCCGATCTCCTGTCCGTCGCCACGGCCCACGCAGACGCCAGCCCGTCCGCATCCCCTTCCTCCTCACCCGACAGCTCGTCATCCCACCGCTGCACATGCGCATCGCGCAACCGCTGCGAAATCCTCTCGTCCAGATCCGAGTCCTCTCCATCCGACACCTCGACATCCGCCGGATTCAGCGTAGTCCGCGGCGTCTCCTGCATCTGCACACCGGGCGCCGACGGAAGATTGCGCAGGTTATCGATGATCTTGGCGCGAAGGTTTTCCAGGTACTCCCTCGAGTTGAGGTTGTCCATCGAAGTAGGCGGCACTTCGAGCTTGTACTCGGGACCAAAGTACTGGATGTAGTCGTTGAACGGCAGGTCCTCGTCGAGCTTCTGACCGACGAGCAAGCCCGTCTCGTACGTCCATGTGCGCGCCACGTTGCGCACCGTATAGCCTCCTCCACCGAGCGTGATGAGCGGCACATCGAACGTCTGCATGAACGCGACGCAGTCGGCGTGTCCGCGCATCGAGAGGTTGAAGCAGCCGAGCTTGTCACCCGCCAGCGAGTCCGCACCGCACTGGAGCACCACCGCTCCCGGACGATACCACTCCATGATGTGCGAGATGACGGGTCGGAAGATGTTGCCAAACTCGAGGTCGCCGATGCCGTCGCGCAGCGGTACGTTGACGCAGTAGTTCTTGCCCTTTTTCATGCCGATGTCGCGCACATCGCCTGTGCCGGGGAAGAAGTCACCGAACTTGTGGAAGCTCGCGGTCATGACACGGTCTGTGGTGTAGAAGGCCTCTTCGACGCCGTCTCCGTGGTGAATGTCGATGTCGATGTAGAGGACGCGAAGGTGGACTCGAAGCAGCTCAAGGATGGCGAGAACAATGTCGTTGATGTAGCAGAACCCACTTGCCTCCCTCTTCTTTGCGTGATGCAAACCGCCAGCCCAGTTGATCGCGACATCCGATTCGCCCGAGTTGAGTCGGCTGGCAGCAGCGAGCGATCCACCGGCCGAGATGGAACAGAACTCGTACAGACCATCGAAAGCGGGGCAGTCCTCGCCGATGAGGTAGCGCGTGCCTTCATTGGTGAGCTCGTGCACGGATTCCGGAGTGACGCGGTGAAGGAAGTCGACGTACTCATCGGTGTGGAAGCGGGTCATCTGGTCGCTGGTGGCACGCTTGGGACGCAGGATGTCCATCTTCTTGTGGAGACCGTAGTTGGTGACGAGGTTGTGGGTCATGCGCATACGATGCGGCTTCATGGGATGACCGAGGCCGTAGCTGAAGTTGCCCACGTCATGGTCGTAGTAGTAGGCGACCCTCTTGCGAGGCGTGCGAAACACAGGGGCCGGCTCCATGGCGGCGGCGGCGAGGAGGCGAGACTAAGATTGAGGATGTGCTTTGAGCTGAGCCGATGCTTGGAGCAGCACGCGCGCGTGTCGGACGGCGGCACCGAATGGAGAGCAGGAGAAGGAGTGAAAGGTGTGCGCTGCTAAGGTTGTGATGAGGGAAAGCGGGAAAGAGGTGGAAGAGGCTCGACAAGGCAGATCGACGACGAGACCCTGGATTCAGAGGTCCACCTCAGTACGCTCTTGATCTGCATCCGCTCGAGAAGGATGCTTGCAACCGGCGACAATCCGATTTTCGGCGTGTCGGCTCATCCACCAAACCGAGGTTCGTGCGTCAAATCGACTCGATCGATTCGACATCGGGTGATCCGCTTCCAAGAAAGAGGCGTGTCAAATTGACGCGTTTCGCCCGATTTTCATCCTTCGGCTGGGCTGGAGCGTGCGTTGCTTTCAAGAAGAAGGTTTTGAGGTTGTGACCGCCAAAGAAAACACTCTTCCTCACGGTCACACACACTGGCAAGACAGCTTCCACCTCAGCCTGCGCCCTTTCCTGACTTGGACCGTCGTGGTGGCAAGCAAACAGAGCAGCTGCAGACTCTCAACCCGCAGTCTGCTCGTCGCTCGTGCACTCTGGCGGCGATCACCATGTCCGCGTCGTTGCAGGATGCAAATGAGGCGTTGCCCGACCATCACCTCGACCAAGAGGCCGCCGCACTCGCTGCCGACATCCTGCCCATCTTCGCTTCGGTAGCATCCATCGACTCGATCTGGTCCTCGGAACGTGTCGGGTTCACGGCGCAGCGCAGATCCATTGTCTATGGTGGCAGTCTCTTTTTCGACGAACTGCTGACTTTTGCTGGCGTCGACACCTCGCTCTACCCTCCGCGTTCGCAGAAACAACTCTCGGAGCTGCTCACCGCTATCTTTGCTGCTATCACGCTCGACTACCTCAAGCAGCTTTCGCTCGTCTACTATCTGCTCCTCGACCTCGACGCATACTCGCAGCGAGTCAGCCTCGACCAAGATGTGGGTCCGTCGTTGACAGATTCGACCTCGGCTGCCGAGCGCTTCGCCGACACCTATGTGGTGCTGCCGCAGTTCACCGATGCTATGCAAGGGTATTGGCTGCTCGACAATGACAGTTACGAGCAGGCCATCCCGCTGCTCGCTGTTGCCGACTTTGTGCCCAAGATCGTCCGCACCCTCTTCCTACCTTCGCAGACCGAGCATAGGCCCGACGTCACACGCGCCAAGCTTCTCCTGCGTTTCATCCGCACTTCGAATCAGACCACCTCATCACCGCCAGGCTCAGAGGCGTTCTTGCAAGAGGTCGAGATGCAGATCCAGGCTCTTTGCTTCGTATCAGGTCCCTCTCGCGCCCTTTCCGAGATTCGTGCCATCACCTCCACCATCCAAGACGACGAGCAGCAGCGCGTTTCCGTGCGTGCCCGACTCATCTTCAAGGTCCTCGAGCACTGTTTCGCGCCTCCACGCCCGGCCGCCATCCAGAACTTGCTGGCGTGCAGCCTTGATCCGGAGGAAGAGGTGACTCTCGAGAGCTTCGTGCTGTCTCCTCCAGCTGCTATGACCGCGACGTGGAGCTATGTTGCTGCTGACGTGCTCATCGCTCGCTACATCAGCCAGGGCAGGTACATGGATGCAGTCGGTCTCGATCGAAGGCTTGGGCCCGACGTCAGCCAAGGCCACTCGACTGCGAAGGATGCACAGCAGCGAAGCAAGATGATGGAGCAGCGAAAGAGGATGATTGCTGGAGCCAGGGAGATCTTGCCGGAAGTGCAAAAAGAGTTGCTGCGGATCGAGGAGTCGGCCGAGATCAGTGGCGGTGCAGAGGTACAGCAAAGACAGGACAAGACCGACACCGGAGCTACGAATGGCGTCAACGGCAAGGCGACTGCCATCCACGATATCGCAGACCGTTCTGGTTTGGCACCTACACCACTCAGTGCCTCACCCGCCGCGCGACGTTCAAACACACATACACCGTCAACCCAGGCAGCCATCTTATCTGCTGTCGTGCGCGCATCCGCTTCGCCATCAGCTCCGAGCACGCCCACCAAGGCGTCCATCCTGGGCGGTGCCCTTTCGGCCAACGCGACCCCCAATGCTACGCCAGGACGAAGCGGTTTGACACCACAGCATCCGGCCGCCATGATCGGTTTCCTCGCCAAGAATGCGCTCAGCGGCCAAGATCCAGCTGCTGCTGCTGACTCAAGTACCACTGACGAAGCCATGGACGAAGGATCTCAGGACGTCGATGGCTCTGCAGTTCTTATCTCGAAGCCAGTCGAAGGTGTCAAAGCTTCAAGCGAGACGCCTGCATCGCCCAGCCAACCAGCGCAGGCGCCGTCGCCATGGAGGAACCAACCCACGCTCACATCCAGCAGCCCCTTTTCGGGCCTTCCGAAGCTCTCGCGCCCCGCAATCGCCGGCGGAAACGCCTCTGTTGCCTCGGGCTCCCGTTCTCCCTACCAATCCAGTCCGCGCGCCTTTCAGCCCGCCAATACGTCTCCCTTTGCCGCCGCTTCTGCCAGCTCCGTGCGTGGCTCTCCTTCCCTCAGCAGCACCACTGGGCGCACCAAGCTACCTGGCGCACTCGGAATCGTCTCGCAGCACGGGAAGAAGAGTCGTCTTGCGCGCGACGAGCCCAGCGTCGTGTCAGACGAGAGCGATGTCGAAGACGCCGAAGCCCAGACGGAGGATGGTGGAGATGATACGTTTGTTCAGACTCAAAAGCAGGGCAAGATGGGCAAAGCGAGCGCAGGCGACGTCAGCATCGGTCGTCTTGTTCCCGGTCGACGTGGGTGGAAGGAAACTCAGGAGGACAATGCGGCGGACGACGACGAGATGCAGGAGCTTTTGACCTCTCCGGAGCCACCGACCAAACGACGAGCGCGCAAGGCTGCTGCTGCAGCGACGCCCTCCAAGAGCAAGATGTCGCGTTCGCGCACCGGCGTGAATCTCAGCAGCCAAGACGACACCACCACGTCCAAATTGAAGAAAAGTCGATCCGAGGTGTCCCTCGTCCCGCCTACGAGCGCCAAACGCATGACGCGGTCGACGAGCTCTGCGAACCGCAAACCGCTGACGCTGTCGAACTTGGAGCAGCATTCTCGAACCGATGTTGCTGGGAATGATGCAGCGCCGATCGCGAGACGCACGCGGGCGGCGACGGCGGAGATGGAGAGTGTGACGGGGAGTCAGGTTGAGGGAGGTGCGAGTACGATCTACACGATTAGCGAGGTGGGTGATGGGGTAGTGGAGGGGAGGAGTCCGTCGAAGCGAGGGGGGAGAAGGACGGTGAACAAGGAGGAGAGAGGTGGGGTGCGGAGATCGAGTAGGTTGGGTGGTGAGGTGGAGGAGAGTTCGCCTGCTAAGAGAAGAGGTGGGAGGAGGGGGGCGAAGATGCCGGGTAGTCTTGAGTGATTTCACCCCCACCACAGCAATGCAATCCCATTTCCTGTTGCTCGACAATTCGATTCCTATTGAGTATCTGGTGAGGAGTTTTACTCTACGACATAAGCCTGGTAAACGACTCTATCCGGGTGTCTGACGGCACTGGCGATGACGATTTTGTTGACGAGATCTTGGACTTGCGGATCGGGGTCGTCGGATTCGAGGATGAGTTTGAGACGAAAGTAGTACTTGGTGGGATCGATGTCTTCTCCGGCTAGAAGTTTTGCTTTGGCGGATTGGTCGGGGTAGGAGGAGGGAACGAAACGGATTCCGGAGGATTGGAAGTAAAGATTGTCTGTTTGTTTCCCGTGCGCCAGAAGAGAGATAAGTTTAGAATTGTATTTGATGAGGAGAAAGGAAGAAGGGGGGAAGGGAAAGGAACTTACGACCGCTTTTCAAGGTGAAAAAGTACCTAGCGTCAAGACGAGTTTTCCCAAATTGGTCGATTCGATAGTAGTCGCTACCACCGGCTTGACCGACAGCACCATCGAGAGCGGGGATGGTGGTGGAGTTGATGGAACCGCCAGCGGAGATGGGGACGATCTTGCGAAGTCCTTCACCGGAATCTCCGATCACCGACGGGGTTTCGACGGGACAGGAAAGGTAGAAAGCGGGTGTGAGGCAGGTAGCCGGTGGTTGCCACTCTGGTGTCGATGACATGGTGACCTGAACAAGCAGGAAGATGGGTAGAAGCAGAAGGTTGAGTAGCATAGCGGAAGAGTGAGAGAGATGTGCGAACGCAAAAAAGTGAGTAAGTCGATCGACGTATCGGTGTGTCAGAAAGGTGGTGTGGGGCAACCTACTTTATACGTCGACTCGTCCAAGACGCAGGTGACTGAACAGCGATTGCGGAGTAAGTCAAGTGATGCTGGAGGTTCCCGGTCAAGTGGATGATGTTGGGTCAAGCGGAGGGAACAACGAAGGCTTGTAAGATGGAAGGAAGATGCACCAAAGTCGCCGTCAGCATTATTGGACCGGTGTGGGGGGAAAAGAATAAGCGCTTGGCCGGATAACGCGGCTGAATTCGCTCGCTTTCGTCACGTCGCCTCAAACAGATCCCGCACGCATCTCGCTGTATCTCGGCTCGGACTGAATTGGCAGGTTTTCTTTTTGAGGCTCTACTCGGACGATTGCATTACGGTGAATCATCAGCGTCGCTTGTACCAGCGACGAGTAGAGCTGTGTCCTTGCGGTCTGTATGAAAGTTGGCCTTTTTCATCCGAGAATAACAGACGTGCTGAAGCAAAGCAGTGTGTGGTTCCATGGTATAGTCTCTATCTGGTATCTAATCACGACCTGCAACCAAGAAAAGAGCAGAATCTCACCAAGGGGTTTGGAATGGCTCACGACGATGTATCCGCCGCTCCTCCAGCTTTGAGCGTCCTTCCCTGCTCCACCTTCTCCTCGTTCCTGGTGATCTTTCCTGCGACGACTTTGGCCTGACCTTTTAACTTGTCCTTGAAACTCGCCTTGGCCATACCATCTGCCAGATCCTGATCCTCCTCGCCCGCTGTGGAAGTGGCTTTGGTACTATCGGATTTCTGCGCGCTGCTTCCACTTGCACTCCCGCTGGTGCTGTTGCTGTTGTAATCACTCGAGCCCTGTGTCTGCTCCTGCTTGCTATCGAACTGCAACTTGCCCTCGGCCGGTTTGCTTGTCGGGTTGTCCCGCTTAGCATCCCCGGTCGGACAAGGCTGGTCGGAATAGTCCACGCCGACAGCTGCCTCCTTGGAACGCTTCTCCTTCTCCGCTGCAGCTCGCACATCATCGTCGGGCGAAACGGTGGTTCCGGCTCCACCTGTGGTCGGGATACCGGTCTCGGTTCCGATCGAAGTCTGTGGTTTGGATGTGCGTTCGGATGTGGAAGGACCTCGTTCCTTTTCTTCGGTGAAATCGTCCCGTGCGGGCAGAGAGGATTGATCGGAATCTGTGGACGAAGGTTTATCTTGTGCGACTGAATCGCTCGGAGTTGAGGCTTCAGCGGTGGAGGCGGAGTAGTCTTCGGATAGGGCAGAGAATCCAGTGGCTTCCGAGACGAGGGTGGAAGCTAGGGGCAGCACACGTTGCGCCGAGGTGGTGATGGATTCGTAGGCTGAAGAGGCTCCGTTGGTAAGTGTTTCCGACATTGTGGTACAGGTGCTTGGATGGAGATCGTGGTGGTAGTTGTGAATCAAGGATGGTGAGCATTGTTCGTCTCAAGTGTGTCTGGTCATGTGGGCAAGAGTCGACCGATAAGGATCTCCCCTCTGATGCTTTCCTGGACTGCCTCGGAGTGAGGTCAAACTGCAGAACAAGCGGACGCCAGCCCAATTCTCGGACAACCGAATGCCTCGTTACAGTAACTCGGAAACAGTGGTGCCGAAAGCTATGCACTGTACCACTTTGCATTCTTGCTGCTGGCTCGGCAACAGCGTTAGGCTGGATTTACATCTCCTGCGTTTCCTGCTGTAGGCGAGACCAAAGAAAATACGAAAACACAAGAACACCGACGAGAGCGGGGGAACCATGGCAGATTCTTGACGTCAAATTTCGTCTTTGTTCTAGACCGCGGTTGGGCATCGCCTCTCGTCACATGTCGTGGGCTCGAAGCCGACGAGCGCGGCTGACGGCTTCGAACAACGTGTGCACACTGACACTCGGTTCGCTGTCATGGTGCTGGGGCGTGGAAGTTGCCATGCTGCAAATTTTGCGAAAAGCGGTGCTCGTGGATGTGATTTGGCACGCTATCGGACAGGTCTCGGTGACCTCATCGCGCGCTTTGGCCATTCCTCACGTGGGCATTTCCGCCTGTCACATGCAACTTCAGTTCAAAACGCCGCGACTGTGGATTTCCGAGGGTGGAATGTGATCCTAAACCAATCTCACATTGCGAAACGCAATTTTCGGTTGGCTGTCTCCGCATTTTTTTATGCAGCAAAGGCTCAGCTCGAGTGAGCGTGACTGTGACTGTATGGCGTGCACGGGCAGCATCGAGGTGTACCAGCATACACTCTCTACTTTGATCGCCGTTTGCTATCGCTAATCATCTACAGCGATAAAGAAGCTCTCTCCCTTCGTCAATAGTCGACGCAACACATTAACAGCGTGACGCATCAGCACACGTCCTCTGTACGGATCACCCGATCACACCGAGTCTCCGCTCACCTCCGTCCAGTCAAAGCACTACTTCTCAATCTCCTTCGATCAGTTCACCCAGCAAACCATCGCTTCGGGCATCCGAGTCGCCTTCTTGCACTCTTACAGCTTCAAGCCATTCACAGCCTCACTTCCCGCATCACAGCGCATGAGATCTTGGGCTGCAATCTGATCAACGACGATCTTGCGAGGGATCGTCATCTCGTCAACATCTTTTCACAGTCTCACCAGCATTCCGATCGCCATTCGAATCCTCTATCATGGACGTCCCAAGATCAAGAGCCGTCTCTAGTGGGGCGAGCTCTGGTGCAGGCGTCGACATCCCCGGCGCATCCACCTCGCAGGCGAGTTCGTCACGCCTCGCACCCAGCGCACGAGCTCGTCGCGAACGCGAGAGAAGCGGTAGACCCAAGGACAAGCATGCGCTCGCACTCCGCTCCATTCGCGACTTTCTCCGTGGTCGCAGCAGCTACGACGTGCTGCCCGTTAGTTTCCGTCTTATCGTGCTCGACACCAAGCTCGTCGTCAAGCCTGCGCTCGAGGTCATGTGGCAGGCCGGTGTCGTGTCTGCTCCTCTTTGGCAGTCGACTCCGCACGAAATGCTCGGCAGCTCGACCAGCCAGTCAGAGTCGCACTCGCAACCAGAAGAAGCACAACCTTCGGACACCACACAGCAATCCCCTGCAGACGGAGAGCACGTTAGCCCCAAGACCGCTCAATCCTCACTCCCCTCCGACACCAAGCCTGCAGCCCCTGCCATCACCTCGTCACATCAACTCTCCGGATTCGCCGGCATGCTCACCGTCAACGACATCATCCACCTTATTCAGTACTACTACCGCCACTCTTCCTACGACTCCGCCTCGGCCGACGTCGAAAAGTTTCGACTAGAACGGCTACGAGACATCGAGCAGGCGCTCAACGTCCCACCCCCACCGCTGCTCTCCGTGCATCCGTTGCGACCGCTGTTCGACGCGTGTCAGCTGCTGATCAAGACGCACGCGAGGAGGTTGCCGTTGTTGGATTACGATGAGCAGACGGGTATGGAGACGGTCGTGTCGGTGTTGACGCAGTACAGGGTGTTGAAGTTCATCGCGATGAACTGTAGGGAGACGGCGGCGTTGGAGCGGAGTCTGAGGACGTTGGGTATTGGGACGTTCTGTCAGAGTTACAGAGCAGGGAAAGCGGGTGGTGGATCGCACAGGGGCTCCGATGCAAGCGAACCTGGGCTGGTCAAGAGCGATCCCAGAGATCTGAGTATGAGCGAGTTGAACGCGGCGGCGGCGAATGCGGAAGAGCCTGATGGACCGGCCAAGGAATCGGATGCTAGCAACGCCTTTAAAGGTGCTACTGGTGGTGGGGACGGCGATCCAACGAATTCAAACCCTTTCGCACCCATCGCCACAGCTACGCTCGACACCACCGTCTTTGACGTCGTCCACATGTTCTCCGAACGCGGCATCTCCGCCGTACCCATCCTCGACGAAGAAGGCAACGTCGTTGACCTCTACGAAACCGTCGACGTCATCACGCTCGTCCGCACCGGCGCCTACACCTCTCTCGACCTGACCATCCGTCAAGCGCTGGAACGACGACCGCCCGATTTCGCCGGAGTCTGGACCTGTTCTCCCGAGGATTCGCTCGCCTCGATCTTTGCGCTCCTGCGCAAACGACGTGTTCACCGGCTGCTGGTGTTGGAACCTGAACCGATGGTGCTGAAGAAGCAGGATTTTACGGATAAAACGGCACCCTTGGAAGAACTCGATAGCTACGTCGACGATCTCGTGCAGGAGGAGAAGGAGAGGGAGAAGCGGGAAAAGCAGGAATTCGTCGATGATTCTCGCGCTCCGTTGGAGGAGAGGTTGGAAAAGGGCGATCCGACCAGGCGGAGTAGGGGTAGGTTGGTGGGGATCGTTTGTCTCAGCGATATCTTGAGGTATGTGATCGGTGAGCAGGTCAAGGATGAGGGTATGAGGAGTAGGGGTACGAGCGTAGCGAGCAGCTTGGGTGGTGCAACGGATGCAGGTGGGCAGACGGGTTCCGCGGCAGACGCATCAGCCTCCTCAGCAGCCGCCGTTGCGACCACCGCCAATGTCGTCAGCCCCACAACTACGCTAGATGCTACTCAGACCATCTTGGAGGATCAACCGCTCGAGCTGTGACTTCTCGCAAAAGTGCTTCCTCACTGCAGCAATCAATGGTTGGAACTTCACACTTGTCACAATTTCGCGGGCCATGGACTCAAGGTCTTTTGTGTGTGCAAGCTTTCGCTGATCAGGCGGGGGATGAGGTTGGTGTGCGAAGTAATGAGCGATCAGACCGAATGTATGCGATTGGGATCTGCGAAAGGAAAATGCGAATGATCGGGGATCAAGATGCCAAATGATGGCCCAGGGGATGAACGAGACCAGGCCGAGCCCGAAAGAAAGAAGGGCTCTCGAGATCCGTGGATGTCCCTTCCGCGCAAGACACGAAGCTGAAGTCCCCTTTGGGAGAACGCCAGGTCAGGCAGCGCCAAACCTCGCCCCCCTCAGCGCACGCAGCTCATCCCTGTCCGGAACCATGTCTTCTTCCGGTGCTACTACCGTGGGCGGCTGGTGCTGTTGCTGGTGCGGATAGCTACGATCGTGTGGTTCAGGCGTACCATACTCCTCGACGTCATCGTCGTCGCCCTCATCCAACACTTCATCTTCGGCCATCGGCTGAGCTTGAGCAGGCGCCACCAGCGGCATTCCTGGATTTCTCGTCTCCTGGGCCTCGGTGAGAATGCGATGGTTCCCACCGTCGGTGGAACTGGCTCGATTGAGCAGAGTGGCATCCTCAGCTGCACGTCGAGCGTTTGCATAGCGTGCTATCTGGCGCTGTTGCTCGTAGTACATCTGCTCGGTTGCTGTGAGTTGACGGCGGCGTGGGACACCCACGCCCGCGGCCATGGCGCCAGCGAGGGGTGGCGGGTAGAGGCCTGCGGCTGCATTGGGCGCTGACGCCGGTGCCGCACCGACCAAGCCCAGTGGTGGCGCTCCTTGCTGAAGCTGAGGTTGAGCGAATGGTATCCCTGCTGCTCCTCCAAAGGCTGCCGCCGCGGCATGATATGCATGATGACCGTTGCCATTGCCCAGTCCGTTGGCGCCGCCAAGGGGAGCGTCTCCCAGCCCACCGAGCGCATTCCTCGCCCTCGGCTCGAGCTGGCCGAATTCGGCTGCTAGCTGTTCATCACTGTACACGCGCTGCAAGAATTTGCGTAGATCGTGCACGCCTTTACCGCTGTAGACGCAGAATGCCTGCCTCTGGTGTTCGTTGAAATCCTTGGGTGGCGCTCGGCACATGGCTTGCAGCTCTGGCCTCCGGAATGCAGGGACACCCGTCAGACTCAGATGCGTCAAGCGACCCAATCTTTGCAGCACGCAAAAGATGGCAGGGACCGAGACGTTTTCGCAGTAAGAGAGATGGATGCGCTCAAGCGAGTTGTATCGATCCACCAGGCCGTAGATGGCCTGGTCGGTGAGGTTGATCACCTTGACCAGACCGATGCGCCGAAGCTTGGGCATGTTGTTGGCGATCTCAGTGACCGACAGGTCGGTAAGATTGGGGCAGCAAGCAACGTCGATGTAGCGCAACCTGGTGCAAGAGCGTGCAAGGTGGGTGACGGCGCGATCCGTAATGTTGGAAACGTGTCCGAGATGCAAGTAGTGCAAATTTTTGCCGAGCTTGGCGATGCTGTACAGCGCTTCGTCTGTGAGGCGCGTGCACTTGGTGAGAGCGAGGTTCTTGAGACGGGGTACATTTGCCACGATGCCTTCGACAGCGTCGTCGGAGATCGAGGTGCAGCTGGTGAGGTCCAAAATGCGCAGGTGATCGAAAAGACGACCTTGAGCAATCTCGCTGGGAATGCTGGCGGAGCGTGTGAGGCCAGTGTCGCGTCTCGCGTCCATCGTCATGCCGACGCCCGGCGATGCTCCTCGACTCGTGGGAGCCGAATCGCTCACGAACGCAGCACCCATGGCCGAACGCGAGCCGTGCGAGTGGGACGTGCCCAGCATGGGAACGCCTGTGGTGCCGCGTGCGGAAGGGAAAGCATTGTCGGTCAAATCGGCGCAGTGAGCTAGCCTGAGTTCGCGCATCTGGAAACTTCTTGTCCAGATTTCCCTGACCGACTTGTCCGAGATCTTGGGACAGTGGATGAGATCGACCTCCAACAAGGAAGGGCAGTGCTCTGTAAGGGCGAGGAGCGCCTCGTCATCGACGCTGTCGCATCCGCACAGCTTGACGCGCCTTAGCAATTTGCAACTGCGGGCGAGAGCCGCAACACCCTTGGATGTGATCTTTTTGCAGCCGGTCAAGTTGATACCCTGCGCTTTGGGAGAATTGGCGGCGAGGGTGAGCAGCGTGTCGTCGGAAATGTCGGATACGTCGGTGAGGTCGATGGCGACGAGCTGCGGTGTGTTTTGGAATACTTTGACGAGGGTGGCATCGGTGATGTTGGAGCAGCCTGTAAGGGTGAGCCTCTCGAGACGCGTGCAAGCCGACATCATGAGGAAGAGCTGGTCCTCGAGCTGGTTGGCAAGCAGCGTGAAGTTGAGCCTGCGGACAAAATTGGCATACGGGAAGAGCTGCTCTGGCTTGCGAATGACGCCGACCAATTTGAACAAAGACGATATCTTGAAGAGTGCGGGTCGGTGCCATAGCAGCTCGACGCCGTTCAAGCACCAGGACTTGCAGACGAGCAGACAGGAAAGGAGGTCGGGTGGATAGAGGACGAGGTACTTGAAAATGTGGAGAAGGATCTCATGGGGAAGGCTGGAAGCAGTACTGAGCGGCGCATCCTGGTAGATCCATGTGCCGTTGGAAGAGGTAGGTGATGCGGGTATGAGGGTGCCTCTACGAGATAGGCGGACGGCTGCCGGGTCGAAGGCGCGTTCGACGGTGCCACGCTTGGTGTCGGCGTCGTCTATGGAGGCGAGGTCGGCGAAATCCTCCTGGGCTGTGCCATCGTCGGATACCGAGGTGCTCGAGGGTGAAGGCGGAGCGCGAGGTTGCGGAGAGCCTCTACGTGCCGCAAAGTCGGCGGGAGAGTCGGATCGATCCTCCATGTCTGCATCTAGGAGGTTCCTGCGTGAGGAGGGGCCAGCACGGGCAGAGGCGATGACGCTATCGAGATTGTTTGCGCCGCCGCTTGCCTGATACGGATACGGGGAAGGAGAGTTGGAGCCTCTGGGCGAGGAATCTGCCGTTTGCGACATGGTGAGAGCGCAAGCCGAAGATTGATGGCTGCAACTAACTTGTGCAAGGCAAGATCCTCGAGCGGAATCGATTGCGGTACCCGAGCTCTATGCTCCGGTGCGTAGCGCGACCAGAAGGTAGCAAGCGCGTTCGGTGTCGCGGACGATGCTCGCGGTCTTAGCCTCGATAGTTGCGATATTTGATGTGATCACTGTTGCTACGGATGCTGATGCTGATGCTGAGGCTGCGCTTAGCTGTGATGGCGGCACAATTGGAGAGAGCAAGGGTGCAGCTGGTGCGGCGAGAACGGAGCTTTGTGTTTCGGTATTTCAGCGTGTACAGAAGGCGGTGATGGTGATGGTGATGTTGTTGACGGTGCTGACGATGTAGAGGAATGCAGATTCGGGTGGAGGAAGCGATCCGCAGACTTGCGAAATCTGACTCTGGGCCAGCATAACTCTCAACTCGGCATAGCACAGCGCAATGCAGCGAATGCAACGCAACGCGGCCTGAGGCAGTCACAATCGAGCTCCGACAGCCGCAACCGAGCGGACTGAGCTTGGCAGAGCGGCGTAGCGAATACAGTATTTGGAATTGGAATTGGTCAAGGCGTTGTCGCGCGCTGCAGTTGCAATATTTTTTTGACAGTCGAAGGCTCGCTCGCAGAAGGAAGGGGCCCTTGCATCGAGCCGCTCTTCCGATCCCGCTGTCCAACCGCAGACCGACGATTAGGATCATAGCAGACTGAGGCTGGGGTATTCCGAGCCCAGAACGAGGTCCTGTCTCATCTGCCGAGGCCGCGCTCGCCATCTTCCCACACACAACGACGGCCGCCTAGAATGAACGCTTTGAGATTCCAACGATCTGATTCACAGAGCAAGCAGTCTCTGCAGCCGGACGGTCCGACTCGACGGTTCTTTTGTTACTTTCCTACCTGTTGGGAGATCACCTGCAAGTTGGCATGCCTACATCGCAGCGACTGCCAATCAAGCTTCTGAGATCGACATCGACATCGCGATGCTATTATGTCGGGGAGCAAGCCGACCGAAAGAGGGTGGGGGGAGAACGGTGTCAATAGCTTTGGGCGTATGCGTTATTGAAGCCGAAGCTTGATGTTAGCTCTTCGCACACGTCACACACAGGTTTTGGCCCGACATCGCGCCGCCCGCCCTGTGCAGGCCAGCTAAATAAATGAGGTTGCTCGCCGGTTGCTGCAAGCAGAAAAGCGTCCCTTGCCCCTGTCGTGCCTTCATTTCCGCGCTGCTCTCTGGGTCAATTCAACAACCCCATTTGGCCGTTGGGTGGGATGCGAATTTCCCCCATCTCGACTCAATTGAATTCTTTTTGAATCTGTTCTATTGTTCAATCGTTGGTCAACTGACACACACTCGCAGATACTGGCGAATCGCCCGTCTCCAAGCTTGTTACATCTGCAGAAAAAACGCGGTTCAATTCAATTTTCTTCACTTCTATAGAGAGAGAAAAAAGGGGCGCGTCGGTGAAAACTAGGCAGCAGGCCAGTCTATCGCTGCACGGTTCGCCAAGAAACTCCGTGCTAGACGTGGCGGATCTGACAGCACTCAGCCGTTTGCACGTCCGAAATTTGATTTAAACCTGAGCTCGCAACAGAGACCTCACATCTCATCCCCCCATATTTCCATCCATCCTCTCTCCCCAACCAACACCTTCGAACCCTTACTTTTTTTCCGGCATTCATCGTTGTGGTGGACGCGATCCAACAGTGACCAGTGACGATTGCGTCTCGCAGATCCATCCCTCCGTGTTGGTCTACAAGCACGTGGCCCCCTCTCCCCATCAGCATCGCTCGAGACGCCTGACGCTTGGCGCCGCGATCATCCGACAACCAATCGACACGCACGCGTACGTTTGATTCGACGCGTTCTGTCGACTTTGCACCACAATGGCTCCCACCACTGCATCCCAGCCCGTCGCGGCTGCACCCGCCGACGCCGCCAAGAAGGACAAAAGCCACAAGAAGGACAAGAAGGCCGCTGTCGTCGATGCTGCTGTTGCTGCCGACGATGCCGACGCCGATGCCGTGGCAGAAGAGCTCGATGCTGCTGACGGCGAAACCGACGCCGCCAAAAAGGACCGCAAACGCGAGAAGAAGGAGCGCAAGGAACGCGAACGTCTCGAACGCGAGCAGGCAGAGAAGGATGCCGCCACCGTCGCCGCCGCCTCTGCTGCCCAAGCCGTCTCGGCCGTCGCGTCCGCCACGCGTCTTCCCATCGACCCTTCCCTCGATGGCTCCTTCGCCGCTGCAGAGAACACAGCCCTCGATGCCCCGGTCGCTGCGGCTGCTCCTGCCGCTGTTGTCCCCGAGCAGTCTGCCGTGACGCAACCCACCCAGGTGGCCACCAATGCAGCTGCCCCTGCTGTCCCCACATCCGCCCCGGTCGACCCCGTCACCGGCGAGCCCATCAAGCGAAAGCGTGGTCGCCCCAAGAAGGACCCCAACGCGCCCCCTACCGTCAAGAAGCCCAAGCGTGACGCCGGCGAGAACGGATCGCGACGCGGTCGACGCCCCAAGATGTCCGAGGAGGCCGCCATCGAGGAGCTCAAGGGTCTTTCGCGCCGCGAGCTGCTCGTCGAACGCGTCTACTCGTCCGACATGCTCGCCAAGCTCGAGAGGACGATCGGGCTCAAGTATCAGAAGGGTCGCTTCACCACCGAGGAGCAGGACATCATCAAGAACGGCATCGCCGAATTCATGAAGCTCAAGAACCTCAACGAAGAGGACTTCCAGGAGCTCCTCTACAACTACCGTGAAAAGGGCTGGGAGAGGATGTACACCGAGCTCTGGAAGGACCTCGCCGGTCGCCTCGACGGCCGTCCCAACATCGCCGTCCGATTGCACGTCCGCACCAACAAGTCGCAGTTCCGAAGGCAGGGACGCTACACGCTCGCCGAGGACTTTGAGATCCGCAACCGCATGGGCGTGCTGCGCGAAGATGCCGCCTCGGTCGCCAAGCGCCTGGGCCGTCTGAACCAGGACGTGCTGTCGCGCTTTGTCAAGCTGCAGGTGAGGGACGAGATGGCCGAGGGACCCACGTGGACCGCCGAGGAGGACAAGGCAGTGATCGCAGCTCTGGAGCAGTACAAGCAGGAGCACCCGGGCGAGGTCATCTCGTGGAAGGCCATCGCCAACATGATGGGCAACAAGCGAAGCTACAAGGTGTATTCGAACCTGTTCTCCAATATCCGCTCGCGTGTAGATCGCAGCGGTCTCAACCCCAAGCGCGACTACGGAACCTCGCTCGAGGATGCCGCCGCGGCTGCATCGCAGCAGGCGGTGCGTGGCATCCAGCGCCACCCGACGCGTGCCGAGCTAGACAACAGCGTGTGGATTCCCGGTGAGGACGACCTGATCCTGCTGCAGCGTCTCAACTTCCAGGACACTTTCACTGAAGCGTCGGTGCGATGGGGCGACCTGTCGTTCGATACGTGGCAGTGGCCCGAGGAGGCGCTCAAGCAGCAATTTGCGCAGATCAAGTCGCGCTACCTGCCCGAGGGCTTTTCGGGCGGCTGGCAAGAGACGCTGGACAAGATCATCCGAACCATCCGCACGCGTCGAACTAAGAAGGAGATCGACGACGAGGGTGAGGACCAGCGCGAGACGGCTGGCGAGTCGAGCACGCAGGCTGCAGCTGCTGCTGCCGAGACGCCGGCTGCTGCGTCCGCGGCGGCAGCTCCGGAGGCTGCACCTGCTGCGATCGATCCAGCCCTGGATGCCAGTGTTGCTGAACCCGCTTCTACGACCGCTTGAGTGGTGGACGCGTAAGGCTCAGGTTGTTTGTACTCTTATGTATTGTAGCTATGTTTCTCATTCATTTTGTTAGTTGGTGATTCGGGGTGTGCGATTGTGGGGACGAACAAGCTGTGGTTCTGAGATTGGGTGGGTTGATAGTGTACAGGGTGAGAGTATGGGGTATATGTGTTGCGAAGGTGACTGTTCCTCTTGGATGAAGGAGTTTTATTCTTCGTCTTGATCTTCATCGTCGTCGTCGTTGTCATCGTCGTCATTGTTTTGGGTGGGGAGGTGTTCCTTTCCGGACCAGTCTTTCCAGGTGGTGAGGATTTTGTTGATGTTGGATCGTGCGGTGTCGATCGAATCTGCGAGGGAGGAGAGGTGTCGTGGTTTGGTGGAGGAAGGGGAGGAGGAGAGGGGAATGAGCAGTTGGGTGGATGGCGAGAGGGTGTCGGATGGGGGGGAGAGAGGGATGGGCGTGGAGGGTAGGGGACGGTCGGTGGGGGAGGCGGAGATGTTGATCTGTGCTGTGAGGTGCGACATGGTTGGTAGCAAGTGCAGAGGGGATGGCGAAGGCTGTGGTTGAGGAGATGGTGATGTGCAAAGTGAGGGTTGAAGGTCGGAAGGTGTCTGATGTGAATGTGAAGCAGGGTCGGACGACGAAGGGTCGGGCAAATGCCGCTTTCCGCGCTTGATGGGCAGGAGCAGAAAAGTCTAACATTTTAGGAAGGCGACGAATTCGAGCGTGGTCGAGCCATTTCATCCAAGTGGAAATCGGCGCCAAACGGTGCACAGCTTTGGGAAGGCAGACAAGTGGAGATGTGCGTGTGTGGTTCGCTCACGGTCATCGTCCATCTCTCTTCCATCACATCCGCTTCCTCGCCCTCATCCTTCACGCACATTGCTCTCCTCAGCATCGCAAACCGCATCCACGAGCACATTGCATACTTGTCGGCGATACCAACCCGTCTCTACACCATTTGATTGTCTCGTTCTGGTCATTGCGACTCTTTCTTCAAAACTGCAGTAACTGACCGCAAACCTTTCATCATGCCGGTAAGCATCATCCTCATTATACGCTTCCCAAACTCGAAAGATTTGCCCTTGTGCTGACCAGACCCGATCCAACTCTCGCGCGCAATCGCAGGCTTACCACTCATCGTACAACGACGAGCCAGAGGTGCGACAGATCGGATCCATGTCGATCCTGCCCATCCGCTCGCGCACGCGCGGACCCGCCCCACCACCCGTCGACCCCTCCCGTCCGGACATCATCGACGAATCCATCGACCTCTTCCGCGCCAACTCACTCTTCCGCAACTTCGAAATCAAGGGTCCCGCCGATCGGCTGTTGATCTACTTGATCCTGTTCATCTCGGACTGTCTCACCAAGATCGCGTCGTCCAAAATCCCCTGGACAACGAACGAGGCGCAGAAGCAACTGGCGACGTATTCGGTCGACAGCTTTGCGCTGCCTGGGGATGCGAATTTCCCGTTGAACAGTCTGTACGCTGCTCCGGCGGGTAGAGCGGAGGCGGACGCGTTGAGGAGTTATCTGACCCAGGTGAGACAGGAAACGGCGAGCAGGTTGGTGGAGAAGGTGTTTGTGGATGGTCAGGCGAGCAAGTGGTGGTTGGCGTTTACCAAGAGGAGGTTCATGGGTAAGAGTCTGACGTAGAAGGGAGGGTGTGGGAGGTGGAGGAGCTGGGTGGATGGGGTGGGAAGGTCGGTGGACTAGCCGTGCTGTGTTGGACTAGAAGGTCAGAATGATGAGCTGCAAATGCAAAACTTGTACCTCATGACGGTACAGCTGGACGGGTTGTGATCGTGTGTGAGCTCGGGACGTTGTTCGCTCTCACAATCTTGACCGGCCTCGGTCCACGCACTCACACGAATCCTATCAGAAAACTGCAACTGGGAAACTTGATTGCGCTTCCTTCCAACTTCAACCCAGCACCTGCCAATGTTCATCCAGCAGCTCCTCATGAACATTAAAGTATCTCGTCGGTTTACCCTTGACCTCTACCTTTCCTACCGTCTTCCACTCCCCTGCTTGCTCGGCTTTCTGCTTCACCTCCGAATTGTACTTTACAATCCACTCGCCCAAACTTTTCCCGGTTTTGACATCGAATGTTTCCGCGATCTTTTTCTCCACCATCCCTTCAACACCACCAGTAGTGATGGCGGGGGGAGTGTTGGTGATCTCCCATGAGGCGAAAGGTCTACTCGTAGGGCGCAAGAATGTTGGTTCATACACAAGCGTCTTCCTCGCGCGAAGGTTCCACGATACCGTATCGAGTTCCATCACCGGTTCTTGAGAGGCAATGGAGACGAGTCGCATCGAAGAGACGTACGGCGTTCCGATCCACGCGATCAGTGCGGTGGAAACTCCGGAGGTGGCGAGCGCGGTGAGGGAGAGTCCCATCCGTCCGATCAGCGAGATCTCGCCGGGTGCGAGTAAAAGGATGGGAGTGAGGATGGTGGCTAGTCCGAGGGAGCCGAGGGAGAACAGTTTGAGCCGGGTGAACGTTCGCGAGAGGGGGCCGGTGTAGGTTGCTAGCACCTTGGAGTCTGATGAGGATGGGGGAGGGGGAGAGGGGGTGCTGCTGTTGGAGAGGTGAGGCGTGGTGCTGAGTGTTCGGGAGAGAGGTGTTGAAGGTCGAGTTCGCAGGAGTGGGAGTGGGAGCGAGCGCGAGAAGTGGGATGGGGAAGGGGAAGGTTTCGTGATTGCCCTTGTTAGAGAATGTCCAGCCATCTGTGTTGCAATGGTCCGTGTCGAGATCATCATCGACCGCCTCGCAGTCGCAGCGGCCATGACGACCAGAGGCATCGTAGCCAGTCTCGTACACTGTATTTCAACACGCGGCAGCAAGAGAAAGGCAAAAGCAGAAGAAGAATGGACACAGTCAACAAAAGGTGTTCTCGGTATCGATGATTCCCATTACTGTAGAGGACTGCGGTGGTGGCGGAGTTCTTCGAAGGCGAAGCTCGGCGGTGATGGGGTCAAGGCTGAGCCCACTCAAGACTCCAGACGGTCAGCCAGCGGTTGCGCAGCTTGACGTCCCCCTCTGTGTCTTGGCCGTATCCTTCGATGAGGAAGCTTCGTCTATTGCCGGTCAGCCTGGGCTCGTCGCCGTCGTCGTGGGTGCCTTTTTCCTCCTGAGTGTCCGCAGAGTCGGTAGCCGATTGTTGGATCGGAGTGTTCCCGCAGACCTCTAGCTCGAGAATGCGATCCTTCGCATCAGCAAAAGCCTCGTTCCCTGCCCTCCCCACGTCCGGGTCGTCTGTGCTCATGCCCGATGTCAGAGCTGGCCATGCATCCGGCTTTTCGATAGGAGCCAGCCTCAGCCCAGCCCTGTGCGCTCTTCTGATAAAGCCCGTCACCTTCTCTCTGCCTGTGTGCAGCCCAGCAATCACATTCACCCTCGCTCTCCTATCCCTCTTCAACACCTTCAACACCGACTTCAACAGATCCGCATGACTCAACGGATCCCACATGCAGTCGGCCAAGAGGATCGAATCAAACCCCTTCTCCCCGGCTGGCAAACAATCCATCAATTCCTCGGTATCCTTCCCCCAGATGAAGCCCACCACTTTGCACTTTTTCGCCGTCGTAGTGTTACGCCTGACGTTGTCTCTCAACTCTTTGACGAGGAGAGGCTCGTCGTAGTCGCTGGCAACGACGACGGAAGGCGGTGGGTCGAGGAGGGAGGCGGTGATGGAAGGTAGAGCGGTACCAGCACCGAGCTCGAGGATGGAGCGATTGGATGTGGGGAAGGCGGAAGAGGCGAGTGCGTCGGACATGAGCATCCCTGCTCGCCATTGTCGATGGGCGAAGATGTGATGGATCGAAGCGGGTGGGACGGAGACCGTGATGATCGGGAGAGTGGACGTGGAGGATGAGGGAAGAAGATGTTTCGGTCGATAGGATATACTCACGCCTGGCTGACCGAAGGACGGTGGTATGTAGGGAGGTGTTGGTGTCATTTTGTAGCAGCTATGTTGAGGATGGTGTTGTTGGAAAGGAAAACGAGGAGGACGAGGAGCAAGAAAGGGTCCAATAAATCGCTGTCAAGAAGAAAATGGCGATTTTCGGATGAATCGGGCAGAATGGAGCTGGAATTGGACTTTGTGGGTGACGCTGTGCTGCGCTGTGCTGTGCTATGCTGAGAAGTGCATAACCTTGGCGCTGACGATTTTCCGATTTTTCTCTGTTTCTTCTTGCTTCTGTCCGAGTGAATCGGCACAAATTGATTTGACAAGATTTCTCCACTTTTGACCTTGTCCGACTTCCATCATCATCCTGATCACCAACTCGCGCATCTACCGCCAACACTGCGGCTCGCATCACAGCAAACAGCACTCGTAGCTCTGGCTTCCCTCGACCAACCAGTGTCAAGATCATCGCTGCATACACACTCTCGCACGTCATGGTGTTCAATATGGCCGCAAGGCAAGCGCTTCGTGCAGTAGCGCGCACATCCGTCGCTCCTCGGGCTTCTACTCTACCTGGAGCAATCGCTGCGCCTTCATCCATTCGATTCCTCGCCACGCCTCCATCTTCAAGCAAGCCACCGTCATCGGCGTCGCAACCATCATCCAAACCAGCCGACGCCTCCACATCCGAGACCTCCAACGATGCTGCATCCCAACCTCATCCTGAATCCGAGCCCGAGCTGCCACCCAGAGGCTCCTCCCTCTTCGACATTGATACCTCCGCCACACCGCGCGCTTCCCAGCTCATAGAAGCCCAAGAATCCGCCTCGAGCTCCGGCAAGTCCGGCACCGGCGCTAAAGCCAAGACGGGTGCACGCAGCATGTCGTCGATCGAACGACGTCGTCAGAACACGGTTCGCATCCTCACCGCCTTCGTCCTCCTCGGATCCGGTCTATCCGCCTACAACCTCGGTCGTCCGTGGGATTCTGATGCTGAAGCCGCACGATTCGCCGACTCTCCCGACGCCGGTAACTTCCTCGGTCGAATCAAGCTGCGACTCAATGCTATGTACGAGGACTACAACAAGCCCTTGTTCGAACAGCTCCTACCCGATCCTCTCCCTTTCCCCTATTCTCGACCTTTCACCATGGTGATCGATATCGACGACCTCTTGGTGCATTCCGAATGGTCCAGGGAGCACGGCTGGCGTACGGCAAAGAGACCCGGTCTCGACTATTTCCTTGGCTACCTCTCCCAATTCTACGAGATCGTCCTGTTCACCACCCAACCCTTCTTCACCGCCGGGCCCATCATCGAAAAGCTGGATCCGGATCGTAGGTTCGTCGCCTACACTCTGTTCAAGGAATCCTGCAGGACCGTCGATGGCAAACTCGTCAAGGACCTCAACCACCTCAATCGCGATCTTTCCAAAGTCGTCGTCGTGGACACCAACCCGGATTCGTTCCACCTGCATCCCGAGAACGGAATCCTCGTCAAGCCCTGGAAGGGCGAACGCGACGATCGAGAACTCGTCGGCCTCATCCCCTTCTTCGAAGCCATCGGCATCTACAACATCGAAGATGTGAGGAACACCATCAAAGCCTACTCTGGAACCCACATCCCTACCGAGCACGCACGTCGTACCGCTGCCATCCGAGAACGCGAGCTGGCGGAGAACAAGGCGAGGGTCGAGAGGATGGGCAAGTTCGGCAGCGTATTCGGTGGGGTCAGCAGGAGTGCGAATGCCGGGTTGCCCGCGGATAAGACCATGTACGATCTGGAGAGGGAGAGGTATGTCCAGGCGTTCCTGGAGGATCAAAAGTACTGGAAGGAGAACGGAGAGGCGCTGAGGAGGCAGGCCAAGGAAGAGCAGGATAGGCAGATCAGGGAGATGAAGATGAACACCTGGGGCTTCTTCACCGGCGGCATGAAGCCTGGTCAACAACCCGCTGAAGAAGCCAAACCTCAGTGAACGGAGCAGCATAGGAATTTGTACGATAGACATTCACCACCACTGAGAAAAACTTTTTCCACTCCACCAATATCTCTCTCTCTCTTCACTGTGCGGTGTTCATCGCAAAAGGAAATCGCTATTGTTCATGTGAGTGTGTAAGTTACTGCTGGAAAAGCAAGCTAGCCGCCACCGATACATTGCCACCTGCAGCATCTAGGAACGAGACAGCTTGATGCTGAGTAGCGCCTAGATCCGTCAGCGCTCTGATCGAGTCAGCTGGCCATTTGGTTGCAGACGCAGGTGGGGCCGCCGTCGCTTGCCTCGGCCCACCTGTCGATGGCGGTGGGACTGTCGACGCCGTCGTGTTCCCCGCGGTGGATTGAGACGACCCAGCAGAGGGATGGGAAAAGCTCCATCCATGAGAATCAAAGTGCTCCTTACCACCGATCGACTGTCCTGCGCCCGGAAACTTGCCCGCCGTGGCTGCCGCCGCCGCGGCGTTACTATTGGCACTAGCCGCCCCTTCCGCCGAGGTCCCTGCCCCCGTATTCTTCTCCTTCCCCTCCTCATCCACCTCGGCCTCTGTGGGCAGCTCGTGTTCATCCAAGAACCTCACCTCCTCACCCCCGATCACCAGCGCGTTCTTGCCCAGATCAATCCCCGCCTGATACCGCTTCAACATATCCAACCCAAACAGCATATCCACCCCTTTGCCCTCCATGATCGTAAAGCTGCACGGCAAGAACAATCCTTTCCCCAGCTGCAGCTGTGCCGAATGCACTCTACCCAAAATCTTGGCGGTTCCGACTCCCCTTGCGATGCCTGCGAAGCGCGTGTCGAGCAGACGCATGATGCCGCACTTCTCCGCACACTCGGGCGACATGATCGTAGCCTGCGCTCCCGAATCGACGAACGCCTTGACGGGGGTTCCGTTGACTTTGCAGTCGACGTACAGCATGGTGACGCGACCGAAGGATTCCGGAGAGTACTCCATGGCGTGTTCGAGGTTTTCCATGACGCGCTGTTGACGGATGGCTTCTTCGATGCGTCGTTGTGCGTCGATGTCGAACTCGTCGACCGGTTCGTTTTGTTGCATGGCGTCGCGTTGTGCGCGCAGAAGCTCGAGAAAGCGGGTGGGGGAGGAGGATACTGCGTCGGCTAGAAGCGGGTTGTTGGCACGAAGCATCGAGAGCGCAGCTGGATCAGAGAGGATCTGCTGTCGGAGCTGTTCCGCCGCTTGCGATTCTGACGTTGGAACAGCCGAAGAGGTTCTCGCACCAGACGAACCGGCACCACCAGCAGAAGGTGCAGCAGAAGCGGACGACGCTTGTCGAGCATCTCGAAGGATGAGCAGATCGTCGTTCTGGACTCCACAGCTGGCAAGTGTTGCTTTGCCGTCATTCAACGGTTTCCCAGAGTGCAACAGTTGCTGCTGTTCGGCGGGGATGTTGGAGTCGACTTCTAGCAACGCTTTGAGGTTCTCCAGCTCGATGCTTGCGTCGACGTCGATGGGGAAGGTACGATCATCTTCGGTGATGACGGTGATCATTGTGAGAGAATAAATGTGCTGACCGGAGTGCGAAGCAGGGTAGACGAGCGGAAGGAAGAGCTCTTTTGCGTACCTTTATGTAGAACAAGCAAGAAAGGCTGAGTTGTCGAGTTGCATGCGAGTCGAGTTGACGCGGCTCTTCCGGTTTTCCATGTGGAGAGAATCCGCTTCTTTGCATGCAGGCGCTTAGCAGCAAAAAAAGATCAACCGACACTGAGCTGGCTCTCTGACGCGTCTTCTTCGTTCGGTCTGATCAGCTTGGATCGGCCCGATTGGAGAACACAGAAAAAGCGTTAAATTCGGGCGGAAACGACAGCGCATCACCGAGCCACCGCGCACCAACGCACCGACGCACACCGCAACGCACGCGCCCGTCGAGCTCGCAACCAACACTTTTTTTCTGTCCGAGACCTCTGCCGCGCGCCGTCTTGCTAATCATCTTCCATCACCAGCGTCTTCAACAACCTTGACCGCATCTTCGCCTGGATTCCTTCCCCATTTGACTTGCAAACACGATCATATCTTGGAAGCTCATCTTCGCATCAGGATCATTCCCAGCACAGACAAGAGTGTTGTCTCGCGCGCACCTGCTGGACACGGTCTCGGCACACACACACACTGCAACACAGTCCTCCAAGGAACGACCACATAGACATCCTTTGCGCTCAATCGGCCGGTCTTCTTCGTCAACATGTCGTTCTTCAACTCACTAGGCCGATCCATGGGTCGAAATTCACGGCCCAAGAAATCACCGACCCATCCCAACATGCCCACGTTCGACCCATCCTCGCTCTCCAACTATCCCCGCTCTCCCACCTCGCCCATCTCCTCCTCCACCAGCCTCTCGCTCGGCTCGAACGGCAAACCGCTCTACCTATGCCACCCCTTCGTCACCGCTTCCCTGGTCAAAGGCTCTCTAAAAACCATCTCCTCCGTCCCCAAATACGTCGATCCTAAAGAATGGATCGCCGTCAACCTCTTCGACTTCTTCAACAACCTCAACCAGTTCTACGGAGTCCTCACCGAGTTCTGCACCGTCACCAACAACCCTACCATGTCCGCTGGTCCCGGTCTCGACTACACGTGGATCGACCAGAACCGCAAACAGGTCAAGCTGCCTGCACCGCAGTACATCGACTACGTCATGACTTGGGTTGGGGGGTTGCTCTCGGACGAATCCACTTTTCCGACAAAAGCAAGTCGTGATTTCCCCCCAACATTCCTCACCACCGCCAAGCACATCTACAAGCAGCTGCTCAGGGTTTTTGCGCACATCTACCATGCTCAGTTCGGCTATCTGGTTCACCTCTGTTGCGAGGGCCATTTTAATAGTCTCTTCGCCCACTTTTTGGCTTTCGGAACGGAGAATAGGTTGTTCGACTATAGGGATTTCAGAGGCACTGGTGGTGCAGCGGTAGGCGGTGCTGCAGCGGGGGTAGGGAGCGGATATCCAGGGGTATGCGATTTGATCGAGAGGTGGGTAGAGATGGGCGTGCTTGGTCCAGAGTGTATCGGCCAGAGATAGGTCGACTTGCAGAGAGAGGAATCAAGTGATCGTGGTTCAACACAGTTCGTGAAACAAGTGTGTGAGGGGAAGCGCTGTGTTCCGTATCTCCCATGAGCAATCTGAACACTGTCACACACACACGTCTCGACAGGTAAACAGAAACAATGCATTAATGTTATCGCAGAGCAGCACGAACAACAACTACAAGATCGAAAACAACCACAGCACGATCGCATTTACGCCTTACCCTTGGCGAAAAGCTTAGCCCTCTCGATCGCCTCTGCCGAGTTCTTTGCCAGCTTTTTCTTGTAATCCTGAATGCTCACATCCTGCGTGCTCAGGTTGACAATCTTCCTGTCCTTGACCTCCCAAAGATCCTGCGCGACCTGGCTGATCAATCTAAAGTCGTGCGAGACGATCACGACACCGCCCTCGAACTCCTTGATCGCCTGAGCGAGCGCATCGATGGATCCCATGTCCAAGTGGTTGGTCGGTTCGTCCAACAGCAGAATGTGGGGCTGTTCCATGGCCAACTGCGAGAAGACGACGCGGTTTCGCAGACCGTCCGAGAGCGTTCGGATGGGCGCAGTCTGATGAGCACCGCTCAAACCGAATCGACCCAGCTGTCCACGCCAGAACTGGAGATCCTTGTCCGGGAACTTCTCCTTGTACTTGGACTCCATGTACTCGAGCGGCGACTTTTCGTACGGCAATTGATCGGCCGAGTGCTGCGAGTACTTGCCCAGCTTCAATCCGGCATGCCTCTGCACCGTACCCTCGACAGGGTTGAGTGCACCCGTGATGAGATTGAGCAGCGTCGATTTGCCCGTACCGTTCTGACCGACGATGGCCACTCTGGAGTCCATGTCGATACCAAAGCTGAGGTCCTTGTACAGGTAATCCTTCTTCTCACCGCTGTACGAGAAAGCGACGTCGCTGAAAGCAATGATGGGAGGGGGCATCTTGCGCACATCCTCAAAATTGAAGCGAAGAGGCCTGGGTGCCCACACGGGTTCGATGAGCCCTGCCGCCTCCATCTTGTCGATGATCTTCTGCTTCGACTTGGCCTGCTTGACCAAGTTGGCGTAGGTACCGGCCGAGGCAATGAACTTCTTGATGTGCGCGATTTCTTCCTGCTGCTTGGCGTACGCCTTCATCTGGTTTGTCTCGTTCTCCTCCTTGGTTCGGACGTAGGTCGAGTAGTTACCACCGTACGTCAAGAACTTCTTCTGAGGCGTCAGGTCGAGGATGTTGGTGCAGACCGAGTCCATGAAATCGGCCGAGTGCGAGGTGAGCACGAGAATGTGGTTGTAGGTGGAGAGGTAGGCCTCGAGCCAGACGACGGCTTCCAAGTCCAAGTGATTGGTAGGCTCATCGAGCAGCAAGAGGTGTGGCTTGATGAAGAGCGCCTTGGCGAGCGTGACACGCATCCTCCAACCACCGGACATGTCCTTGGTGGGCTTCTTCATCATCTCGGTCGAGAAACCGAGACCGTGCAAGATCATACCGGCCTTGGTCTCGAAGGTGGAAGGGTCGAGCTCCTCGAGCTCCTCGTACTTCATCTCGAGCGCCACCTCGTCGATGTCGTCGGCGACCGAGAGGTCCTCGATCTCCTTTTCGAGCTTGGCGACCTTGTCCTTGGCCGACTGGACAATGTAGTCGACGGCGTTGACGTCGGAGGGCTCTGCTTCACCGGAGACGATATGGATGTCAATGTGATCGGGGATTTCGACGTCGCGGTTAGCAAGAGCAGCAAGGAAGGTGGTCTTGCCCGAACCGTTGTCACCGAGAAGACCGTAGCGCTGACCGTAGTTGAGGTTGATGGTGGCAGTGTCGATAAGCAGACGACCATGGAAGGACATGGTGAAGTTGTCGATGTGGATATCACGGCTCTGCTTGTCCGAGGTGATGACACCCGAGGCGTTTCGCTCGGTGGCGAGGTTGAGCTTCTTCATGTCGAGCTCCTCGACCGAGGTGTTGGCCGAGACGTTGGTCATGGGCGTCTCGGAGGTGCCGTTGGTGGTGCCAGACTTGGATGAGCCTTTCGACGAGCCCTTAGCCGCGGCTTTGGCGGCCTTCTCGCTGTTGCAGAGTGGAGTAGAGATGGTCAAGATGATTCGGTGTCAGCAGACGGTAACGACGTTATTGGAAAGAAGAGATGATTTGGTACTTACGCCTGGCGCTTGGCCTTGGAAGCAGAAACGGGAGGCATGGTGGCGGATCAACAGACGCTGTGAATCAGGGTGCGAGCTGTTTCGTGAGGTGAAGCTGCTGTTTAAAGGGCAGCCAGTGAAAGAGAGACGGTGATACTTGGTCACGTCTCGAGTGTACGAATCCGTTGGAACGACCTTGGATCGGCAAGCCAGCTTGTCCGTGTAAGCTGGTCGACGAAGGAAAGGTGAGGGGATTCGAGGATGGGAAAGGCAGTACGGGACGGAAAGGTCGCAGCTGCAATTATGAAGGAGGGAGTGGTGGTGGTGATGGGGACGATGGCCGACGAAGTTGAAACGAGGCAATGACGGCAAGATGCGTTCCTGCTGCGGTTCTCAGTGTGCCACACGGAAGTTGGCCAACGTCAAGGCTTGATCTTGTCGCTGTGTGCTGCTGCGCTTTTTTTTTCCGGAATGTGGTTCGAGCGTACCAGAGAGAGGCCAAGATCGATTTGCAATGTGCACCTGCTGCTGGCTTCATTCTCTCACCCGTAGCTGCTCAGCTGCTCAGCTGCTGCACGAGCGAAATTTTTTGAGCTTCTCTTCTGAAAATTTCTCAACTTTCTTCGCTTCGAGCTGCAACGCATCGCGTCGAATAGTGTTCCGATTTCGCCGATGCAGCAAGCTAGGTCTAACACTACTTACATCTGATATGTAAAATTCCGGTTCCGAAGAAGCGCGCATTTTTTTGTGCAACCCGCCTTGCATGAGGTTCTTCTCACCATCATCTGAACACTCACCTTCCACCTCTCCCATCGCGGACGGATCGCAAGCCAATCGAATCGCATCTTCACGAGCTCCATACACCCAGAATCCTAGGGAACCTTCGCGAACCATGTTCAAACCAACACAGGCTGCCTGCTCCAAAGCGAGCCGATTGCCGCTCAACTCGAAAAAGGCCAACCGCGACTTTTACAAGGGCACACGAACCGGCAACATCATGCAACGCAAGCGTATCGCCACCGCCGATCGACGAGGCAACCAACTTTACGATACCAACGGCAACGAGCGATACTGGCATCTCAAAACAAAGCGCATCGACGAAGCAAGAGTACCGAGTTACGTCGTACCTCCCGGTCTGGCGGAAACAAAGCTGCGACCGTACGTGTTCGCAGGTGCAAGCAGTGAGGGCGGTGTCTCCAGGAAGGGCAAGTTCGGCTTGCCAGAGTATCCGAGGATGGACGCAAATGGATTCGACGGTACCTACTACAGATCGGTGATCGGGGATATGCTGCAGAAGCGAAAGATCAAGGACCAGCAGGAGGAAGACAGGAGACTTGCACAGTCGTCCCGAAGTTGAAGCAATCCACTTCATAGCTTTCCGCTTCCCTCGTCGCCGTACAGTTCTTGACATGTTCATCTAATCGAACTGATCGCTCGCAGCCTTCCATCAACTTGTCAAAGCACTTTTCTCGTCCTCACTCTGCATTCACTCCATCTTGTATTTGTATCTCAATCCATGTCGAAAAGCATTCACCCACATCTCTCACATTCTTTGCCGTAATTCGGCCCCCGATGAACAAGCCTGCACCATCCAAGTTGAGTCAATGCACTTTTGAAACGCCCTCCCCATCGACACAACGGACCCCGGTAAAAGATGCAAAAAAGAAATGGTGACAAGAGTGGGATTCGAACCCACGCCCGAAGATAGCAGGTTTTCCTGAATGCTCAGAATATCTTCCTTAATGCTACGCCTTAGACCACTCGGCCATCTTGCCTTGGATGCATGATCGAACTCACTAATGCATATATATAACCTTACTTGTCAGGCGATATGACCGACACTTCGAAGCTTCGGAAACATGTCGATGAAACGACGGTTGTGCATGCGAGAAGGGGTATGTATTGCAAGAGAAGACTGAAGGGTGCATAGAAGAGACAGGAGAGCGGTCAGACGAAGAGCGCCTGAGGGAGGAGCGACTTGGGTGAACGACAGGTATCAAGAAGCGGCTATCGAAGTAGCCTCGAACGAAGGCATCACAGCAGGGACAGCCGAGGCATGTGCTTGAAGCCTTTCGGCTCTGCGCTCGGCTTCGATGGCCTTGTCGATGGTCGACTCTAGCTCCGCCCTGCGCATTGCGTTCTTCCTTTCGAAGCCTTGGATGAGTAGACGCACGCTTTCGATCGACGCAAGCAGCACGTTGGCATCCACGCCTGCCGGCATTTCGACTCTCTTTGCCTCTGATCTGGAACTCCACGCATCGTTTACAGGCGCTGGAACTGACGTGGAATCGGCATCTTCGGCCAGAACGGCTGCGACTTGGTCGACGGAAGCGTCTGCATCCGTGCTTGGGCCAGCAAAGGACGAGACAAACAGCTTGCTCGGGCTCGATGATGGCGTCTGGAGTCTGGCGATGGTAGGAATGACCATGTCCTCGTTGTTGGTGACACCAAGCCCCTTGGTAGGACTCGAAGCAGCGGGTGAGAATGGGTTCATGTTGGCATCGCTCCCCAGCACCGAAGTAAACTTGGGTCTGTTGACTGCGCGGGGACTGCCTGCGTTGGCGGCATTCAGCACACGAGCCACTGCGCTGAGGCTCTCCTTCTCTGGACTGGCGGTTGATAAGGACTCTTTGGCACCTGTCGATGAGGTGGCAAGACCTGAGGTTGCAGATACGACAGCTTCCCAATCATCGGGACCATATTGGCGCGCGAGAAAGTCGGACATGATCTTGACTTTGCGTCGCAGAGCTTCCACCTCCAGCGTCTTGTCCTCGTTGTCGCGCTGCAGTCCTTTGAGGATCATTTCTTGCGAAAGGAACTCGCGCTCGAGCTTGACGGCAGCCGCCCTGGTCAGACCCTTGTCTTCGCCGTTGGTGGGGCCAGTCTTGCCCTTGGATGATTTGAAACGGTCCTTCTCCACTTGGACGTCGCGCTGAAGCTGTGAGACGGTCTTTTCAAGCTCGAGGATGCGCTGGTTCCTGAGCTGGAGCGTGTCCATCAACTCGTCTACCTCAGCCCAAGCAGCCTCTTCCCCATTCTCATCGCCTTGGAAGTCCTGCTCGTCCTGTTCGTAGTACGCTGACTCGTGCTGCTCGGCCAAGGCCTGGTGGTGGGTGCTCGTCTGTGCTGATCCAGCACCAGATTGATCCCTTGCATCGTTGGCCTGATCGTAGTCTTCGTCGGCTTCGTCGTGCTTTTCGAGCACAGAGTTGCCCAGCAGAGGAGAAGCATTGTCTGGATTGAGCGATGCTCGTCGAGATGTGGAGCGTGCGGTTGACGAGGACGAGGGTGCTGTCAGGTGCGAGGCGGGTTCCATTGAAGGCAGAACGGAGCTCCTCCTGTGAATGCGTTTGAGGAGTTGCCTTCGCGGCGTTTCCGGTGGAAGGCGTGAGGAGTCCATTTCTGCTCTGATTGCTGGTTGTACGTGGGAGCAGTTGACATCAAAGAATGTGGTGGTGGTGGTGACGACGATGACGGTGACGCTGACGAGGTTTCTGATTGTTTGATCTGCTGCCTGCGTGCGAAAGTGTCGAGCTGGATGTCGGAAAGTAACACACAAACATGCGCTTTCAAGATGAATTATTTCACATTGGCTCAGTCCCACGTCAATTTAAGCCACGACGCGCGACGCGGACTGGCAGAAGATCGCAGTTGTGGAGAGGCAGAGTGCGAAATTGTCACGTGGGGAAAGCCAACTCGACCAAGGTTCTGATTCAGGGTCCGGATTCTGATAGAAGAGAGCATCTTCTCGACTCACTCGACATCTTCCACCACTCACCACCATTGACGATTCCGATCGCAGCAACGCTCATGTCATGGACATAGACAGTCATTCGTCGCAACAGTCGGCGCTGCCGTCGACTCACGACCAGCCTGCTGTCATCACACACCCCGCGAGCAACGGTCCGGAGGCGGCTTCGGCCACTCACAAGAGAAAGTATCAGGAGTTGATACACTCCGATAGTGTTCTTCAGGCTGTAGTCGGCGCCGGTTCCTCCCCACCACCCTCATCATCATCCTTTCCACCTTCTTCGCCTCCGCCCCCTGGTCGCTCTGCTTCTTCCACGCCAGCTCCGCAATCTACTTCGGAAGCGCAGAAAGTCTACATCGCTCGTGCCGCTCCGCATCTCCTCGGTCGCGCACCAACGCCGACCAGCTCCAGAACACCCTCTGTACCACCATCGCGCAGATCGAGCCCAACTTCGGAAGACGGTCGCTCGACGCCCGACGGAGCCTCTTCCACACCCACTCCCTCGAATCAGTCACATCATATATTGCCAGAAGGCTATCGCGGCCCTGCCCTACGCCGGAATGATGCAGAGGATTTCGCTCCTCCGCCACACCTTGCCCCAACTGCAGGCTCAAGTACTCTCTTTAACACCATCAACTTTGCCGTAAATCGCAATGGTTGGCGCTACACCGCTGCAGGTCCCGCGAGTCAGCACCTTCGCCAAACGCTGTTCAAGACTCTCGAGACTCGCCCCGCCAGTGTGCACTGGTGCTGGTCCGATCGTTCTCCTTTCACAAAGATCTCTGCTGACGCTAACGTCGTCTCCACAGAGAAGGGTTTCCGCAGCGCACGAACCAACATCGGTGTCCGTCAGGGCGAATGGTACGCAGAGATCGAGATTCTCCCGCCCGAGCAACTGGCGATCGGTGTTGGCGCTCCAGGTCCACTTCCGCCGCCCATGAAGGACGGTCCGCACATCCGACTCGGATGGGGCAGAAGAGAAGCTCCACTCAACGCGCCCGTCGGATTTGACGGCTACTCGTACGGCCTGACGGACAAGGCTGGAGACAAGGTCACTCTGTCCCGGCCTCTACCTTACGGAAGACCTTTCAAAGCAGGTGATGTCGTCGGAATGTACATCAAGCTCCCATCGGAAAGAGCGCCGGAGGACGAGAATGATCCCGCCAACATCAAGCGCGAACGAATCCCCATTCGCTACAAAGGTCAGCTCTACTTTGAAAGCCTCGAGTATCCACGCACAAGAGAGATGGAGCAGATGATGGAACGTAGTCGCAAGGGCAACAGCATCGAGGATGCACTCAAAGGCATAGAAGGCACTGGCGTGTTTGAGCCGTCAGACCCACAGTCTTCTGCTACCGCTGTCGCAGAAAGTGCCAATGGAGTTTCATCCGTCGTCAATGGCAACGGCAGCAGCACCGCAACAGCAGCTAACAGCGGAACTTCGGGCGGTGGAGGATCTGCCAAAGTCAAGAATCGCAAAAACCCCGGCACAAAGGAGAAACCCTCCGGTCCGACAATACCTTCGCTTCGACCTATACCCAGTTTGCAAGGATCCAAGATCGGCTTTTTCGTCAATAGCGAGCCGCAAGGGATTGCCTTTCGCGATATCTTTGACTATCGTCCACTCCGTGTGAAGGGTTTCTCGGGTTTGAAGCCTGCTCCGTCGAAATCGACAACCTCGTCCTCCCGCCCGGGCAAGCAAGAGCCGGCGAAAAAGGGAGAATCAACAGAGCCAGTCATCAACGTGAAACCGCGCGAAAATGTGTTTGACGATGGAGCTCTCGGTTACTTTCCCTTTGTCTCGAGCTACGGTGGAGCCAGGGCAAAGCTGATCACCGGCGAGGATGGGTTCCGATTCCCACCGCCGGATGACATCGAAGCGGCATTGGAGAGCGTTTCTCAGCCTCCGTCAGACTCGGCTGCGATCAAGCAGGAAAGCTCCGCAGGCGGGATGGGAAGGAGATGGAAACCGCTATCAGCGAGATTCGAGGAGCACCTATCCGAGATGTGGGCGTACGATCTGCAGGACGAAGCAAAAGCACAAGCTGTTGCCGATAAGCAAGCCGAAGAGAAAGCGAAACGAAACAATGCTGCTAAGGAAAGGTACGCAGCGGCGAAGAAGAAACATGCTGCTGCGTTGGCTCGGAATGCAACTGCCAGTCCGGCTCCCAGTCAGCATGCAGGTGGGGAGGGGGACCAGGAGGAGGGTGATCGGACCATCGTGGCGGGGGAGCAGAGTGGGATGGATCTGGATGACGACGTGAAGAGTGGCATCGTTGACGGGCGGAACGGTGTGGAGGACATGCCTGATCAAAGTGCGATCGAGGTGATGGATGTGCGCAATGCTGAACATGCCTTTGAAGCGTCTTTGGGCGAGGTGAATACTCCACCGGAAACGCGACCGGATGCAGCGCAACACTCTTGGTCGAACTCCCGCGATGCAACGCCAGATGAGGAGATCAGGTTGGTGCAGTCGGCGAAAGTCGAGGAGGACGTGGAGATGGATGATTTGCGTTCTTGATCGATGTAAGAAGTCAGGATATGCTTTGAAATGAATCTCAGCATCGTCAACAGTGCACACACGAGGGAGACATGAGATTTTTAAGAGGATGTTTGGATTTCAGGAGCATGAGGAAAGTGTGTGCTGCAGAAGCAGGTTTACATTGTCACGGAGGATTTGGTGATCGGGGAGGGAGTTTGATAGGACCAGTCCGTGTCAGAGAAAGGTCAGTGTGAGACACAGAAGCAGATTTTCCCGGGTGGAGAAAGCTTGACTGTGGATCATGCGGCTCGACAAGAAGTTCAGAGCGGGATCAGGGTCATTCTTCCGGCAGCGACGTAAGGGATCGGAGCTGACCGGAAAGATCCGGCGACGGGAAGGAGAACAGCACAGGGGGTTGTGCATGGTCGAAGCTGGCCGTTCGAGGTGACGAACGTGTCACCCGCGGACGGCGAGATGGCGAGGCGAGGCGCGAGCGAGCGAGCCTTCCAAGGGTCGCAGCTCGAGCGCCTCTGGCAGTTGCAGCGACCGTCTCGACTGTCCGACACGAAGATGGGAGAAAACCATTCGACGTGTCATCTTGCCCCCGTTCCATGGCGATGGAATCTCCGAAGCGAAGATCGTATAAGAGTAAAAACATTCAACAAAAGGAAATCAACTTCGTCCAGTTGATCAAGTGTTGCTGAAAGAGTTGTTGAAGAAGGCCTTGTGCTGTTTGAGCAGCTTGCGTTGAGGCGAAGTGCTGCCACCAGCGGTGGTCGACACGGTGGTCGTCATGGTGTCGAACGAATCCCGACCTGGTTACCGTAAGAAAGGATGGAGAAATGGTCAGACATGAATTCTCCCTTCTTCCTCACAACACATTTTACAGGTTTTCACAAGCGACAAAGAGAAGCCGGAAAGACGAAACAACCTTCCCTGAGTTCCTCAAACGAGGTTCCAGGGGCTTAGGAAGGGAAAGGTCGTTCGATCTCAACACTTGCCTTCTTTGAAAGAACCGGTCATTACGATCCCTCCGATCCCGACGGCAGAAGTGGCATACATCTCCTGCACCAAATCCTGCGCACTTTTCCTACCCTGTTGAACGCGGCGGGGTGGTTGAAACATACCCTTTGCAGTTTCTGCCCGTGCAGAGACGAACGAAGCTTTGGGGGAAGACTTGAACGGCTGTCCAGGTACCATCTTGACGCTCTTCTTGCTAGCGGCGGATTCGGTAGGCGAGGGGGGCTCGAGGAACATGTGTCCTCCCATGGCAGGCATTCCACCCATCATACCCATGCCGGAGAACTCGGCCTGGTAGGGGACCGTCTCGCGAGGAGTCTTGCGCTTGGGCTTACCCGAAGAGACCTGGGTGGTCGAGACCAAAGTGGTGTCGGACGTGTTGGCGTTGGCCATGACGGAGGAAGACTTGGACTTGCGGAAGAAGGCGAGCATCTTGGTCAGGTTGCTGGGTTCGTTGGTGAGTGCGGGCGAAGCGTGCATAGACGGTGCGTTGGTGTTTGTGGTGGTGGTAAGAGTTGAGGTAGTCACGGTGAACAAGACTGTGTGAGCTTGAGTTGTTGTGTTTGTGTTGTTTGTGTAAGATGAGGAGAGGGGGGGCGGGTGAAACGTGGGTGAGAAGGGATGTACTTATACGACGAGTGGGCGAGGTCCACTGGGCGGAACTGCGGGTTTCATGCTGGAAGGATTCTGCTGAACAGCCATGCTTGTGTTCTTCACCACAAGCGGTGGCATACTTGCTCGCAAATCGATCGCAGGTCACGCACGGCGACACGCAATTCACACACGCGATACCGGAGACGAGCACAGAGTCACGACCGACAAGCACTAGCCTCACTTCGGAGGCTCGAAAGCGCTCCCTCGCACTGACAGCCCTGCACGCATCGGGCCCCATGAAGCGAGTCATACCGAGTCAAGTCTATACCCGGATGGTCAAGGCTGCGCAGCATACAGGGTCTCGGCATGTCAAAGGAGCTGTCATTTTCTGCTGCTGCGGGAAAAGGTCACACGCGTCTCGAAATCACCGCGGAGCTCACACCTTTGGCTTCCGCTTTGTGTAGCCGAGGTGAGTCGACTGAGGGGGTCCGTGGCGCGTATCATCCAGGAGCTCGCCATCATCCACTGGACACCTGATCGCTCTCGCTCTCGAGCGCTTTGCACCAGCAGTCACACACAGCCTTCCCACCCTCGTTCCTCGCTTGCATCCAACCGAGACCTGCCGCTGCCGGCGGCAGTGAGACTTTGCTCTTCGGAGCCGACATTGACACCTTGCTTTCCGTGGGAGACTCTCAACAGTCAGACCTTGCTTTCCGTGGGAGACTCTCGGCACGTCGATCTTCGCGACCTGGTGGGGGTCGTTGCGTTCTGTTCGCGATCAGGCTCAGCAGTTGGACCCGGCGATCAGAAGACTGATCTCACAAACGTGGCTTGCGTCGGTCCTGCACTGTACCTGAAAATGGTGCTTGTACAACTCCGACTCAGCTGACCAAAGGGTGTGATGCCAAGCAATCAATAAAATCCGGGGAGCGGGATCGCAATGTGGCAGCCACATTTCTGTGGTATGGCACCATCGTCGTGATGGGCGGAGAATTGGCATGGCCGGCCAGGAACATCGAGCAATTCGCTCGATGAGTTGCTAATGTGGTCCCGTGGTATTGAGTGCCGTGTCACAGGAAAGTGTTCACAAAGCAACCTGAATGTAAGCCTGTCAAACTTACAGGAACGCCTGCTGCGCTGTGCAATGACGACTCGTCTTCCCCGCGGACCACGCACGAGGCTTTGCTCGATGCCGCCTTTGCTACTCGCCTGTCTTCCTGGACCACCTTCTCCTTACTTTGCACTGCTTTTGATACCACCTTATCTTTTCAGACCATTCATGCCAGGACATAGCCTCAACCTGACACAGCAACGGGAGACATGTGTCCTCCAGCCCGGAGAGCGTGGCTCACGAAATACCAACCGAAAAACGTGCTCGCGGCGTAATCGTCATTGCTTCATGCTTCAGGACGGACGTAGGCGACCCACTAGACCCTCGTTCGCCGTCGGCATCTTCTCCAATACACAGCATGTTGCTGTCGCATATGATGGCGATGACGGGATACCCGGTGCCACGGCTATGGAAACGAGAAAGAGTCACGGTCACGAAACAATGGAGGTTGATATGGATGATGACTCGACCTTTGAATTCATGCGAGGCGTTTAGGGTTTCCCTGCAATTTCTGCCCACGTTGTTGCGACTTTTGCCTTTCGCCTAGATACCGGACCCCCACGTGAAGAGTAATCTCCGTTGGAACAACTCTGTTATGAGCCGCAATGCCGAAAGATTTGCTTCGCACCGGTTCACCGTCACCCGCCGTACCGCATCCACATTGTTACAGCGTCTGCGGTGATCCGAACCCTAACGAACACACAGTGGACTGGCGCAAAAGAGAGCTACCTGTAAGTAGACCGGTACGTGTTGTAATATGTACGCAATCCCGGCTCAGCCTGCAACTGTAAACCCGGACATAGCTCAGTTGGAAGTAGCGATGGTTTGTAATTGGAAACCCTAATCCGGTATTAACGGAAAAGCACCATAGGTCGCCGGTTCGATTCCGGCTGTCCGGACGCTTATTTTTTGTCTTCCTTCGACTTTCTCGTTCTCATCGTACCTCTTTGGCTTCACAGAGGCTTCTATCACCACCCACACTCGATCGGCACAGCTATGTGTAGGGGCGTGTAATGGGTATGATACGATGCCCACCGAGGTTGCTACAAATACAATTGAGAACCGATGCTTCGCTCTTCTATGCCTCCTGCCAGCCGCTCTTCGCCTTCTTCCTCTCCCTCTTTTCGGCCTTCAACCTCGCCTGTTGCTTCTGCTGGTTCCTCTGCTGTCTCTCGCCAAACTGTCCGTCGTGCAATGCCATCGTCGCCACCCTCTTGGCGGTAGCTACGGTATTCAACTTTTCCAAAATCTTGTCTTCATCCTCCAATCCTTCCAGCTGGGTCAATTTGGTGTTGATCTTTTCTTCGATCGAGTGGATGACGTCGATGTCACGTTCGGTGATGAACGAGACGGCGAAACCGCGTTTTCCGTTACGTGCGGTACGACCTACGCGGTGGACGTAGTCTTGCCAGGCGGAGGGTAGGTCCCAGTTGACGACGAGTTCTACGTCGGGGATGTCGAGACCACGGGAGCCGACGTCGGTGGCGATGAGGACGGGCACGCGTTGCGCGCGGAAGGTTTGCAGGTTCGAAGAGCGTTCGGATTGACGCAGGTGCGAGTGGAGAGAGACGTTGGGGATGCCGAGTTCGGTGAGCATGCCGGATAGCGTGGCGGCTGTCTTGCAGCGTGCGGTGAAGATGATGGTGGCGGGGAGGAAGAGCGCGGCTTCGTCGTCGTCATCTGAGTCGGAATCGGAACCGTGGTGTGCGCGAGGTCTTTTGCCCTTCTTGCGTTCGTTCTCGTCCTTTCTCTCTCGATCAGCTTGACGCTTGGCTTTGAGTTTGCGAACGCGTTCGGAGCTGGGCTTGATGGGTGGATGTCGCATGATGTGGTAGAGGTACGGCTCGCGGATATGTGACGGCACAAACACGTACCGCTGCTCCAGCGTTTCTGGCGTCTTTGTGTCCATCTCGATCTTGCATACCATCGGCGCCGGCTTACCTTCTGGTCTCTTAGCATTGGCGAATTCGACCACTTGCTCTGTCAATGTCGCTGTGAACAGCAGCGTCTGAAGCGTCTTCGGACTCGGCAAGACCGAGTAGAGATACTCGAGCTCCGGCTTGAACGTATCCGTCAACAACCTGTCCGCCTCGTCCAGCACCAAGAACTTGCATCTCCTCAGACCCCACTCTTCTCCACCACCGCTGCGGAGGTGATCTACGAGTCGACCAGGAGTAGCGACGATGACATGAGGTCGAAGGTTGGCCAGTTCAGAAGCTTGCTTCATCATATCCATACCGCCGAGCACGAGTGCACACCGCAGCCCCATCCGTGCTCCTTCCCCTACAGCCACAAATTGCTCGTGCAGCTGTACTCCGAGCTCGCGCGTCGGTGTGAGCACGACGGCGAATCCACCGACCATGTCTTTGATGAGCTTGTTGAGGATGGGCAGCGCGAAACAGAGCGTTTTACCGGAACCGGTCTGAGCACCACCGACGAGGTCGCGACCTTCGAGCACCGACGGGATCGTGAGACTCTGGATCGGCGTGGGTACTTTGATCTGAAGAGAGGCCAGACTGCGGATGAGCATGGGTGAGATGCCGATGGAGGAGAAGGAGGTGTGCTTGGGAGGATCGGACGCGCTCTTGGCCACCTCTTGCGCCAACTTGGATGTCGAGGCGACCGAGGAGGACGTGCCCGTACTGGACGAGCTCGTCACTGCTAGCGGCATTGTGTGATAGATTGAGCGCGAAGACTTTGTAAGTAAGTCAGAGATGGATCGACGGTTATGGGGGAAGTTCAGAAGAGGAGAGGATCCTGTGGCCACAGAAGAACAGGGTTCAAACCTGAAATTTTCCAACAGAGCGGCAACCAAGTTAGAAAAAATGCAACCGACAACTCGGAAGACGGAACGTAGCCTTCCTCCACTCTGAGACTCTTGGCTCGTTCACTTTCCAAGCTACCAAGCTTCCATGACTACTCTTTCAACACCAGACAAGCTCCTCTCCGGTCTTCGAGTCAGCATGGAGCTATGGTTCTGAAGCTTCTAACGGCCGCCTTTGTCGTCGCAGTCGGCGCTGGCCTCCTGGCGTGTCTGGCACTCGGCCTGCTATCAGTCTCGCAATACATCGAGTCGCACGCCTCAAGAGCACGTCGAATCGGGATTCGCTCGCTCTTCGCCTTCACTGTCGTCGAGGTACTCATCATCTCGATCAATGATGTGCCATTCCTGCCTCTGCTGCCGAATCTCGGCGCTGCTGCTCTGCACTATACCGCCCTACGAGATCCAAGCTGGCCCTATTCGGCCCCGCCCTCTTCGCCTAGCCTAGGCGTCTGCACAAGCATCGCTTCGTTGATCTTTCTTCCTCTCGCATCTCACATCTGGCTGGTCCGACATCACAATTTCAGCCAACACGCATGGCATCAACATCGGTACGACACGGTGCATCGACACAGACTACCAGGCGGCAGACTCGACTGGGATGTGACAAGCGCAGCACCACCAGCATCGAGGGAGATGTCGAGCCTGCAGGTGTGTGCTGTGCTGGTTATATGTGTCTGGTCGATACCCGTGTACAGGTTGTTGGGACGGATCGCGGCTGCAGAGTGGGTGAGTGGTAGCGGTGGCATGGTTGCTGCTCAGGCACGAAGGTCGAGGAGTTGACACTCGATGGAGTATATCTGATCGGGAGATCCATGCATCTGAGATCTATGCAACTGATAGAATGTAAAACTGCAGCCATGTGGCCGAAAGACTGACTGAGGCAACCCTCGGTACCCGATCAACAGAAATGCAATTTTAGCCAACTTTTCTGTGCCTTCATTTTTCCGTCGAAAGAAGAGATCGTACATGAATTCTTAACATGTTACAGGTCGACTGACTTCGGACAGTGTCGGCCGTCTCACGCTAAAACCCGCTTCGAAATTCCGCATCCTTGCGGCGATAATTCGACTGAATGTACATATGCTTCAACCTAACACACTGAATCACTCGCCACTGGCCAGGAACGGCAGCAACGTTAAGGTTTGGCGGCGATCAACGAGTCGCCTCGATGTACGAACTCGAGCGGCGACTGAGTAACACAGCAAGCGAATCAGTGATGTACGAGAGCAGACCCGAGCACTGTTAGATCGTCCACCGAGGTGCGGCGAAGAAGTGCGGCGTTCGGTCGGGCAGTGCGAAAGATTCCGATGCAGGGTTGGTCGAGCGAAGAACAGGTGCGGCTGGTCGGCTGTAGGCGAAGTTCGAATCGCGTGGCAGAGGAGTACAGCAGCAAACAAGGCTGAGGTTAGAGCTTGCCCTCTCTCCGGCTGTCGAAGTCAAGTTTCACCGGCAAAATAGACACCGCGTTTGACACCTTGACAATTTTGGCTGCCTCGTTAGGCTGTCGGAAAGGCCGAAAAAGTGTCACGCTACCAGACAAAGCCGGAAATCTGTCACTACGCCGCCACAGAGACTGGCCGCTGTACAGCCGCTGCTGCTGCTCCAGCACCCCGCACTTTTGCCCGCTTAGTTGTCGGCGGCCTGTCCAGCCAGTTCGCAGCGTTGTGTTACATACATATACCGCTCCTTCCTTCGTCACCAACTTCTGCAACATCAACCTCCTCACCGTCACCCGCACCACCTCCGTAGCCGTGATCATGTCGAACGCACTTCGCAACGCTCTCCCCGCCCTGCGACGGGCAGCTGCCACCGCCGCTGTCCCCAAGCCTACTGCTGCCACCACCTCGGCCATCCCCACCCGTTCCTACGGCACCACACCCGACACTGCTCCCGAGCAATATAAGATGACCAAGTTCAGCAAGTTCGACTGGGAAGACCCCATGCAGCTCTTCGAATCGCAACTCTCCGAGGACGAGAAGGCCATCTCTCAGACCGCGCACGACTTCTGTCAGGAAACTCTCAAGCCCAAGGTCGTAGACATGTACCGCAACGAAACATGGGATCCTACCATCCTGCCTTCGCTCGGAGAGCTCGGCCTGCTCGGCTCGACCATCGAAGGGTATGGATGTGCAGGTGTCAACAGCGTGTCGTACGGACTCATTGCGAGAGAGGTCGAGAAGGTAGATTCGGGATACAGGAGTATCATGTCGGTGCAGAGTTCCCTGGTCATGGGCCCCATCAACCAGTTCGGTACCGAGGCTCAGAAGGAAAAGTACTTGCCCCGACTTGCGAAGGGTGAACTCGTCGGCTGTTTCGGTTTGACCGAACCAAACCACGGTTCCGATCCAAGCAGTATGGAGACCACCGCCACCGACACAGGCGATGGCCACATCATTTTGAACGGAAGCAAGACCTGGATCTCCAATTCCCCGCACGCAGACGTCTTCGTCATCTGGGCAAAGTGCAAGTGGGACAACAAGATCCGCGGCTTCATCGTCGAGAAGGGCACCAAAGGTCTCTCCGCCCCTGCCATCAAGAACAAGCTGCAGCTCCGCGCCTCCGTCACGGGAAGCATCTTCATGGAAGACGTAAAAGTCAAGCGCGACGAATCGCTCCTCCCGCACGCACGACCTGGTCTCGGCTCACCGTTCGAATGCCTCAACTCCGCCCGCTACGGCATCTCGTGGGGAGCCATGGGTGCGCTCGAAGCATGCATCGCCGAAGCCAGACAGTACGCCCTCGACCGTTCCCAATTCGGTCGTCCCATCGCCGGCTTCCAGCTTATCCAGCAGAAACTCGCCGACGCTTCCACCGAAGCAGCTCTCGGTCTCATGTGCAGTCTCCAGCTCGGCAGGATGAAGGACAGCGGAGCTTGGTCTCCGGAGATGGTCAGTCTGGCAAAGAGGAACAACTGCAACAAGGCGCTGCAACAGAGCAGAAGCCTGTTGGATATCTTTGGTGGAAACGCTACTAGCGACGAGTACCACACCGGTAGACACGTGCAGAACCTCCAGACCGTCAACACGTACGAGGGAAGTTACGGTATTCACACTTTGATCTTGGGTAAAGGTATCACTGGATTGCAGGCTTTTGCCAACTAAAACACTTGTGCCGAAAGACACATTTATATCTTGCTCGAAGCGTAGACAATTTCAAACCATTGGAATCACAACCGACATCGTGAGACTGTGAGAGAGTGTCCACAAGCGTCGTCTCGAGACTCAACCTTTTCGCATCAACCGAAGGTTTGGCCGAGCGTCAATCCACCTTCGGATTACCTCTGTAGTACCTAGCGTTGATCGTCGTCATGATCAAACTCGGAATGTTGCCCAGCGTGTTGAGCACCGTCAAACCGAACGTGATGTCGTCGGTGGAGAGTTTTTCCCCGGAGCTTTTGAGTTTTTGAACCCAGGCTTTGTATTTGTCTGAGGAGAGGTTGGGTTTGAGTTCCTTGCGCAGATCGGACGATGGTGGTGAAGAGGTGGATTCGAATGTTGAGGGAGGGAAGGAGGGACGAGGTCGTAGACGGTGGTTGGAATCGAGGGGTAGGAGGGGGATGTACTCGGGGGAGTGGATGGAGGACGACGATGAGGAGGAGGATAGGGATGGAAATGAGGGGTGGGTTGGGATGGCTTCTTCGACGATCTCGTCGACGGCGGTGATCGGTTGAGGAGAGGATAGACCGCGTTTGTGGAGTGGATGCGAGATGACGATGTTGCCGGTGGCTGCGTTGGCGCTGTAGTCCCTGGAGGGGTCGAAAGCAGAAGGTGCTGATGCGGTAGAGGAAGTAACAGGAAACCTTTTCGGGATGCGATCTCTTGCGCCGGACTCGAAGTCGCTCGATAAGTCTCCCTGCTGCTGACTCTCCGACACTCCTCCGACCACATCATCGCCACCATCGCCCGAACTCATACTCGCCACTTGTGCATCTCCATCCCGCCCTCCGCCCTCCTGCTGTCCCTGCCCCTCCCCTCGCTGACCCAGCACATAACACGGCGTCTTGACCAAACTCGGCTTCCTCCCTTCCACCTGATCACTCGTCGTATACGTTTCCACCGTACACACCGTGTCGCCCACCTTCGGCGGTGGCTTCTTCTTCTCCGCTTCCATTCTTGCCTTTTCCTTGTAGAACTTCTCCCTGTTCGACAAGAACGATTTGGCGCTGATGTAGTTCCACCCGACCGTCATGGCAAGACCGATGGCAGAGGTGGTGATCACCACGGGTCGTTTCCAGTCCGATTTGGGTGTGGAGGAGATGGCGGCTTCGGTTGTGCTTTGAAGTGCGGAAGCGGAGGCAGATTGGCGTTTGAGCAAGGCAGAGGGAGGAGTGTAGGTGGATGGGAGAGGTGATGCATGCGCGCAGAGGCTCAGCACGGCGAGCGCTGGAGGGAGGAACGAGGCGATCCTCATGGTCAACGAGAGAGCACGAACACGGTTGGAAAGCACTCACTCCTCGCCAGCTTCGCGAGGCCCTATATAGGAGCGTGCATCTGTACTGAAGCTTGCTGCTCTTCCTTCCTTCCCGTCAGAGCAGCAGACGGAAATGAAACATGAAGACTTCTCGGAAGCTTTCCCTGCCTGTTGATCTCATGCGATCAGATAACCTTTGCGATGTGCACATCACCGACCGAAGAACATCCTTTCGAAACCCACCGTTCCATCCGCAATGCCTACTCGTAAAGTCACGATCATTGTTCCGACCGTGCCAAAAAACACTCCGAGACGAAGGTGTAATGTCCGTGTCCCACCCACATGTTTCGGTGCGAAAGGCTCTGCCTTCCGTCGATTCCGGCCCGTTCGGGCAGCTAGCGTTCTTACGCCCGCAGATGCCACATTGCTCTCTACAGTCACGCCGCGTAATCTAGCGTGGATGATTGCATGCAAAACCAAGTGGCAATGATCCTCCTACGGCTAATCAGTCCAATGAACCTGATTCCTCGCCCACCTATCCGCCACAAACCTTCTCTTATGATATAACAATCTCTGCTGCTTGTACCTCCTCACAAAGCTCGCTTCATCCACCAAGCCCTCCTCCGCGGTCCCACTGTCGTCCCTCGGATACGGCAGACCTTCGACAAAGGCGTTGGCCAACATTTCGGATCTGTCGTTCAACTTGCTCGCCGATTGGGTGAGGCTGAAATGCAGCGCCGAGGGGTTGAAGCGTTTCTGTGCTTCGTTGAGCTGCTGTTCTCGCGTCGCCCATTCGGACTCTAGCGATTTGGCTCGATCGAAGAGCTGCTGCGTTTCGGTGCGGAGCGATTCGAGCGGTGCCTGACGTTCGAGATTGCGTGCGGCTTTGGATTCGTTGGTCCGGAGGAGGTCGGCATGGGTGCGGTAGAGGGACTGTGTTTGTGGAAGCGAGTGGAAGAACGCTTCGAAGTAGGCTTGGTTGGGGGTAATGGGATCGGAAGGTGGCGTCTGCGGGTGAGAGGATGTGGATGCGGGATGGTCGTCGTAGGCGAGCGCTTCGAGATCTTGCCGCGAGAGCGAGGCGGTTTGTGGGAAGGCGGTGGTGAGACGCGTCTGCAGTGCTGATGGTGCTGGTGATCCTGACATGGCTGCAGGGTGGGTACCAACTCCTCTTGCTGGCTGTCAGACGGCTCGAGGAGTGATTTAGAGAGAATGGTGGTGGAGTGGTGCCTACATGGATTGGTTGTGCGACCGTGCGTTGTGGAGAAGCTGAATTAAATAGAGTGTTAGGTTTCAGACGGAAGCGAGGAGCCAGTCCGGGATCGGCAATAAGAACCGGCTGAATACGTCAAATTCAGCGGCCTTTGCTCGCCCTCGCCCATGAATCTCGCGGTCCAACTCACCGGCCACGACGACGACAACGACGGCGGCGGCTACCATTTCTACCCTCCCTTCTGTTGATAGCCGTTGTGCTTTGTCGCTCTGTCGCTCTGTTTTCCGCCTGGTCGTTGCGCTCTCAACCTTGTCTCTTCACCAATACCCATCTTCCACCAACGTCGGTCCGTTACAGTGTGATCTACAGAGTCATAGCGACAATCGTCTCTCGGACAAGCAAGGACGACGGCACACAAGCTTTGAAGGAGCATACTTGCACCTTGGAACCATCTTCGTTGTTGTACTGTAAAGGGTGCCCTGTCTCACAGCTTCTCCGACCATGAAGGTCAAAGAGGCGCTCTACAACATTCTCTTTGGCCCGGATCAGTCCTCTGCATCGTCATCATCTGAACCGTCCACAACCATCTCCATAGCAGCAGCATCGTTGGGCGTTCCGACAGAAGCGCTGTCCAAGCTTACCTCGCATTCGATCCACGCTCTGCAGAATCTGTCCGCCTACCGTCAGAGACCCGGATCGGAGCCATGTCCCCAATCCGTACCAGCGTATCGTCGAGCCGCTGTGCTGCTCGGCCTGTTTGGCGGACGCAACGGCGAGCTCTACGTGATCCTCTCTAAGCGTTCCTCACGGCTACGCTCTCACGGTGGAGACACAGCCATTCCTGGCGGTCGGTTCGAACCGACCGACAAAGATCTCGAACACACGGCACGTCGCGAAGCGTTTGAAGAGACAGGTCTTCCCATCGACCCCACCAAAGCAGTCAAGCTCTGCGAACTGCCCCCTTTCCTCTCGGCAAATGAACTGGTCGTGACTCCTTTCGTAGTATTCATCACAGACCACAACATTCAACCGCATCTCAATCCTCGCGAAGTCGACAGCCTCTTCTCCCTCCCACTCGTCTCGTTCCTCTACCACAACCCTCCACGAGACCTCCGTCGCTCCCTCCATCTCACGCCTACACCGGACCCAGAGGCACTCCGTCACATGCCAGCCAACGAAGTCTCCCCCATCTCGGACTGGCACACCTGTCGCGACATTCTTTGGCTCGGCGGTCACAGGATCCGAAGACACACGTTCTGGGACGAGAGGAATCCCATCAGAGGCCTGACCTCCGACATCCTGATTTTGGCTGCGAGGATCGCGTATGCCATGAAACCACAGTTCTGGTTGAAATGTGATGGGCAACCGAGTCAAGCTGATTTGATAGAGCTGGCGTTCAAGAGTCCTCTAGCGGTGAAGAAGTTCAGGGTCAAGCCGAGGATGCAGTTCTTGAGAGGACCGGAGTCCTTTAGTTTCAACAGGGCGGAGCGGACGGATGATGAGTTGGAACAGCCCCAGGACGAGAAGGACTTCCAATTGGCGCCACCGGCAGGGCCGGGTCAGGACGGTAAGCGAGAGGCAGAGGCGGTGGGTGGGATCACGAAGCCCAAGCTGTGAGCGGAAGGAGGAGGAGATGTATTTCTAGCTTTGTCACGGTGCATACACGCTTTCTAATCGTGATTGATGATGGTCTGGATTGCGGCGATTGAGACGCTGTGGAACTGAGAGATGGCCAGAAGTGTGTTTCAGCGCGAGATCAAAGCGAATCGAAGAAGATCCAGCTCGAGCGCCTCGACGTGCTCGAGACAGTCATGAGCATGCGTTCGTACCACAGCATCCGTATCATCCGCATGCACGTATCCTGCCACTTGCTTGAGTCTTCCCAGCAGCTCTGGTGGGAATAACAAGTTCTTTCCCTTCAAAGGTTCCCCACCTCTTTCAGTCGAACCGTCACTTGGAGCAGAGACGTTCGGCAGGACACCACCACCCGGCAACCGCAACGACGAGAGCTTCTCCACCACGCTTCCATCCTCTCCACTGTTCTCCAGCTGCATCCTTGACCCCCTCACCAACAGCGTGAGCAACAACATCGCCGCCCTCCGCAGATGTGCGACCTTCGCATCCGCATTCGTCGCACTATCCAACCTCCTCTGTTCCTCCTCCGCCTTCTTCTCCTTCTCCTCATCGTCCATGTCCTTCACCCTTTTGTTTGCAACATTGAGCTTCACCGCTCCCTCCTTTCCAACATCTGGTCTTCTCACCATCTCGATCACCACGATGTCGATGCACACCTGCGCAAGCTGCGATGCATACCCTTTCACCACCATCGTCCCCGGCACCGCTTCGATCATCGTACCCAGGATCGAGACGAACGACGATCTCAGCACGTTTGGCAGTGCTCTGTCCCTCAACCTCGTCAACAACGGTGGGACCACCGCATCGACGTGTGCAGCCATGGAATCGGCACATCGCTGGATCACCTGCAGCAAGGCTTCACCCACACGAAGACGCTTCTCCACCTCCCTCCCGCCCAAGCCTTGAGAAGCTAGCCCGTCGTCTCGCCCGATGTAGACCCCAACAAGACGCGAAATCGTCTGCCCACCCCCACTCGACGCGAGCGCAGCCAGACCTTGAACGGCGTTCAGGTAGAGATACGATTCTTCGTCCTGCACCGCGTGCAGGAATATGTCCAGGATGGCGGGGACGAGCGCTGGATCGACCCGGTCCACATGTTGGCCTCCGTTCTTGGTGTCGTCGGATACGAGGCGGCGCAGCAACACCAGCCCGTGCGCGCGAACGGGCAGGATGGGGTCTTGAAGCAGTTTGAGTGCTTCTTGGTACGTCTCTTGTGCTTGGGCGTAGGCAAGCGCTTTCGAAGAGGTTTCGCTGGATGCCGGCGAGGTGTTGGGTGTACGACCGCGTATGGAACTTCGACGAGCAAGGAGTACGAGTTTGGCTTCTTTTGCCAGGCTTCGAATTTCGGAGGAGCTGCTGTCGAGGTGATGCTCGATCTTGTCTTGGATGACCAGCAGCATCGGCTGCGTCTCGCTGGAGAGGGATGTGTCGGATTCGAGCAGCGAGAGAAGCAGACTGAGCGCGGTTGAGACGAGCTCTTCGTCGTCCCCTTCATCATCCTCCTTCGCATCGACGCTCTCGTTGTCGATTGCTTTGTTGTCCAACAGCACAGTCGGTGACTCGGCGGCAACGCTGAAGAGCGAAGTCACTGAAGACTTGGTGGTCGACGACTTGGCTGAGATGAAAGGTATATCGTCACCTGCAGCCTCTTCCGGCGCTGCTGATGCCTCGTCTTGCTGCGGCATCGCCTGCCGTTGGCTCGGCGACGAGAGCGAAAAGTCGATGAAAGCTAACGTTGCTGGCACATCGCCCTGCAGCAAATCCGAACCAAATGCGTCCAAAAGGTGCAGTATCAGCTGCAAATAAAGCACCGACTGGGTTCCCAGACTCGATACATGATCTTCTCCGCTCACACGAGCCTTGGTAGCCGACTTTTGCGCCATGTAAACGTTCAGAACCGCAGGTAACAGATCCCGAGCGAGGTCTTTTCGCTCTGCCGTCTTGAGTAACGTTGCCACCAGACGCGGATCAGGTCGCAATCCCAACTTGGCCGAGAGATCTGGCGCGATCTTTGTCAGATCCAGCTCGTCGTCCTTGCCTGTCTTGAGCTGGTCGGCGAGCGTAGCCAAACTGAGATCTTTGAGCAACGTCGAGAGATCTTGTCCCTCCTGGCTAGGATCTGTGCCAAATCGAATGGACATGCCATCGGGTTCACTGCTCCAGAAGAAGGACGATCCCTCATCGTTGGAGGCAGACTGCTCGCAACCGATGCCCTTTTCGGCTGACTTGATTGAGCGTAGCAGGGATGCAGCGCCGTGCTTGGCATCGACCAGACGAGCCCACGTCCTGAGAAAATTGGAAATCTCAGCCTTGAGCCTGTCCGTCTGACCCGCGGATTCAACAGATCTGACTTTGCCCTTTCCAACAGCTTGCTTCGGCACTTGAAGATGATCGTGCAACGTCAAAAGTTGGGGCAGGATAGGTTCGAAAAGCAACGTCAAGAACGTAGGAGATGGCTCCGAGAAGAGCAGGAAGCTCGAGAGAGTCGAAATGGCGCGATCGAGCTGCTGTGGCGACACTGCTACGATCGAATCCGCTTCTGCGTTTGCAGACGCGCCTACGGTGTAAGCCTCTCGTGCCGTCTCCATCGATGGGAAAAACTTTGAGTAGACCCTGTCATGCATGGCATCAGAGAACGATATAGGGTGTCGTTCTGAGATTCGAGTCAAGACAAAGCCGGCCGCTCGCATTTGCTCTTGAGGCGGTGGAGTGATGTTCGAAGATGCGCTGAGGTCTGGCGCGAGCACGTCGAGCAAGTTGGGCAGGATGATGGGCAGATACACCTCGGCCGGCAAACCCTGTGGTGGGGTCAGGAGCAGTCGTGCGCACTGCTCGAATCTTCTGAGCGAGTTGGTGCCTGGCGCGGCTGTGCCCGTCTCTTGGCTCTGTCCCTCGAGCTCGACAGCTGCTTCTGCTGCGTCGGCACCGCCGAAAGTGATGATGAAAAGCGAGCGAACGCCATCGGGTCGAAGAAGCTGAGCGCTGAGTAAACGTGACGAGGTAGCTTTGACGAAGGATGGTGCGCCCCGCTTGGCGTCCGAGTGAGCAATGACCGATGAGAGGGCTGACATGGCAGAGTGAGTGGAGAGGAACCTGAGAAGCTGCGTGGTTGCGGCGGCTGTACGCTTCTGGATCGCATCTTTGGTCGTTGCCGAGCTACTTTGAGTTGCTGCTGAGGCGTTGGAGGTCACACTCGGGCCGAAGCCAAGGCGGAGAAGGGATGAGAGATAGTCCACGATTCCGACGCGCAACATGACCGTGACTACATCTGTCGTAGTGTTCACGATTGCGATGGAAGAGGGCGGACTATGCGCCGCTACGATGACCGTCCACTTGCCTAGCACGCCATACAGATCGTTCCGCGCTGTATTGAACGCCTGTCTTGCCCTAGCTCGGTCTCGCGCTTCTGAATCCTCGTCGACCTCTTCGAAACGGTTGTGTGGAGTGAGCTTGGTCGAGCTATCCTTGCCCTGTGCCCTTGAAAAGCCCTTCGGAGAGAGGGAAAACAGTGTGTCATCGTACGCTCTGATCCGGGTCGAGAGAGCCCACTTGGAAGCCAGAGTTTGCAACGTAGTGATGAGCTTGACGTCTTTGACACCCAGCCCGACATCTTCCTTGGGTTGTACGCCTTGCTTTTTCAACGAAGTCGACAACCGATCATCCTGAACAGCGACACGAGAGTCGATGTCCGTCCTCTTCTCGATCAAGTACGAATGAATGAGCGATAAGAGGTGCAGAGCCAGATCACCTGTCGCCGTCTGCGGATCTGAATTTGTCTCGAAAGAAGAGAGGTCATCGGAGGCAGCAACAGCCTGCTTTAGTCGATCGGATAACGTGGCGTTGAGCGCAGCTTGGTTTTCCTCTTGATGTTGCGCTCCGAGCTTGATGGTCTTTGTGCTCTTCTGAATGCCCAGCTCGTCATCGAGAGCGCCTGTGAGAATGCGTGAGGCGTGCAGCGCCTGGTGCAAGCTCTGTCGATATGTGCTTTCCGAGCTGGACGCTGTGTCGGTCATGTTGGTGAAGCGCGCTTGCAGCACATTGTCTCGACTATAATCAGTAGGGTGCATGCAGCTAGTCCTACAGACGTCAAGAAGGTGGTGGTTGTGAAACAGTTTGATGTGCCAAGGAGCGCCGGAACACAAACGAGTCTTTCGACGTTTCGGTGTGTTCTGAAATCTTCCTGTCGCAGACAGACCCTGACCCAGCCTCGCTCGCAGAAATGGCCGAAAACGTCGAGAAAAAGTTGGGCAGCAGCACGCGACGAAGCCGTCGGAGTGGAGGCTGCGAGTTGAAAAACGCGGTACAGCAGCTGGCGACAGCTGAGCCTCCATCACGCTGCATAGCCGGCGTCCTCTCGAGAGCAAGTCGACGATGACGGATTGCCATCGAAGCATAGGGCATTGGCAGCGGAAGAGCCCCTCTCGACAGACTACTGTTCAGCATGTACCTTTGGCTTGACGACGTCTGTATTGTCGGAAGCCGGGGAAGTAGCTGCAGCAGTTTCGAGTTCAGGGGGCAGGAAGTGACCTGTCATTTCTTTGGTGACATGCAACAGCGAAATTGTGCTGGATCATGGAGCCGGCTGGTGCTGTCGTGGGCAGGTTCAGGAGCGCTCGCCGAAGACCCTGTGCAGGATGACAGGGCTCTACAGTGATTGGCAACATCTAGCGCGGCCAAGTTCTGACTACGTCCTGGCCGTATCGTCTGTCGCCGGAAGATAGTTGCAAGCCGATTCTGATTAGAGACTGAGCCGCAGACGAAAGCCTTACCCCGCTTTCTCGGTTACGTTCGACGAGCACGCAGCTGCCTTCCATCCACCTTACTGACTTGATGGTCGTCCCTTCCAACCTCTCGACACCTTTCGCGTCGCACATTCGAGCAGCTACAGAGGATGGTGTCAACAAGATCATCCATGAGGCGACACAGCGCGTCTGCTCCAGCCCGAGCGTCAACATCAAAGTCGAATGATGCCCAATCGCTTACACATCAGCCGGGAAGGACTCGACAGGGTAAGCGCAGGCAATCGTCATCGGACCAACACGATATCACCAAACGAGACGGAACTTCCGATGCTCATCCCAGTCGTCACTCAACTCACAGCATCGGCAGCGGCAGAGCCGACCTGACTTGGCAGCAGCGCGAGCTACTGCATCAGCAGAGATCGAAATCGAGGTCAAGACAGAACAGCAAGGCAGCATTATCCTCATCAAATCTACCTACTCTACGCGTCACCAGCGATTGTCAAATCGTCCTAGCTGCCGAGTCGGAAGCCCCGGAAATGTCTCACGAGAGGAATCGAGTGCCGCTCAACCAACGCTCGCTGCAACGTCCTCGATCGGATCAGCCTGATCCGTCAAAGGCCAAAAGACATCGAACCTCCGGTCGTCTGAATACCTTGCGATCCACATCGGCCACCCCGGAAGCGTACGCTGAACCAAGCTGCTTCCGAGCACCTGTTCCTCAAGCTCTTCCGATGCCATTTTTTTCCAAGTCGACCAAGAGTGTCGCTGTAGCATGAGCGCAGAAATCGATCCAAGCTGTCACGTTGCAATCAATGTCGCCATCTGGCATCTGTATCCTCCTGGAGTTCCTCTTGCGTCGGGGTCATTCGTCACACAGTCATATTGTCTCTGGGAATCAAGTATGCATGAGCCGAGTCGTAAATAGGTGTGATGTACAGTGTCGATGCCGAAAGGCTCCTTGTATCGTGTGTAGGGTGATTCGATCAAGCTATCGCAATCCGACGGGTTCAGAAAGCAAGCTGATTTTGGCCGCGCGGTCTGAAAGGAGACCTGACGCATCGACGTCGAGTGATTGTATGTATGTGTAAGTCATTCTTCTTTCCTCCGCTCCGTTTCTTCAGAGGTTGGAGAGAACGGCCTGGGTGAACTCGTGGGTCTTGGACTTGCCGCCCATGTCGGCGGTTCGCACCTTGCCGTCCTGGATGACCTTGTACACCGACTCGGCGATCTGGTTGGCCTGTGTGTCGAGGCCGAGGTGGCGAAGCATCATGGTGGCACTGAGGATCATGGCGGCAGGGTTCGCAGCGTTGGTGCCCATGATGTCCTTGGCAACGTGACGGCAACCGGGCTCGTACAGGGCGAACTCACGGCCAATGTTGCAGCCGGGCACGGTACCGGGACCACCGACGAGGGCGGCGCCAATGTTGGAGACGATGTTGCCGTACAAGTTGGGCATGACCATGACGTCGAACTGCTGAGGACGCGAGACGAGCTGCATGGAGGTGTTGTCGACAATCATGTCGTTCGAGTCGATACCGCTCGACTTGTACTCCTCGGCGACACGACGGAAGGTGTTGAGGAAGAGACCGTCACCAAGCTTCATGATGTTGGCCTTGTGGACGCAGGTGACCTTCTTGCGGCCGTTCTTGAGCGCAAAATCGAAGGCGAAGCGCGAGATGCGCTCGGCCTTGGCACGCGTCGACACCTTGAGCGACTCGACGACACCAGGGTAGGAAGAGTGCTCGAGACCCGAGTATTCACCCTCGGTGTTCTCACGGATGATGGCAAAGTCGACATCCTTGTGACGGGTGGGGTAACCGGGCAGCGACTTGCAGATGACGAGCGAGGCGTAGATGTCGAGCTGCTGGCGCATGGCGACGTTCCACGAGTTGTGCGAGCCGGTCTCGATGGGGGTGAAGAGGATGCCCTTCAAACCGACCTTGTTGCGCTTGAGCGACTCCATGGCCTCCTTGAAGAGCGACTCGGAGCCGTGGGTCTCGCCGGAAACGTTGAACTGCTCCCACTCGACGGGCACGTTCATCACCTCGAAGATCTCCTTGACCGAGTCGGTGATCTCGACACCGACACCATCACCAGGAATCAAAGTGACGGTGTAGACACCGCCGTACTTGGTGGGACCTTTCGAGATCTTGGGAGTACCGGCGGCGAGCGTGGTGGCGGGTCGGAGCACCTGGGGCACGTTGGGGAGGACGAGACCCGACTTGGTGGCCTGCTTGAGCGCAGGTGCAGCAGCACGGTTAAGCTGTCGGAGAGCGTTCATGTTGGCGGAAACGACGTTGCTGCGTGCAATGGGAGGGCGAGGACAACGACGGTAGGGAGCGGATGAGCAGGTGAGAAGAAGGAGAAAGAGGTTCAAGGTGGAGAAGCGAAAGCAAACTTCGATGAGATGGAACGGAGCAACCAAGACGAGCAAGCAGCTGGATCGCAAAGCGCCTCGCGAATCTTTACTCACACGGAAAAAAAGGAAGAAGTTGGCTGGCTGGCTCGCGACACGGGCCCGAGCCTGGGCAGGACAAAATATTGATACGTAGTCGAAATTCAACGCAGGCTAGATAGACAGAGAAAAGCCGGGAAATCAAAAAGAATTCTTTTTCTAAAATTCGAGCATAAGTTTCAAGTTTCAGTGTCGATGTCATCTCGTTGGTACACTGTACCTAGGACCTGCCGCTGTTTTTCGCGAGGTTCTTCTCAATCTGCGTCAGTCTAGTGTGGACTTGAGGTTTCATTTTGATTTTTTCTGATTTTTTTTTTCGTCTGTGCGACCTGGAGCCCCCTCTGCGTTTTATCTGCACGAACAAGGCATTCGTTCAAAGTCCGCTCGTCACCTTTAGCCAAGAGACGTCGCTCTGAACGGTATTCGAAGGTTGCTTGAAGGCTTCGTGGTACCAGCGAGGAGTATAGACGTACAATACTACCGTGAGCAGCCAAATGATGCTTTGACTGGTTCAAGAAATCAGTTGACCGGTGACAGGACCGCCAATGTAGCAAAGAACAAAGGGCAGCGCGAAACCATCGGAGAAATCCGTGTCTGTTGCTTCTGTGCCAGGCCAAGAGGACGAAGCGGAACTTGGTGGAGCAAGCCAGCCAGGGTCTCTCTGTCCAGCGACCAATGGAAGCAGGCGCGGTATTGACCGGCGTTGAACAAGATGGCCGCCCGCCCACCCTGCCCTCGCTCGCCCACTTCGGCCCTTCCGTTGCCCCCTTTTGAGGATGCATAAACGCCATCTGCCATCTGATATGGCCGTCCAGTCTCCCGTCAGCTCCGTGCCGATGCACCAGCAATTCTCGAGCCGAGCGCCGAGAGTAAGTCTCGATACAGTTGTACCAACGCTTGACCTCGATTGTCACGCTCCATATGACGAACGATGCTACCAAGGCGCCAGCCAACACGCTGGCTGCATAGACTGCATCGGCGAAATTGCACCGGCCGCTCGTTCACACTGGTTTCGAGATTCAAGCTCTGCACGATGAAAAAAGCACTTGCAACTTTTGCTAGCGTGCTTCGACCCAGCTGTTCGGCTACGACGGAGTTCACGGCGGCTCGCGTGGTTACAGGGTCAAGATCAACCAAGGTCGCAGTCTAGGTTGATCTTGCCGTCCCTAGATCTTCGGGACACACTCGAGACTCCGGCGTACGTCGGCCGCCCTATGACGAGTCTGCAGTGTGAGCTGCTGCACGTCGAAGGCGGCGTGTACCCGTGTCGCAAAGTGCAGAAGCGGTCACTAGCATATTATGCGTTGTATGCGAAACAGGACCAAGCTCGCTCGACGACGGAAATCGCCGTCCGGCTTGACCCGTGAGCACCAGGAAACTTCTCACTTGGCGGATAATGTCTAGACCCTTGACTCTTGAGATGCACCGTGCACGATGCAGGAAGAAACAAACACAAATACCCAAAAACAAGGAGTTTCGAATTTGCTGAGGCTTGGTTTCGGTCCATCTGGCTGCGTCTCACCGAAGGCCGACAGAGCCGCGAGAATATCAGATATCAGTGGATGTAGAATTTGATTTACACGTCTCTGTGCGATGCCCGCTTCGATTGTGCCATCCCGACGCTGTCCTTATACTCGATCAAAGTTCGTGCAGAGCGTATCGAGCGCCTCGAAGTATCTTGCAGACTCTTTACTCTGCGGCAAGATAGCATCACCGAGCAAGAGAGCCGCTTTGGTCTGCGACGAGAAGGCCCACATCACAAATGACGTTTTCCTCAAAAGGAAAAAAGTCGCTGGGCCCATGGGAAATAATGTGTCATTGGTACCAGGCAATGGCCGAAATCAATAATATTATAATTTCTTGAATTCTTAGGTTGACGCAGCACAATCCTGTGTGCCGCCAGAGAAGATAAGGGCAACTTCCGATGAAAAGAAAGGGAAAAAGGGGAAAGGAAAGAGTCGAGGAAAGGCCTGATTTATTTTGACCCGAATCGCACCGCAGGAAATTCGATGCTCTTATTTTCTTCGTCTCGCGTCGACGCTAGCTTGCTGCTCGTGTCTGTACGATCCACCGACAGCAAATTCTTCTTCCTCGCAATCGTCTCCACACGATCACGTTTTTCTTCTACCGTCACCTTTGAGGAGCTCTTCATCGCCGCAACTACCGATCCCTATCGTCGTACACAGAGCTCACGCCGTCGCTGGTCTCGACATATCGCCCTACTTCCACCACCACACATACAACCATGTTCGCGGCTCCTGCTTTCCGATCGGCCAGCTCATCGCTGGCCAAGCGTCCCATGCTGGCCTCCTCGGCGCTCAAGCTCAACAAGATGTCGGTGCGTGGTCTCGCTATGCCCGTCACCAACGCTCCCACCTCGGCTTACACCAAGGAGAAGGGTTCGGACGGCAAGTACACCGTTACCATGATTCCCGGTGACGGTATCGGTCCCGAGGTCTCGAACGCCGTCAAGGAGATCTACGATGCCGCCAACGTGCCCATCAAGTGGGAGGAGGTTTCGGTGGCTCCTTTCATCAAGGATGGCAAGCAGACCATCCCCGAGGAGTCGATTGTCTCGATCAAGAAGAACACCGTCGCTCTCAAGGGTCCTCTCGCTACGCCTATCGGTAAGGGTCACGTTTCGCTCAACTTGACGCTTCGACGAACCTTCCACCTCTTCGCCAACGTCCGACCATGCAAGTCGATCGAGGGCTTCAAGACCGCCTACGACAACGTCGACACTGTACTCATCCGTGAAAACACCGAGGGCGAGTACTCGGGTATCGAGCACGAGGTCGTTGACGGCGTTGTCCAGTCGATCAAGCTCATCACCTACGAGGCTTCGGAGCGTGTCGCCCGCTACGCTTTCCACCACGCCGAGCAGAACGGCCGCAACAAGGTGACTGCCGTCCACAAGGCTCCCATCATGCGCATGTCGGACGGCATGTTCCTGCACGCTTGCCGACAGGTGGCCAAGGAGTACCCGCACATTGCCTACGACGAGGACCTGCTCGACCGAGCCTGCCTCCGCATCGTTCAGGACCCCGCACCGTACGCCGACCGCGTCATGGTGATGCCCAACTTGTACGGTGATATTCTCTCGGACATGTGCGCCGGTCTCATCGGTGGTCTCGGCCTCACCCCCTCTGGTAACATTGGCAAGGACGCTTCGATCTTCGAGGCTGTACACGGCTCTGCTCCCGACATTGCTGGCCAGGACAAGGCCAACCCCACTGCGCTGCTGCTCTCCTCGATCATGATGTTGCGACACATGAGCCTCTTTGACAAGGCCGACCAGATCGAGAACGCCATCTTCAAGACCATCGCTGCTGGCGAGCGAACCGGTGATCTCGGTGGCAAGCTCGGAACCCGTGCTTTCACCGACAAGATCATCTCGCGCTTGTAAGGCAAAAGTCTGCATTGACTAGAAACCCCAAAAAGCGTCTAGGGAAGAGACATGGAGGAAGTCAAGCCAACTCACCAGGCCCGACTGTCGTGCCAAGGATCATACTCGTAAATACCGCTTCCTACTACCTTTCTGATACGACTTTATGCATCTTCCACTTGTAGAAATTGCCGCTTGTGTGATGCGTGAGACTCAATGAGTGTGCCGAGGCTCCAGCTTCAGAGGTAGATGCAAGAATGGATGCTTGCACACGTTTGCTGCCTTGGATTTCAAGCAACGAAGGTTATGTAGGATCTTGCTTTCCATCCCGACATCTGCGGCCACAGGAAGTTGAAAACACCGCATCCCGTCCGATCTGCGAAGTTAAGCAACTTACCGCCTAGTCAGTACTGCGGTGGGGGACCACGCGGGAATCCTAGGTGCTGCAGTTCCTCTTTTCTTTTTGCTTATTGCAGCAGCCTCCCCATTCCCAGGGTTTGCATCGAGCCAAATACATTTTGGTGGAAGTGATAGGAGATCTCGAAGAGAGTTGCGAAGGACGTAACGACGTTATGCGAAGGAGCGTGTTCGAGGGTGGTGCAGTAGCCGGGAAATAACAAATTCACCGGCTAATTCGGCGACAGAGAAAAAAGTTGGCCGCGGGGAAAGCATTCATCGTCGTGTCTTGTGACATTCTTCCCGAATGCACGGACGCTCATACCTCTTGATACGATCTAGCTCAGTGTCTTGGACGTCGGTTCTCTGAAGCTTTATTACTCCATGGACAGGACGGTCACGCTTGTTGCCAAGAATTGGCCTTATCGACAAGCAGCTTGAAGGGTTTCCTGTCGAGACCACGAGTCTCTTCGAGGAACTCGAATCGGTCTCGTCGGACAGATCGTTCCTTCTGCCCACCTGCATCATCAGTCCTATTTGACGGCTGGAACAAGTGGATCAGTAGCTAGAAACGTTGGAAACAGGAACGTGACTCGCCTCGCATCAAGCGTTGCGTCATCATGGGCCAAACTTCAAGCACCTTTATCGACCACGCTGCGGCGACCGTCGAGATCGCTGACCAAGGTACGCTCATCGGTCGAATCGCCCAGGACAATACCACCGGTCAGCTCAAGTCTCAACGTTTCGCCGGCATCCCCTACGCCCAACCACCTCTCGGACCACTCCGATGGAAGAGACCGCAACCTCTACCCACCACCTTTCGCTACGATTCCCACGACAAGCAGTACACTCACTTCGCCTCTCAAAGTCCACAACCGACCAACTACGCCCTCACGAACGGCATCACTTTTCCCGACGGACCCCTCTTCCCGCAGAGCGAAGATTGCCTCTACCTCAACATTTGGTGTCCCGTACGGCCTGATGGATCGAGATTCCCGCACAAGCTTCCGGTGCTGTTCTTCATTCACGGAGGATGGTTGCAGATCGGCAATGCACAAATGTCGTCGGAGAAGGATCCAAGTGATCTGCTACACACTGCTGGATTGGAAGCGATTATAGTGACCACGGCGTATCGGTTGAATGTGTTTGGATTCCTGGCACACGATGCATTACGCAAGGAAGATCCGGATGCTTTGACAGGGAATTACGGCTTCTGGGATCAAAGAGCTGCTCTCGAATGGGTACACACCAACATTCAGCACTTCGGTGGTGACCCGGACAACATCACCGTCAGCGGCCTTTCGGCGGGCGCACACAGTACGCATTCCCAGCTGATGCACGAGTTTGATCTTTCCGTCCGAAACCCTCAGTACAAACCGATCATCAGGAGGGTCTTTTTACAATCGAATGCGGCTATTTGGCCTTCCAAGCCGGTCGAAGAGGCTAGAGATCAGCTTGACGAGCTCGCAAGGCTCCTTAACGTTTCAACAGAGCTGGACGATGAGGAGAAAATCGCACGATTGCGAGAAGTCGATGCCTTGGACATGGTCCGAGTGTTGGCGAAGATGGACATGCACACCTTTCGGGCTACTCGAGATACGAGGCCAGAAGCATTTGTGAAGCCAGACTGGACCAAGGCGATGATGGATGGTCGACTAGCGAGATGGTGCCAGCAGCAGGGGGTTAGCTTTGTTATCGGAGAGTGCGATGATGAAGAGTGGGTCTATCGTTATATCAACACGCCTACAGACAAGGCTGGATTGGTCAGACAGGTCCACAACTACTACACACTGCCGTTGGTGGAGAAGATGCTGCCTTACTACGGTATCCAGGTCGATTCGCAAGCTGCAACAGATGGTCAAGGGTCCGCGAGGACTAGCAGAGGAAAAGCGTCGTCAGCGACAGCGGGGGACCGTTCACTGTACGACACGCTCGGAGTCAAGCCATCAGCCACGACCGCCGAGATCAGAGCTGCCTACCTCGCCCAAGTCCGTCAATATCATCCAGATAAGCTGCAACAGCAAGCTAGTCAATCATCTACCCAAATTGATCCTTCCAAGATCGCGGATTCACCCACCTCCGACAACTTGATCCGTCAACTCAACCACGCATACAAAACACTCAGCGACGACCAGCAGCGTTCACAATACGATGACTCACTCTCAGCAGCACGGACTTCCTCCTCCTCCACAGCATCGCATCCACGTATCTCCGCCACCGTCGACTTCGAATCATTCCAGCTCTCCCACGAGGCAGACCTGATCTTCAGCTACCCGTGTCGATGCGGTTCCTCGTACAACATCTCCGAAGATCAGATCCACAACCGAATCGACATCATCGGCTGCGATGGATGCTCGGAGAATATTCGCATTCGATACGACGAAGATCCTCCGCAAAAGGACGCCGATGAGATCGGTTCCATCTTCGGTCGGGTCTGCAGCGATTCTCAGGTGTACATCGCCGAACGCATGTTCATCACCGACCTGATCCAAGCAGGTTTCCCACCGGAGAGGGTTCTGCGGTATCGGATCAACTATCGTGTCAAGGCGATCGATGCGGTTTTGCCGGGATATGGTGGGGTGAGTCATTCGTTCGATGATTTCGTTTGGTGGTTTGCGTGTTTAAGGGAGGGGGAGGAGAGAGAGAGCGTGAAGCGGTGGTTGAGACCGTGGATGATGTTTGTGAGGGGTGAGGAGGGGGCGAGTGGAGAGTGGTATGCGGGGAGGCAGCCGGATGGGAGGTTGATCAGGGTGCTGGAGAAGGACGGTAGTGTGAGGGTGAGAAGGGACGAGAGGTGGGAGGAGAAGGAGGAATTGATCGAGGCGATGATGCGCGTGAGGAGGGAGCTGGTGGACGAGTGGAGATGAGGCTCATTTTCACTCTTTTGATAGCATGGAGCATCTCCAATAGACATCAAACCTTCAAGTCTTGGTCACCCTGAAATCTATTGCAATCAACAACGCTACAACAGCCATGACAGCTGCGAATGACAGGGAACTCGGCTGATAGTGAAGCAGCGATCGACTTACCTTGAATTACGTTGTTCGTTGACCATCTCATGAACGCCCGTCCTTTCAACTGGTGGTCAGCAGCTCTTCTATCGGGCATCTATTTCGCTTACCTTTGTCTAGCATCACCCCTCTGAGACCAATGTCTTTTTTCATGTGCGCTGTGTCCCGGAAACTTCTTCATATATCATCTCGTCTTTGATGTTCCCGCAGCTTGTCGATCCTTTGCTCGACTCGCACCGGTTTTATTTGACGACATTGTTTGCTAGGACGTTCTCAATTCGAAAAGACTTGCAGAAGCATTTTGCGGTCTCCTTCTTGCCATCTTGCCATACACACACGAGAGAAAACGCATCTTGGTCTTGAAATACATTGACTCCCCGACCGTTGGAACTCTTGAAGCTTGTTGAGGGATACATTTTGATTTTTGGTGTTGACGAGGCACAGCGAGGTGTTTCTTTTCTTGAGAGACAAAAGGGAAAGCGCGCATTGAGGTTTTTTGAGGAAGCACAGGATCGATGGGCATGACAAAGGATACTTGAGGACGTTGGAACAAGAAGAAAAGGCGAGGCAACAGACGCTCGTCACGCAAGCCTGACAACGACACGTGCGTCGTCAAGTGCCGATGACACGCTCAGTATCGGATGCGGTCCACCTCGTCACGCGGAGGACTGTCGAGGTGGCTGCCGAGTCTGCTGCGAGGAGGGGGAACTCGCTCCTCTCTGTCGGCATCGTACCTGTCGCCGCCACGTCTCGGGCTGGGCGAGCGCGAGTACCTAGAGCCACCGCCTCTCCTCGGGCTAGGGGACCTTCTAGGTCGGCGAGGCGGCGAAGGCCTTCTTCTCCAGTCGTCGCGCGAGTCTGCATTGCTGCGCCTGTACGAGTCACCTCCGCGGTAGGACGAGGGACCGGCGCGGTCGTAAGCACGACCGTTGTACCTCTCGCCTCGACCACCACCGCCACCACTCGGGCCGCGGCCAGCAGGTGCACGGTAGCGGTCGTCCGGTCGAACTTCACCCTTGTAAATACCAGGCGTGGGGTCGTGTGGCTTGTGGGTAGTGGAAAAGTCGACACGAATACGTCGGCCATGCAGATCCTTGCCGTTCAAAGCTTCGATAGCAGCCGAGGCACCGTCAACGTCGCGCATGGTGACAAAGCCGAAACCACGCGAACGACCGGAGCGGGCATCGTAGACGACGACGACCTTGTCGACGGGAGCGATGGCGTCGAATTCGTACTCGAGGTCCTTCTCGGTGGTGCGGATGGAAAGACCGAAGCAGCCGAGGACGGTGGTGGGCTCGACCTGCTGAGGAGCACCACGAGGTTTGGGTGGAGGAGTGCGGCGGCGGTCGGAACGCGGAGGTGGAGGGGAGCGGGAGCGGGAGCGGGCACGGTCGCGTCGGTCGTCTCGGTCATAGCGGCGGGCGGCGGGGGATCGCGATCGATCGGCACGTCGACGAGGAGGTGGCGAGCGGCTGCGACTCATGCTGCGGATGGGAGAGCGATCACGACGTCCTGGAACGGGTGTAGCTGAGCGAGAGCGCGAGTAGGATCGTCCGCGAGGAGGAGGCGACTCGGGCCTGCGGTCCTGATCGATATCCTGGTAGTCCGGGACGGTACGACGATCCATGACAACATCGTCACCGGTTGTGTGGGTATCCGAGGCGTCCATGGTCGTAGAACAGGCAGGTATGAGATGGATCGTACGACAGTGGTATAGATGGGGAAGGAAGGACAAAAGAAGATGGGATCAATGTACGTCAGTGTCGGACTCGGGAGGGACGAAACAGGGTCCACACAGTCAAGCGGCACAGATCAAGAATCCTCTCTGCCTGTTCTGTCTACGCTGTGTTTTGGGCTCGTCAGAAACGTACCATGGTTTCCAGAAAGTGCGTGTGTGAGATTTCCTGAGGATGTGTTGGGATGCTGGCCTGGGTATGTGATTGGATACGACGTGCAGGATGCTGCAGACGCGAAACTTTGGTGAGATGAGGTCGCACAAAACGCCAGACGCCAAGTCCCACGACACTTTTTGGTGGCTGCACGGACTCTTCTTCCATCCAGCTCTCAATGTCCCGTGGAGTTTGTTGGTGTCGAAATGTGAGATCGCTGCTCTGAGACTTTCCCCTCATCAATCTGCAAAATCGAGGAAATTCTCGGAACGCTTGCCCGATTCATCTATTTTCAAGCTTTAAATGTTAGGCTTGTTTATCACGCTTGTACCCACCTCATCATGTGATGTATATAGCTCGGCCGATGTTACTGGCGGGCAAAATTTTGTCGAGACCCATGAGCAACTGCAATTTTGTTTTCAAGGCAGAGCAACGTAGGCAACTTGCCAAGTTGAACCCGACGAGGGGCCTAGTCCCAGACAGGCACAATTTCAAGGTGCAAGTGTGAGTTGAGTGGATTTGAGATTCGACTTGGGGGCTTGAGAAGGTGATGCGAGTGCCTGCCAGTCCTGGGAAGTTGAGAGTGAGTGTCCAGATTCCAAGCACCGAACGTAGCGAGTGCATCGAAATCGGTCTCGTCGCTATCACCGTCTCTGCTACCGTCACCATCGTCACCCCTCAAGACATACATCAAAATGGTAAGTAGTGCCACACAACGCACGAACGGGCGACACACCAGCACACACCTGCAGACACGTCGACGACAGCAGCATCCGCTTCACGATGGCAATCATCTTCGGTGCACATACACACATACGCAGCATCGCCAAAGACCAACAGCTTCAGTCACCCAACCATTGATCGGCAGCGACGCTCAAGCAGCATAGGAGCATCGTCCCACAGTCAGCGCACCACACCATCATGATGCCCTCCGACATTGCATCCGTCATTTGCAATGCAGAAAGGGTGTGCCATCGCGGATTTAGCAGCACCTACAGTGGAAGGACTCGGGGATCATGACACGGACATTTGGTACACACAGGATGGGACGAGAATGAGGTGTCGTTGCGATACAAGATGAGTGACACCATTGCTCGGGCTTTGCCGTCATCGATTCATTCGCGGAGGATTACGGACGGATGGCGGATCGTGGAATAAAGTCCTTCGTCGCAAAGGACAAACACCGGAGTAGTGGCCACACACAGCACATCTTCGAACATGCAGCGGTACCAGCATCCGCCTGCTATTGCCGACACCAAACATTCATTCCGGCATTGCACTCGCACCAAAGCCTCTCACACTGGCATCAGAGACAACTCCCCGGAGCCTCTCAACCACTCCAGCTATCTTCGTCGAGATGCTGTCGTCGCCCGTTCATGCCCCAGCAATGCCTCCATGATCTGTCTTGCTCATCATCGCCTATTCGATTGTCTATCGTCGTATTGTCTTCACGCCTACAGGGTATTGATATCGCCAAGAAGCACGTCAAGAACGGTCAGCGTACCGCTCCCAAGAGCCAGGACCCTTACCTGCTGCTCCTGGTCAAGGTAAGTTTCAACACACAGCCAAGCACAGGCCTACGAGACAAAGAGAGATATCGACGCTTGCGATAGTGTCGAATCAGCTAGCGGAGAACAGACAGGCGTCAAAGGACGCAATGGCGAACGCCGGATTTGATTGAAACGGAGGATCATAATGCTCGCCAACGCATTCGGAACCCGAAGGTTCTAGAGAGCAGACAACCAGCGACAGTTGGCCGAGTGGGAAAGCAGCAGCCTTGGGTTTTGGAAAGCGTACACTGCAGCGGGCGTCGGGAAACTCTCTTTGTCATGGACACTTGATCACAACGACCACGTACTGACCTTGTCATCCTTCCGCATGCGCCTTTTCCACCTCGACCGTTCAATCGCACCACAGCTCTACCGCTTCCTCGCTCGCCGCACCGACAGCCGATTCAACAAGGCCGTTCTCCGCCGACTCTACATGTCCAAGATCAACCAGCCTCCCGTCTCCGTGTCGCGCGTCATCTACCTGACCAAGTCGCAGGGCGGTGTTGCCGCTTCGGCCTCCGAGACCCCCAAGACTGTCGTCGTTGTTGGCACCATCACCGACGACAACCGAGTCCTCGAGCTTCCCAAGCTCTCGGTCGCCGCTCTTCGATTCACCAACACCGCACGTGCCCGCATCGAGGCTGCCGGTGGTGAGTGCCTCACCCTCGACCAGCTCGCCACCCGTGCCCCCACCGGTAGCAACACCGTCCTCATCCGTGGCCAGAAGAACGCCCGCGAGGCTGTCAAGCACTTCGGTTTCGGTCCTCACAAGAACAAGAAGCCCTACATCCGGGCCAAGGGCAGGAAGTTCGAGAAGGCTCGTGGTCGTCGTGCTTCGCGTGGTTTCAAGGTGTAAATAGCCTTTCAAGACCATCCGAGATACAAGTCACCCTTTCGCTCCCGCTTCTTCGATTATCGACACTTGTTTGTCGGTTCATGCACATCATACACACACACCCAAAAAACGAATTCATGCTCGAGACACGGGAAGCCGCCACCGTCTTTGGTCCCATACTCTCGACGTGCATTCGATAGCACCCTTATTCATGTTCACTCATACACACACACTCACGCACACACACCTGCTACGCATCAATGCAGAATTGTACTTTGTTCGATCATCCTTCCGTGTGTGCCCATTCTGAGTCTGACTGTGCGTGAAACACCGTCACGACCATTTTTACACATTCGTCTCAGGATATCCAAGGTGGAAAAAGGTGGAAAGGGTTGCAATGCGACATGATACAAATACAAAAGTAGAGTAGTTGGAAGGAAAATTGTGTAACAGCAAAGGCATTCATGCGCCGATGTACTCTTTTCGCAGCTGCTTCTTCTTAGCCTGCAAGATAATCTTCTCGATAGCGGTACGATCTGGCACCGTTGGAGGTTGCAAGTCTTCGGCGGTGAAGATCGAGTAGGCCATGCTGGGGGTCGCTGCGGGTTGTGACTGTTGCGGAGATTGATCGGCGGTTGTGACTGGTTGACCTTGTTCGTTCTTTCGTCTTTTTGCGTCGGAGTGAGCGTCGTCGTCGGTGGGCGAGCGCTTGTTGGAGGTCTCCGTGTCCGCCGCCTGCGACGATTCGGGTTGGACGTAGGCGGTGGAGAACGATGCTTCGACGGCTTGCATGGTCTCCTTCCAAGGTTTGGGAGATGGTCTTGGGATCTGGGGTACTTCGATCCCTCCAATCGATTGATCATCGTCATCACTGATGTCCATCTCTTCATCTTCTTGGTTTCTTCTTCGAATGTCGTTCCTGAGTCCAGTCACGACTTGTAGGAACCTCTCGTTCCACTCCGCCTCCTCCGCCTTGCCTTCTTCATCCAACAAGACACCGTCATCTTCGTCTTCATCACCATAGTAACTAGGTGGTAAGTTTCGAAACCTTTCGAACCTCTCCTCCCTCCTCCTCCCCTCCTCATCCTCCTCCCTGCTAGTGAACAACTCCTTGACTCCCGGCAAATCCTTCGCCCTACCAAAGTACTTGTACCCACCTCTCCCCACCGCTGCCCCCGCATCTCCACCCAGCATACTCGGCACCGAGCGTTTGTAATTCGCCCCACCCAACGACAGAATCTGGTTCTCCCAGTGGTGCTTCTCGCGCAGGAGCTTGTTGATCTCATCGTTGAGATCCCTCACCTCGTAATCGGTGAGACCGAAATCTTGGATCTTGGATACTTTGCGGGAGATTTCGCGGATGACGTCGGAACGCCACTTTTCGCATTCTTTGAGCGAGGTGACGGAGGAGGCGAGACGAGGACGAGGCTGGGGTTTGGTGGAGAGACCGAGGGAGCTGGCTTGGGCTTCGCGGAAGCGGTACAGCATGGACTGCGCTTTTTCTTGATTTCGCGCCATGGTGAAGGTGGGACTGTGCCGCCAGTAGGGACTGGTGCGGCGGATGGGAAGGGTTGGAAGTGAGGTGGTCGGAAGGTTGAAAGCTGGACGAGGTGAGAAGGAGGGCAATGGTGCGGTTGCTGTGGAGATTTCTCAAAACTCCAACAGAATTCCGTTTTCCGAATCTTGCTCCTCGCGTCGCCTCACTTGACGTAGTGTTTCCTCGTCCTCGTCCTCGTCGTCGGCCTCTACTTGACGCCTCTTTCTGACATCCACCTCTCTCAATCTCCTCCTCTTACTCATCGAGTCGTCAGCAACCTCCTCCGTTTCACGCATTCGCTTCATGAACCTCTCAATACGCTGAGTAGCCCAACCTGTATAAAAAGCAACGCTCGAAAAAGGTCAATGTCTCAATCCAGTCTTTCTCAAATACAGGCGCATGCCAATCCTTTAGTGCGGAGGCGATCCAGTTCGCCGAAGAACCGAGTCGCTGCATATCGAATGATTCATGGTATCGTTGAGTGTGTTCGCGTGTGCAGCTACAATAGTACAAAAGGTCTTTTCCTCGTCCGTTGTTTGTCGAGGTAGTACAGGTATGATTCTCAAAAGTGGGTGCAAACGAAATCGAAGCGCAGGGGATCAACGCCCAAACCCTGTTGGAGCAAGCGACTTACGTGTGGGTTTCAACAGCTGACTTCTCTTCGCCATCTGGACATCGTGTTCAAAGGCGACCACGATCGCCTGGTCCGAGCCGTAGGCATGCTCGTCCGAGATGACCTCGCCACCATATCGTTTGAGCACGTACGAGCCCAGGTTGCCCTTCTTGACATCCTTGAAGGACCAGCTGACGACATATGCTCCGGTACTGGTGACGATTGACGTCTCCTGGTCGGAACCCGTGTTGAAGCGCGCCGGGGAGAAGGAGATGGCCGAGCCCATAAAGGCGACGTGCGATGGTTTGAGCGTGAGACGCTTTGGCTGTGGCTTGGCATCGGCGGGGAAGGAACGATCAAATCCGAGCTGACCTTGGTAGCGACCCGAGCCGATGAGCGTATCGATGAGAAGAAGGTAGGTCTTGCAGGTAGCGATGATGTAACGACCATCTGCGGAGACATCGATGCCCAGGATCGGATCTCCGAGCGCTGGCAGCGCCGTCTTTGCGTTCTTGCCGATCGAGTCAAAGAGACGAATGTCACCCTTGTTGGAAGCGACGGCCAGACGGCCCTTGCTGTCGGTGGCTGCCACCGAGAAGTCGTTCTTGGACGCGTACTGCTTGAACTCCGAGTCGACCAATTTGTTGCCAGAGAGACGCGGGTCGATACGGTAGATGCCATTGTGACTGTGTCCGATCATGGTCTTTTCGGCCGTCATCTGAGCGTACTTGTTGTTGGCGACGACATTGTTGATCTGGACGTCGTCGTGCACCTTCCATTCGTCGACGATCTTGCCGTATTCAAGGTCCATGTTGAAGATGGCGTTCTTGTTGGATGGATCCATCAACACCATCTGCGCGTCCTGGTTGTGAAGCATCATCTTGAGCGGCCTGAAGCCCTTGCCGCTGGGTGTGCCGACGTTGTTGATAGTGGTGTCGTGCTCCAATTTGTTGTCGTCGGTGTGACGGAAGACACCGATCTTGTCACCTCGGGCGACAAAGGAGCGGTCAAACTTGTAGCCGACAGCGAGCAACGAGTTGACGTCCTGTTGACCCGCCAAGAGCGAAGTCGACTCTTGAGGCCAAGACGATTCTTCTGAGCGTGCTCGGCCAGTCTGGAGTGCAGCTGCCACTTCCTCTTCGTCGTCATCCTCTTCCTCCTCTTCCCTTGCCGTGCGCACCGACTCGTTGCCATCCTCGCTCTCGCTAATGTCATCGACGTCCATTGGCTCACCTGCTTCGAAAGCGGTCTCTGCGTAAGCGCGGTCGTCGCTCTTTGCCTTTGCCCATGGCTCCTCGTTCTGTGTTTCGTACATGACCTGTGAGAAGCCCTTCTGAAAGTGCGAGTAGGCTTCCTGATCCTCGAATCTGAGCAGCCACGAGAAGCACTGGCGGTCGTCGGTAAAGTAGTTCCACACTGCCGAGGTCTGTTCGGGAGAGAAGTTCATGTTCATGTCGCTCTCCACCTTTTGCGCTAGCCAGATTTTGTCGGCACCTTTGATGGACAGCCAGAAGAGGTAGCGACCAGCCTCGAGAACACGGACGTCGACTTTGCGTTCCTGGACGAGGAAGTACTGCGATTTGAGGTCGTAAAGGTAGAGATCGGCGCGGGCTGAGAAAACAGTGCTGTTCTCATCGATCTGCGGTCCTGCAGTATCGGCGACTGGTGCAATGGTTGCAAGTACGGCAGGAGCCGGCTTGACGTCCTGTTCAGACTTGGCGGCGGTGGTTGTCGCTGTGGAAGCAGATGTGGATGCTGCTGAGCCGATACCCGCATCTTCGAGCTTTCTGTCGAGCTGCTTCTTGTTTTCGCGCTTGAGCTGCTGATCGGCCTCGTCCTTGTATCTGAGCTGATCCAGATCCTCCTCGGTGGCGCGTTCGTGGCTGGTGCGGGACGCGTGCTCGTAGACGCATTGCAGGAATGTGATTTCGAAGATGGTAATGGTGACCTCGTTGACCTGCTTGTTGTCGATGACGAATTCGAGCAAGTCCTGGTCGTCGCCATCAAGGTCCCTCCAGACGATGGTGCGCTCTTTGCCGCGAGTGGAGAGGCGAAAGTCGAGCGCCTGATCGATGAGGTAGGCGCGTTCGTCCTCGAGGTCGTCGTCATCGGCGAGCTCGGGCTGCGAGTCTTGGTATGCTTTGGTGACTACGAGCTGGTAGTGGTACTCTGCGGTTGTTCTGCGGATGGCAAGGACGGCGTCTTCGTAAATGCATTCGCGTGAGCCTTGTGGGCCATTTGGACGAACGAGGTAGAGGGAGCCTGCGGGAACCTGGATCAACTCTTGATTGTTGGCATCACCCCAGATCTTGCCAAAGAGGCTCTTGAGCATAAACATGCTGGCAAGACCAATAGCAGCAGCGGCTGGAAGCGAAAGATGTGGGGGAGCGAGGAATAGGAGATGGTGGTGGAAAGGCGGAAAGGTTGGCGCTGCGAGTTGCCCATGTGCAAGTCGCCTCTAACTCGCGGTGAGCTTGGACCCTCTTCGTGCTTGTCAGTTGGCGCCGCACTTCTTTTTTGGATGAACGACACTTTTTTGTGGAGCGTGAGATATGGAAAGAGGAGGCACTCAATCAGTGTCTTTGTGTTGGTCCTGTGGTTGTCTCCCATGAAAAATGACGTGCAGCACCCTCCATCACAACGACTCAGCATTTCGCCACTCTACGTGCCAGGATGTAACATGTCACAACGCCGCAAACCGCGCCTGCAACGAGAAGCGCACGTCGAGCATCACGTGGAATTTCGAGGCTCGGATTCAGCTAAAGAGCAATATCAATCTAACATGCTCGCTCTGTGCCATTCGAGGTGAGAGACAACGAGAAGAAAGGAGAGAGAAAAAACTTGTGTGCCGTTACAGTATCGCGCGCCGCGACACTCTCAAGAAGACATTCTCACTCTCTCACGACGCAGGCTCAGTCTGGAACTCTGGAGACGCAGCCGACCCAAATCCTGCACATTGCTCGACATCAGATACATCTTTGTCGACCTCCTTCTTCCTCCCTCCTACTCATGTCATCCAAAATGGCGAGCTTCCAACTCCCACAGTTGCAACCGGACAACGATCTCTGGGGTCCCGCTTCGGGCTCCAACGCCCTCCCCTCCGAGCTCAAGGACATCCCCTTTGCTCCTTACGCAAAGAACGACAAGGTAGGCCGCATTGCCGACTGGAACAACGCTTCGGGTGCATCCAACGACGCTGCCAACGCCCGTGGTGGACGACAGGGACGTGCACGCGATGTTCAGCAGAACTTTGGTACCTCGGCCGCTTCCTCCGCCTTTGCTTACTTCCACGGTGATGACGAAGCTTCCTTCTCCGTTGTCGACAACACCCGCACTGCTGCTTCTCGTCGCGGCGGACTGGGTCAGATGGGTCAGCGTGGTGGACGTGGTGGTCGCGGTGGCGCTGGTGCTGCTGGTGGACGTGGTGCTGCCAAGTTTGGCGCTGGTGCGGGACGTGGTGGAGCTCGTGGCGGTCGGGGTGGTGCTCGCGGTGGTCGCGGCGGTGGACGATTCGGTTGGAAGGAGTGGGACAAACCCCAGCGTATCCGCGAAGCTTCCGTCACCGTTGGTCAGGACTGGGACCAGGTGGAGGAGATCGACTTCGTTCGCCTCGGTAAACTTCATCTCGCCGTCGAGGAGCCCGAGGACATCTCCTCCTACGGCACGCTCTTTGAGTACGACCGATCCTACGACCGTGTCACCGTCAAGACCGCTCAGGCTCTTTCTTCCATCGACCGCATCCGCTACAACCCCACCACCTCCGAGGACCCCGTCATCCAGGACATCGCCGCCAAGCAGGATGCTCAGATCTTCATGACCGACTCCATCCTCGCTCTGCTCATGTGCGCCACTCGTTCCGTCTACTCGTGGGACATCATCATCACAAAGACCGCCGATGGCAAAGTCTTCTTCGACAAACGTGACGGCGGACCGTTCGACTATCTCACCGTCAACGAGAACGCCCTCGACCCACCCAGCGAGGCTCCCGAAGGCAAGGAGAACGAAGCGGCCTCCAAAGCCAACGCGCTCAACACCCCCTCCGCGCTCAGTCTCGAAGCCACCTACGTCAACCAGAACTTTGGTTTCCAGATCGTCAACGAGAAGAACACGTACAAGCTCGAGAACGAGAACCCCTTCTATTCTTCCGACGAGACCGATCCGCTGGCGTCGTGTGCATACCGATACCGAAAGTTCAATCTCTCTTCGGAGGAAGCCGACCCTGTCGAGCTCATTGTTCGTACCGAAGTCGACGCCTACACCGTAGGTGCATCCAAGGAGAAGCAGCTCATCACCATCAAGTCGCTCAACGAGTTCGATGCCCGCGCCCAAGGTGCCGGTGGTGCCCTCGACTGGCGACTCAAACTCGACTCTCAACGAGGTGCCGTCGTCGCCACCGAGATGAAGAACAACTCGTTCAAGCTCGCCCGCTTCGCCGTCCAATCCCTGCTCGCCGGTGCCGACAGCATGAAGTTGGGCTACATCTCGCGTGCCAACCCCAAAGACGCCTCCCGCCACATGATCCTCGGTACCTCCTGGTTGAAGCCCAGAGAACTCGCAGGTCAGATGGCCATCAACCTCGGAAACGGTTGGGGCATCGTCCGAACCATCGCCGATCTCGCTAGAAAGGCCGAACAGGGCAAGTACGTCTTGTTGAAGGATCCCAACAAGCAGACCATCAGGATGTACAAGGTCCCCGCCAACTTTGGCGAGGAAATCGACGACATTGCCGAGGAAGACGAGGACGACCAGCTCGACGCTTAACCGGCTGCCTTCTCTCACATGTAATTATGTCTCGCTCTGTTATGAAAACATCACGTTGGATCATCGTGCTTCCCAGATTTGAATTGTGACCGTGGCGATACAAGCTTGACAATGACAATGTGTGAGGATCGTGTGTGCTTACATGGTGTGATTGCGTTTGTCAAGGATCAATGCAAAATAATCGAGTGTTTGGCAATCCCATTACCGAACAGAAAGGACAATGCAAGGAGAGCGTCGCGAACATTGCCGAACTACATCTGTTGCGCTGCTGCAGCCTGATGCGAGGCAATGGACTGCTGATGTTCCTGAGAAAGATGCGCGAGCTGATGTTGGTGCTGATGACGCTCGACCTGATGCTGGTGCCCATGTTCTTGCGGTAGATGCTGGTTGTGTTGCTGAGGCTGGCGTGCATGCTCCAGCTCGGACTGATGCAGATTCTGTTGCAACGCCGCGTCGACGTGCGAAATCTGAGGCTCGCCGCCCTCGGATGCTTCTCCTTGCATCCCACGTCTGCTCTGCAGCTGAACGACTTGTTCGTGTTCATCTGCATCCTCCAATTCGTCCTCTGCGTACGTTTGATCGCCGTAATCGCCGTCGTGGCGATACTGACCATCGCCCGTCTGCTGATAGTAATCTGCAAAGTCCTGCGGATGTCCGTCAAAATACTCTGCCTGCTGTGGATCTTCCATCATCTCGTCCTCTTCCGGATCGATGCGGAGGAATGGATGCTGCAGCAGCTCGGCAGCTGTCTTGCGTCGAGTACAATCGACGTGCAGGCACGACTTGACCATGTCGAGTGCATCTGCTACATCGCGCGAGTACTGCTCTGGATCGTGATGCGCGCCCGGATTTCTGAGTTCCGGGTTGAGTCGGTTGATGAAATCGGTGAGCGAGCCCGAGTTGCCGACGCTGGGGATGGTGCAATGGAAGGTGCGGTTGTGCAGCATGGCGCACGTCTCCATCCGTGACTTGCCGAAAATGACGGCAATCTCGAGCAGAGCTTCGACGTCGTCATTCGAGTTGAAGACGGGGAAGCGTCGGATCAGGAGTGTGAGCAGGATCACACCGGCGGACCAAATGTCGATGGCGACCGTCTGATCCTGACATTTGAAGAGTACCTCTGGCGCTCGGAAGCCCCTGGTTCCCGCACGATTGGCTCGAACGCCTTGACGTCCGTCGTAAACAATGTATCCGACGCGTTCGGGAGGTGGATCCATGACGCCGGACTTGGAAGAAGAAGTGACCAGAGCATCTGTGTTTGCGACAGCTGCAGCCGATGCCGAGTTCGCAGCCGTCGCGCTGCTTTCTGAGGGCGGCGGTATGCCCGACAGAGGCTTGCCCGGCTCGAACCAGATGGAATCAACAGCGCGATTGATCTCCTTGGTGCCGTGCGGATGCTGTGGTGTTGGGCACGTGTGGTGACACTTGCCTCGCCACTCTGTGGCCTCGAAGCGCTCGGCCAAGCCAAAATCACACAAAGTGCCATGACCCGTGGTGGGATCGTATAGGAAATTGGCGGGCTTGATGTCGCGATGCATGATGCCCGCCTCGTGAACGCTTTGCAAGGCCGAAAAGAGGCAACGGAAGTAGTACTTGAAATCGCCGAGCGGCATCTCCTTGTAGTAGTCTCGAAAGTCGCGGTGACGGCTGTAGGGCATGACGGCGACGATTTGGTCCTCGGAGCGAAAGGCGGTGATGAGGTAGGAGACGTATTCTGCAGGACGCAGATCTTCCATGATGGAGAGCTCGTTGAAGATGCGCTGAGGGCTCGAGGTGACGTAGATCTTCTTGAGCGCTACATGACAGACGCCCTTGCGCAAAGGATCGAGTGGGCCACGCTGAATCCAATCGTCATTGTCAAAGACGAGATGCTGCAGGTCGATGGCCTTGTAGACGGACGAAAAGGTACCTTCGCCAAGCCGATCGACGATGCGGTAGTAGTCACTGAGCCCATCGATGGAGGTTTCGAGATCTTGAATCTCTTCTTGGAGCTTGACCAGCTCGGCATGCCTCGCATCGTCGCTAGAGGTGTTGAGCGGCGGATATGTGGTGTCTTCTGTAGCGTCATCTGCGTCATCTGAGGTTTCGGCAACTTCATCTGCTGTTGCATCATCGGGCTCGTCGTGCAGATCGGCAGTAGGCTGCCTGGAAGGCTCTTGCGGCTCGGTATGCTTGTGGCCGTGATGCAACGCTGTCGAGTCGATGTATGCATTGTGTGGACGTGGTTGAAGGGGTGCATGTTGGGGCTGGAGGACAGCACGCATCATGTCTGCGCTGGTGGTGGCTGGTGGGGTCTGTTCGATGCTTTCTCTTGGTGGTTCGTGGGTGGATAATGGTTCTGAGTTTGGCCGAATGCTTGCTGGTGGAGATTGAGATGGATGCTGCGAAGGAAGTAATGAAGTTGGTGCTTGGTCTGCCGAGGGAGGGAGCGCCGCAGTTTGTGCCGAGGCTGCAAGAGCGTCTGGCTGCACCTGCTGCTGTTGTGCAGGCGCTGTGAAGTCAGGGACACTGTGGTGAGAGTCTGTCATGACGAAGAAATGACTCGTTGGGCTTGGGCAGCGACACGAGAGCGCTGTCGTGCGCTGATTTGCCGGCTCCTGCTGAAATGCTTGATGAGCGTTCGACCAGGTATATGCGCTGTGCAGCAGTGAGTGGCTGTATGCTGTGGCTGAGCCTACTTGCGCTGGCAAGGCTGCAGCATCACTGTTTCGTGGCGCTGTGACCTGTGACTGCGGCGACTCAGGACCCCTAGTCCTTCGATCCGTGATCGTCGGGGGACAGGCGAAGGATGACTGACTTGTGACGTCCCTCAATGGCGTGGCGTCGAAGAAAGCTGGCCGCAATAATCGTAGGTAGCCAAGTCGGTCGTGGGTTGCTGTGCCAAGATGGAGTTCCGTGTCTAGACCAAACAGTGGACCTTTGCAATCGGGTATGGCTGGTGCCTCGAAGCGTGTGATTGATCGTCGTTCTGTCAGCGTTGATACGAGAATGTGATGAGAATGGGTGTTGTTGCGGCTGCTGTCCGAGAAGCCTTGTTTCGCGTACATCACACACCAAAGCACGAGGGTCCACATATCGGGAGCCATATTGACGGCTTTGATTGAGACATGGAGACGCGCTCTTGACGCCCAAACATGGTCTCTATCAAAATTCGAAATTCTAGCCTGACATGGAAAGACCAACACTCATCACGCCGCGTCTCGAAAGTTGAGGAAGAAGAGCAACACGACGCAGAATTCTTCGCGGCGCAAGCCGAAACCTCGTGGAATATATTGCATTCCTCCACTTTGATCCCAAAGCTGCGTCCACCTCATCCACCATTCGCAACCTGATCAACCCTCCTGAGTCCACTCAAATCAAGGCTCATCATCGGAACGGCTCCGATCAGCAGCCATGGCCGGGCGGCCTCCATCTCCGGGAGACGACGTGAGTTGAACGCCAGCAAAAGTACAGCGCGCACTGATCGTCTAACGCCTTGACCCCACTGACGTCCTCATGCTCGTGTCTGGCTTTCGCATTCCTAGGCTACACCCTTTCTGTTGAGAGTCTACGTCAAACCAGCTCCCTTCAGACCTCTAGAGCACTTTCATCCGGATGCACGCCCTCTTCGAGATGAGTTCAAGCTATACGTTTGGTAAGCTGTTCCGTCGCTCGCTAAGCTGGCGCATGTCACTCGTCGCTGACCAGCTACTATTACCCCTCTCTTGTCCGTCTACATCTCGCAGGAAGACCATCACGCTGAGAGAGGTGACACACATGCTCTACGATGCAGATCCTGCCGTCTCTTCGCCCCTCTCGTTACATGCCTTCAGACACGTCTTCTGGAACGACCGGCTGCACGAATTCGATTCCAGGCCCGTCGGCGTCGGGATTACCCGCGTGCCTTTAGCTAGCATAACGACCCTTCTGTCGGAACTGGACTCCGAGCAGGGCAGCATGGACGTGGATCAGGCTGATGGACGCCATCAGGTCGAGAATGAAACGATGGCAAAGCAACTCGGCTGGGATCTATTGCAAGACGAAATCGACGAAGACGCAGCCGGCATTGTGCTCTCTGACCTTGGTCTCGCTGATGGAGACCTGCTCGATTGCGTTATCAAGCCAGATCCCAGCTTGGCCATGGCACCCAAGCAGCCAAGAGCAACGGGACGGGATAGAGCAGCCGACCATTTCGCTCCCCCGCGGCGCTGATCACCCAAGGTTGAACCTTGACCACGAGCCAACATCTCTTGTACTTTTATCAACATCATCCAGACTGATTTCGCACAACCGCAATATATACCCCTTTTTCCACATCGATCACGACAACGCTCAGGTTTCTCGGGAGGAAGATGACTTCAGCATGCACACAAGCAATCGGAGAATGATGATAGAGTTGGGTGGCCGATGAACAGCCTAATTTTGGATTGGAAAGGGGTGTCAAAGCGAACTCGACGAGAACTATACAACGACAGCAAGGAAAAGCGAGGCAAGCAAGAATCGCAGATTGTCAGCTTATGGTTCATTGAAGACAATATCACAGAGCCGGGCTGAACTTCCTCCGCATCCTGCAGTTCCACTTCCAGTTCTGAACCACCATGCTCTGGCTCGATGTCAGACGTTTATAATGATTCCGGATAGGGTGTTTTCTTCTCTGTACCCGTCCGCAAATGGAAGGGCACCATCCGTTGAGGGAGTCCTGTGATTCATCATTGAATGAGCAAAGAGCAAAGCCACCGGTTCACCCACTAACCACCTTACGTCGTCCACCGTATCTGTTCCGCCATGATGCATGCAGTCGACCCATTCCGTTCCCCTCCTACACAGTCAAAACGCTCTGCAGCTCGTGATCAAGGGTCGGAATACTAACCTTCTAGCGAATGACCGACATGTTCATCAATCATACAAACAGCCAAGCATGCATTGCTTAACGGCTCTTGAAGTACTCGAGGAGGACGTTGAGACCCTCAGACTCCTCACCGTAGTCCTTGACGACGACGCAAGAGCAGCCGACGACCTTACGGGGGTTACCCTCGCGGTCGATCTTGCAGAGACCGGCCCAGGTGCCGAGGGTCTTGGGGTCGGAAACCTTGAGCAGGTCGATCTTGTGCTCGTTGCAGAGGGCCTCGATGAGCTTGAGGTACTCGGGCTCGTTGCAGGTCTCGACGAGAACGCAGAGGTGGGCCTGACGACGGTCAAGAGCCTTGGCGCACTCACGGAGACCACGGGCGAGACCGTCGTGGATGAGAGCCTTCTTGAGGACCTCCTGGAGAGCATCCTCGATGGACATGGCGCCCTTGGCGGGAGCGGCCTCGGCGACCTCGACCTCCTCGACCTGCTGGGGGACCTCCTCAACGTCGGACATTTTGTGATGAATGGAAAAGGTTGGCTTCTTCGAAAGGGATCGCTAAAAAGATTGAACGATAAGGCGATTCCTACTCAGCACGGAGGGTGAAGAATCGGAATACGAAAGGTAAAGATGTGGGTGGATGGTGTACGGGAGCAGCGTCGATGAGCACCGTTTGCATTGATCACACAAAGCGCCGCTTCTCCAGCTGCAGGCAGACTTTGCCTGGCTTGATTCGATTCCTGAAGCTTTCTCGCCTGCGATGCCAGACGTGGAACAAATTCCATCGGGCAGCACTGTCAGATCTTCCTCGAGCCACCTTTACCTCCCACCGAGCGACCGCTCAAGAACCTCGAATAAGACGTTCTATTTTGCACGTGATCTACAAGTATTACTGTAAAAAAAACGAAATCCGCTTCTGTAGCGTTGAATAAAGTATGTTGAATTCTTTCGAGATTTTGAAATAGTTTTAGGAGGGAGGCAGGAGAGCACTCTTCGAATCTTTCCCTCGATTTTGGATCCCTCGATGGCAGCCAGTCACTGATTGAGCAGCTAGAGGGCGGGCCAGCACAGGCTGCAGCACCTGCGAGCAGGGCCTGAGCCAGTGGGACTGCGAGGAGAGCAAAACCTCGAATTCGCGAAGACCTCGAATTGCGATCCAAGAGACTGAGCCTGAGTTGCAGTTTGTGATTGTGGCAGTTGCCAGTGTGTGTGGGTCTCTCGAGTCTGTTCATCATCCAGCTCGTCGTCACCACCATCCCTCAAGACCGTCACCCGTCCCTCTTTCTTCACCGTTTCTTCACCGTACACATCGCCCAACATGTCCAACGTCGAGCTCGGTGTTCAGACCGAAAAGGCTTTCCAGAAGCAGCCCATCTTCCAGAACTCCAAGGCTGCTCGCAAGACCACCCGCGACCGCCGATGGTACAAGGATGTCGGTCTTGGCTTCAAGACCCCCCGTGCCGCCATTGACGGTACCTACATCGGTAAGCATCCCATACGACACACAATCCAACATCTATCGCATTCGCATCGTTTCAGCACCAGCACGTCGCACTGCAGAAAGGTTCAATCGGGAAAAGCAGCAGTACATGCACATCACATCCCAAATTTTCCCAAAGTCACAAGCATCAGCATCCGCATTGTTTCGTCGTCTTCAGATACGATCTCAAAGGCCAGCAGCAGCAGTGTCGGAGGAGCATCATTGTTCGGCGGTATCAATCTTGGTCTGCATTCAGGACGGATGGAACTTCAGGTCTGGTTGGGCAGTCATGTCAGGGCCACCAAATGGTAACAACGTTGGGAAGCTGGCGCAGCTGTTGATTATCGGACGTCAGGCCAGCTACGGGTATCATCGCCGCCGTTGATATCGCCAAGCTCATAGACATGAAGTCGCGCCGTCGAGTCGCTGCAGATATCATCGGAGTCGGGACACAATCATCACAATCATCAGCACGGTTTGATCAGAGAAGTGGAGTGGATATCGACGCAGTCAGCAGCAGCGCTACTCAGACTTTACTGCCTGCATCCCAAACCGTCGAGTATCATGCCGAACCCTACGATCCGACCCGCTGCCCGCCAAACGCTGGCCGCTCCCTGTTGCCTATCCTTCCCAACCGATCGAATCACGATCGACATCCCGAAGAACCTTCGCTGCTGCCCTTATTTGCGACGACAAAGCCTCGAACGTTGATGGAAGGGACATGCTGGCGAATCCTGCGACACGCTGATAGATGGCAATACTTGGTAACTGCTCGAAACTGAATCACTGACCTTTCTATTGCATTCCCACTCGACTCTTTCTATCGCCTTTTGCATTGCATTCCCGGCCCATCTCAACAGACAAGAAGTGCCCCTGGACTGGTCTCGTTTCGATCCGTGGCCGTATCTTGACCGGCAAGGTCGTCTCTACCAAGATGACCCGCACCATCATCATCCGCCGAGAGTACCTGCACTTTGTGCCCAAGTACTCGCGATACGAGAAGCGCCACAAGAACGTTGCCGCCCACGTCTCACCCGCTTTCCGTGTTCAGGTTGGCGACACCGTCACCATCGGCCAGTGCCGTCCTCTCTCCAAGACTGTTCGTTTCAACGTGCTCAAGGTGTCCAAGAACAAGTCCGCCGAGAAGGCTGCCAAGCAGTTCGGTCGTTTCTAAACGATCGTTTTGCCAACACTAGAGCGTCGCGGTCTGCATTCCGTTGCTCTTGACTCAAGAGTGAAGAAGCGGCTGCGATGTCAAAAGTCACCACTGTCCTTCTACCCCCCAAAAACACTTGATCTCTTTCGGCAGGAGGGCGAGAGCCTGCTTTGAGATCCGTTGTACACCATCATCATACACATGCATTCCCGCCCCTTCACCTTTCAACTACTCTCCCGTCGTCATCATGTATTTTCCAGTCAGACTCTTTTCAAAGAACGAGCTGACAAAGCCCTCGCATTCTCAAATCGATGCACATGTCTCCAAAGAATGACCCGTTGAGAGCAATGTGCGTTGTGTGATTGCTAGATCAAGTGCTCGTGGCCATGGGTGCGGCTTGTCTGATGAAGACACAGAATGGAGCCGTGTTTGAGAAGAGACGGGCCGAACGAAGATGGTTTACGGCTTCTTAAATGTGCAAAAGAGACAGGCTAACAATTTCAGTCGGCGCGAAAAATCGATCACGCATTTCCAAAGCTGTGCTAGCAGAGGGCAGGCATCGGCGACAGCGAATCTCGAATCAACCTGACGCGCACAGACGCACTGCGTACGCCGAAGCGACGGCGTCAGGCGTGCACCTGCCAGTCGTAGAAGCAAAGTTGAGCACAACCAACACAACGACGTTCATCACCATCACTTCCTTCCATCACGCCTCTACCCTTCATAACTTGACCGTGGTTATACGCACGCAACCCATCGCGACAACTATCGCTCTCAGGACTCATCACTAGTCTCTATAGCAGATCTTCGATCGTCCAGCTGTCACCTGCTTTCTCGCACACACGCATCCAAACACATCCTAGCCGCGGTCTCGAATCCCACAATGGCGTTCGACTTTGGCGAGTCCAAACCATCCGATCCCACCGCCGACTTTCTCGCTCGTGAGCGCGAGGCCGCTGGAGTGCTTTCGGGCGATGCCGATCTCTTCGGCTCTTCCAACGCTGCAGGTGCAGGTGCATCCGCCGACGACTTTGAACGCTCAGCATCTGCTTTCCCCGCGCTAGACGACGACGGACTGCCCGCTGCTTCAGCTCCGATTGGCGGTGCGTCTGGTGGATTCGGCTTCGACGACTTCGAGGACAGGCCCGAACCCGTATCTGCTACCTCGAACAAGCCTGCTGCTGACGACGAGGTTGGAAAGTTTGAGCAGAACTTCCCAGAGTTGGATGACGGCCCTTCGACCAACACCAACGGCGCTTCTTACCATGATGATGCTGTACGTGGCTCGAACTCTTTCAACTGTTGTTGCTTGACCTTGATGCGGCAAAATGCTGACACTCCCACGCTTTGCTTTCTTCCCTTTCCTTCCAGGATGATCTTATGAGCGCACCCGCTGCTGCACACTCCCGCGCTGCCCCTACATCCACCATGCCAACATCCGCACCCACCTACTCATACCAGGAGCCAACCGAAGAGCCCGAAGCCGTGCGACAATGGCGTGAAGCCCAGAACGACGCCATCGCCAAACGCGACGCCGAAGAAGAACGCAAGAAAGCCGAAGCCATCTCCAAAGCCGAACAGGACATCGATAACTTCTACGCCGAATACAACGCCAAGAAGGAGAAGAACATCGCAGCCAACAAGGAGAACGACGCCAAGTTCCAGGAGCAACGAACGCGCGAACTGGCAGAGGGCACCACGTGGGACCGCATCACCAAGCTCGTCGAACTCAAGAACAGCCAGTCCAAGACCATCGCACGGGCCGGACCGGGTAGCAGCGATCTGACGAGGATGAAGGAGTTGTACTTGAAGTTGAGGAGGGAGGGCGAGAGGGCTCCTGGTGCGGCTGGTTACTGAACGCGAGCTGATCGGTTTTACCTGGAAGCCGTGCCAGCGTGAGACTGCTCGACACAGTCTCGTCATTTTTGTAGATTACCCTTGTTGCGCCTCAAGGCTCGCCGTCCACAGATTGTTTGAGACTGCGACCAAGCTTTGAACTCCCCATGGCGCGATTCTCTGAACAAGCGAAGCCTAGAAAGGCTCCGCACACGGCGAGTGGAGCTTGTTGACCTGGCTCAAACTCAAACCGCCCCAGCGCTCACACACTTTACCTCTTTCAGCATCACAACTCCCGAGAATGGATCGTGAATGATACATGCGAAGCCCCACATCTTACAAGTACAACTGAGTCAACGCACCCTAACTATGGCCCCTAACTCCAACCACGTCGGTCCCTCTACTGTCACAAGAAGTACTCTGGCGCTGGCCGTTTGGCCGGTACACCATGCGCCTCCTGTGCAGCAGCATCGAAAGTCTCGTACTTCTGATTCAGCGCATCGTCCAGCTTCAAGATGCTCGCCACGTTTCCGCACCGATAACAGTAGTTCGGTGCCGACCATACCGTGACGATGGTCTGGTCGAACATCAACTTGTAGCCTTCCAACACCAACTGGTGAGCTCTGGCGATGAGATCGAGATCGTTCCTGTGAGCGAACTGCTGCACCACGTCTCCACCGAACAGATACCCTGCACCTCTCGGAGACATTCCCCAACCGGAGATGTCGTCGGGATCTGACCAGAGCAGATCGCACATGGCGCCGTCGTGCGGTACCTCCTGCTTCCTATCGATGCTCCTGATCTGATCCAGCGTCGTGATGCTTGGACTCAACCCACCGTGAACGCAAAACACCCTCCCATCCACCACCGCCCCCAGCGCCAGATAGTCAAACACTTCGCAGCAGTACCTCCAAACATTGACGCTCCCGTACTTCCTCACGCACTCGTCGTAAAACCCGTACACCTGCGTAATCTGTCTCGACTCGTGATTCCCACGTATCAACGTGATTCGATCCGGATACCTCACCTTCAATGCCAAGAGCAGCAAAAAGGTCTCGACAGAGTAGAACCCGCGATCGACGAAATCGCCCATGAAGAGGTAATTCGTCTCGGGACACATGCCGCCATGCTTGAAGAGCTCCATGAGGTCGAAGAATTGGCCGTGAATGTCTCCGCATATCGTGACGGGCGCATCGACGTGTTGAACGTTACCTTCTTCGATGAGGATCTCGCGTGCTTTGAGGCAGAGCTCCTTGACTTGGGTTTCGGAGAGCGGTTGACATTTTTTGAGTTGCTCGATTTGCAGATCGAGATCGCTACCCATGATGGGCTGTGATGAGAATGAAAGAGGCAGCACAGGCCAGCCTGGCTATCCTGCCGAGTGAGGTGGGTCGGTGAAGCGTCGAGGGTAAGATGCGGGTCGGTGCGGATACGTCTGATCGACAGCAGAGACTGCGGATGCTGAGGTTGCCGGCCGTAGTATGCTTGCCGTGCGCGACTTGATTCGGTGCGAGGCCGCGATGAGCCGTGACAATGTATAGCGGTAGGTGCTAGAGGGGATGCGATACGTCTAGATGCTTTTGGTACAGCTATGCGGAGCGGCGATGCGATAATGAGGTGATGTGACCGGTTTCGATGCGATTGAACAGATGCTCTAGAGGCTGTAGGGCGGATGTGAGCGTGAAGCAGATGACAAGACGATGCGATGTGGCGATAAAGTGATGGCCTGGAGCTTCGCCTTTTGTTTGAATCAGGATTGACGAGGAGATGGAGGTGGTCGTTTGACCCTGCGATGCGAAGTAGCTGTCAACTCGAACCGGTGGAATTAGCCGTGTGGCTGCACGTCGAGTAGATTGCAGACACACAGCGAGGTGCGGGACGTGTCGAGCTGTCTGTTTGGCGCTGAGTTTCCGACAAGGCTCGAATTTCATGGAGAATTTTTATCGAAATCGAATTCTGGACTCCACACGCGATGATGATCCTCACTGCAGGCACAGCTTGAAGGAGAGCCAGTCGAAGCGACTCACTTAGACCCTGACTCGAGTGCCTTCCGGCGCCACTGAGGAGACACGCGGACATTCCGAGATGACACGAATCGTATCGAGAGCTCGCTGTATCACTACAAGTAGTCGAGCCGAAAAGATGTCTGCTCGACCGGACCGACATGAGGCTGCTCGAGAGCCGGGTCGGAAGCTGCTGCAGGTTGCAGGCTTGAGCTTCTTCCAGCGGCCGCTTCTCGCGTGGAGACGAAAGAGTCGTCATGTTGCTTTCCCAGATCAGAGTCGGGTGTACCGATAGTAAGCATTGCAGAAGCATTCTGCATGTTCGAAGGGATGCAGCAAGGAGAAGCACTGGCAGGCGCGGACCTCTGACAGGAGACAAAGACGCCGTTACATGGTAAAGACGAGCTCCATCGAACTCGGCCACCGTCAGTCTGGCCGTGCCGCAGGCTTCGCTTCGTCAAACCTCACAAGGTATCTTCCTTCTTGAATGCAGCGAGTCAAGGCTCGTCCGATGGCGCTGAAGTTCCGAATGGCGTAGTTGGCCCAAATCTAGCCAAGCTTCCGTTCTTGATTCGGAGAGAGCCGTCGGCTTGCACATGAGCCTTGCGACTGGACCCTGAACGGAAGTTGTTGTCCATTCGGCGGTGGAAAGAGACCTCGAGCCGCCTTCGGCATTTTCCCGCGTCAGTCGAAACGGAGCACGCTGCGAAAAAGTCGGGATGACTCCGAAAAGCGGGGCAGCAGGCAAGTTCAAGGGCAATTTTATCGGCCAAAAAAAGGGACTTTGCTACAGTAATCAGACCAAAAATCCTCGACTCGGGCCAACATTCAACGGCGACGTCGTTAATTACGACGCTTCTTCTTGACTACATTCCGTCTTCCCATCCCTTACCTTGTCAAGACGTCGCGTGTCCACGGCAACTTCACCATTGGCATAAACACTAACTCCTGCCTGAGCTAGGTCGATCGTACCTGACTCCTTCAAATCATGTTGGCCGTGCCAACGAGAGCACCCGCCACAGGGCGAACGCTCGCGAGGCTCGTGCGCCCTGCCGTCTCAGCAGAATCTTGCGCACTTCGCCCTGTCTCTTCGGCACTCCCACGGGCGTTCAGCACGTCGGCTTCTTCCGCGTCGACGCACTCGACCCTTGGTCCTCGCATCACGGTTCCTGCACAGCGCTCGCCCCGACGACAAGCACAGCTTGCGCTGCGTCGAAGTCTGGCCACCGTCGCTCGCTCCGATGTCTTTGCCAACATTTCAGCAGCCGACATCGAAGCGTTCGCCAAGATTTTGCCCTCTCCCTCGCAGATTCTCACGACCATCTCGCCCGAATCCGGCTCAGCTGCTTCCTACCAGGCGGTAGATCCGAGCGAACTCGACACTTTCAACAACGACTGGATGAACAAGTATCATGGCAAATCCCAACTTGTGCTCAAGCCAAAGACCACAAAGGAGGTTTCGGAGATCATGAAGTACTGCCACAGCAAGAACATCGCCGTCGTTCCACAGGGAGGAAACACAGGTCTTGTCGGTGGCGGTGTGCCTGTGTTTGACGAAGTGATCATCCAGCTTGGCGGTCTCAATCAGATTCGTTCGTTCGACGAGGTTGCGGGAACGCTCGTCTGCGACGCAGGATGCATCCTCGAGAGTCTGGACAACCACATTGCTGAAAAGGGTTACATGATGCCGCTCGATTTGGGAGCAAAGGGTTCCTGCCACATCGGAGGCAATGTGGCGACGAACGCTGGCGGACTGCGATTCTTGCGCTACGGTAGCTTGCACGGCAACGTTCTCGGCCTCGAAGTCGTGCTTCCGGACGGTACTGTCATGGACAACCTCTCGACCCTGCGAAAGGACAACACCGGTTTCGACCTCAAGCAGCTCTTCATCGGATCCGAGGGTACGATCGGTCTCATCACGGGTGTATCCATCGTCACCCCGCGTCGACCCTCGGCGATGAATGTAGCCGTGTTTGCGCTCGACTCTTACGAAGCGGTGCAGACCGTCTTTGGCCAAGTCAAGAAGCACTGTGGTGAGATCCTGTCCGCGTTCGAGTTCTTCGACCAGACGTCGTTCGATGTTGTCCAGAAGCACGCTACAGCACACGTGCGTGATCCCTTCGAGGCCCGCCACCCTTTCTACGTGCTCATCGAGACCAGCGGCTCCAACAAGGATCACGACGACGAGAAGCTTCAGGTGCTCCTCGAGCATCTCATGGAGGAGGGCATGATTCAGGACGGTGTCCTCGCTCAAGACGAGACCCAATTGCAGGGCCTCTGGGCTTTGCGAGAGAGCATCCCCGAAGCAGCAGGAAAGATGGGTAAGGTGTTCAAGTACGACCTCTCGATGCCCATCAACAAGATGTACGAGCTGGTGCTCGACATGCGTAAGCGATTCGACGAGCACGGTGTGCACGGAGAGGGCAAGGATGTCGGAGCCGTGTGCGGATATGGACACATTGGCGATGGAAACCTGCACATCAACATTGTGGCCAAGTCGTACGACGAAAAGATCGAGAACATCATCGAACCGTACATCTACGAGTGGACTTCGGAGGTCAAGGGCTCGGTGAGCGCGGAGCATGGATTGGGTTTGATGAAGGCGACCAAGATCGGGTACTCGAAGACGCCGGAGAGTATCGAGTACATGAAGAAGATCAAGGATCTGTTTGATCCGAAGGGTATTTTGAACCCTTACAAATACATTCAGGTGTAGATGCAGAGGTTCGATGCGGAGATAAAGTGCAAAACGTCCTCTCAGTCAAGGTGCGTGTGTTCTATCTGTGATATGTAGTCTGTGTATCGCTGGCGAGTACGACGCTGGAGAGAATGAGCACGAGGAGGAGGGAAGCGGCTCGATCCGAAGTGTGGAATCGGGATTCGGAAGGTGACGCTGCTCCACCTGCGATTTTTTGAAGGTTCCGAGCGAGCACGACTGAGCATCAATTGGAAGTTTCTTACCTCACGCACGACCAACTCCCTTTCACCCATTGTCACGCCCTCCTCACCATTCCTCACCCATCTAATACCAATCCTGTCACAAGGTTCCATCACCTAATCATCAAAATCGTAGATCTCGCCCAGTATGTCGACCTGGGTCTCTCCCTCCATGTCCCGCTTCAATCAAAGCTCCACCTCCACCACAACCTCCTCCTCCCACGCCTCCGACCAGCCATCACCCTACGCACCTCAATACGAACCCATTCAACTCGGCTCCTCCTCCCTGCTCAAGCCTCTCACACCACCTCAGGTGTCCAATCTCACACCGTCCACGTGTCTCGCCATCTCGGAGTTCAAAGATCTCCTCCGTCAGTATCGGCAGTTGGACGATGGGATCACGACACGACTCAACCGAAGCTTCGCACGGTCTCGTGCTCTGGGTCAATCAACATCGCCATCACTGCTGTCTTCGAGCAAGATGAACTCGGCGAGCTCGATGGATTTGGGTACGAGTACGTACGGTACACCGGCACCGGGAGCATGTGCTGCATTCTGGAGGGAACTCGTCGACGTGTGGATCGGTCGAGAAGAAGTTGTGAGGTTTTGCATTCAGGTCGCCGACCAAGCATCGAACCCAACTCGATCAGCAGCAGTAAATGCCGGTGCAGATAGCTTGCTGGATGCGGACTTTCGACCAAAACAAGAGAACAAGACGGAAAAATGGAGCCGAGCAGAGAATACATCAGAGACGTTGGCGAGACAGCTGCACAACGAGCTCAAGGTGGAGAGCATCATTCGCGCGAGGAGTCTGGACGCTTTCAAGTCGAGGTGCAAGTTCTTCACACCGAGTCCACAGGCAGGACCGGAAGGGGAGAGGGAGAGAGCGATGTGGGAGGGTAGACCGACCCCGGCGGCGATGGCTAGTGCAGATGGCGTTAGTAGGCCTTAGAAGAGTGTCTTACGAAGATGTAATGGCAAACCACAACTCTTCACAGAAGAACAAGCATCGTCAGGTGATGTTGAGCATTGAGTCTACGCTAAGTTCGCCCAAGGAAGCGCGGACTGCACAGGGGTTGCTACTGCATCGTCAACCCGTCCTTTCGACAGGTCGGACATCCTCTCTTGCCAACCAATGTCGATCGCAGCCTTGCTTCGTACCTCAACCGTGCCTGGAAGTTGGCCACCTCATCTTGAGCACGTTGCAGCGGTCCGTAGTTCGACAGCTCCACCAGCGATGTTTGCGACACCTGGTTCGGCGCACCTTCCTTCTGTGCGATTCCTTCCACTCCATCCTCCACATCCTCGGCTTCGAATCCAACGTGCGATACCCTGTTCCACCTGTGCCTGATACTCGGTGTTCCCGCAAATGCCTGCGTGACCGTACACTTGATCTCCATCCCCCCTCCTCCACCCTCCTTCTCGCTCACCACCGGAACGTTCGCCGTCGGCAACAAACACGTCAGATGGTGAACATGCCCACACAGATACACCACCACCTTCGGCTGTCTCGCCCGCGTCCACGTATCCCCCTTTCCCCCTCCCACCCCTGCCCCCGCTCTGCTCGCAAACAAACTCGCTCCACAACTAGCGCAAACAGACTCGTCGTCCACATAGCTCGCGTACAGCTGCGACCTCCTCAGCTCGTCCGACAACACCTTGGTATCGTGACTCAAGATCGCCTCGCACCCCTCCAATAGACTGATCTGAAGCGTAAAGTCGGACAGGATCTTGATCAATGCCGCTTTCAATCCGGGAATCTCCAACCCGTTCTTGATCCGTCGAATCAAACGGATTGGATCGATCTCTGCTCCAACGTTCTCCAGCAAACCCCGGATGAAGGCGGGTCTCGATTCCGAATATCCCAGGAGATCCTCCCAAAGATCATCGTCGTTCTGCTCTTTGGCGAAGTCGATCGCTCGTTCCACGTCTCCCAGTCGTTCGATAATGAGCGACAGCGCGCGTTTGTTGTCCCCGACTCTTCCGAGCAGGAAGACCATCTCGGGGACGTAGTCGTGCTCTTCGCAGATGGCGTAGGCTTTCTCAAAGCTGTAGAACGAAGACATGGCGCGTAGGTACGACATGAGACGACCCGCTTCGTACTCGGCGTACAGTTTGACTTGAACGTCGCAGAACGGTGTTACTTGCTGCGGGTCCCGGTCGAACAGCGCATCGAGGTACATGTAGAGGTATCGAGGATGCGATTCGAGCTGTGCGATCACGCGACCGATCGGGATCGAGTAGGTGTGATCGACGAGCAGGTCAATGGCTGCACCGTGTTTCGAAACCTGTACCGTTCGCCTCGTCTTGAGGTCTTCTTCGAATTCGATCAGCAGCAAAGCTTGGTCTTGCACTGCGGTGAAGAGGTTGTTCTCGCGGATCAGGTCGAAGACGTTGGCTCGACGCAGCCGCAGGTAGTACTGCAACGCTTTGCCCGGTTGTCGGTTGCGAATGTAGATCTCGGCAAGACACTCCATCAATAGCTTTTCTTTCCCCGCTGGCTTCCTCCCCTCCCCCGACTTGAGCCGATCTTCGATCGCAAGCACCACCGCAGCAGTCGAATAAATCTCGCTCGGCCATTCCTTGATCGTCTCCAGTAGCTTGTCGAGATCGTGTTGCAGGAAGTGCGCGAGGAGCATATCGTACACCACCTCGCTGAGCGTCGGATCCGACGTCGGTATGAACGGGATAGCAAGACCCAACTTGCCCTTTTCGACAAACAGGAAGATCCAGTCTTCCCACGCTGACACGTTGCGTCCGAGGATCTTGCTGGCTACGCGTGCCGCTTCCGAGTAACGTTCCTCCTCGACAAGCCAATTGAGGTATTTTTTGCCGATCTCTTCCGCATCAAAACCGTTCTGCAGCGCTGCAGTTCGACCCATGGCTTCGATCTTGACCAGCGCTTCCTGGAATCGCTGTCGCTCGAGCAGCCATTCGACATGGTCCTTTTCGTCTCGCGGCTTTGACACCACGATGTCCTTTGGGCTGACCACGTAGAACTGCTGTGCTTCTGTCGAAGCTTGCCGCACCTTGCGCCCAGCTAGCAGTGCCGCCGAGTATGCATGCGCCTCGATCGACGGTATCAACAGGTAGTCGTTGCACTGGAACCGCGAGTAGTCGTTGAGACTGAGAACGTCTGAGCTCAGCTCTTCGCCCGCACGGCTGATGATTCTCAGCTCTGGTCGCAGAGCCTCTCGGCGTTTGAACGCCCGGGAGACCGAGCCATTTTCTTGATCGTCATCTTCATCGTCCGACTCTTGCGGCTCTTCGGTCACATAAGCGAGCACGAGGTAATCCAGTCCGTACGGTGCGATGCCCGAGATCATGCAATCCAGTTGAAAGATGGCTGTGATCTCGACGTAATACTGCGGATGAGCTGCACTTGCTCCGGGGACGCCGACCTTGCTGAGCGCTGATGCTGCATTTTGCGTTGAGTTGGAAGCAATGCTCGCGCTGGAAGAGCCTGTAGCGCCAGCAGGTTGCTTTTGCTTGATTTTGGCCACCTTGATGTGGTCGGCCCATGCGATGAGCAGGGTGCGGTCGTCCTGCCAGTAAAGTGAGCATCGATGCAAATCTCCGCGCACGTCTTTGCTTGGCGGACTGATGAAGCTGATCCTCTGCTTTGCTTCGGCATCATATACTCGAACTCCCTTGTCGCTGGCCCAAGCGATCATGTTGCCCCTCCATCTCGTCGTCCAAATCGGTCCCTCGCCCGAATGCAGCACCGTCTCCTTGTGACCCAGCCAGCCCTTTTCTCTATGCGTGAGCGAGCCAGCCATTCCTCCGCATACGAAGGCACGAGACGATTTGCGACCAAAGTTGGGCTCGAGAGAAATGCACCTCATGGGACGCTTGAAGTCGAAGATGTACTGCTCTGCAGTCGCAAGCGCAGAGATGGACACGAGGCCGTCCATCGAGGCAGCAGCGACAAAATCGGATGTATTGTCGATGACGAGGTCGAGAATAGATGCTGTGTGGAGGCGAAAGCCTTTGACGAGGTTGCCATCGATGTCCAGGATGTAGACCATGCCGGCGTGGGTGCCGAGTGCCATGAAGCGGGACGAGAGGGCGAATGCAGAGGCAGTGTCGCGCTTGAGCACGTCGCTGACGCCGCCTTTGACGCGCGAATACTTGAGCGATGGCTCAACATCTTCGTCTTCTTCATCGTCGTCGTCTTCTGAGCTTCCCTGTTCGTCTTCGTCGCCCACATCGTCCGAATTCGAATCACCGCCATCATCGCCGTGTTCTCTGTCTAGTCGCTTCTCCGTCTCATCTTTCCTATCCGCTACCGATGGGGTTTTCTGGTCGAGCTGCTGTGCTGCAGGATGAGAGTCGTCCGGCTTTCTGGTTGACGGCACGGGTGAGTCTTTCGACCTCGATTCGAGATCATCATGCCGGTCCGAGTCCTCATTTGTGGCCTCGGTAGCCATTATACGCTCCTCTTCTGGCATCTCGCCTTCGAGCAGCACCGTCATCCTCTTTTTGCTTGCTGCCTCGGCCAATGAGTCTCGACTGGACTCGCCTCTGGGTAGGGACGGCCTCTTACGCCGTGGCACGGGAGAAGTCGGTAGCGAGTCCAAGGAGCTCGTGCTTGCTCTCCCTGCTGATGATGTGCTCTCTGTCCTCTTTAAGGAATCTGGCCTGCGCTTGTGCGTGTACCTTCTGGGTGAAGTGGGTCCTGCCGCTGCCAGGATCTCTGCTGCCAGCGACATGCCTTCGCCTTCTCTCCGTGAGTGCTCACCGTCAGCTTTCTTGTCTTTGTCGGAAGGCTCCTGGGCTGACTCGGCGGGTGCATAGTCCATCTCGAGATTTCCCGCTTCCTCGTCATCATCATCGGGCATCGTCACGCCCTCCGTATCCTGTTGTGTACGTCCGCCATCTCCCGCTCGTGAACTGTCGGCGTCATCGTCCCTGTCGATGTGGCGAAGGTCAGATGCGGCATGCTCTGGATGAGCCTCCTCCGTGGCACCATCATTGCCCTGAGAGGTGGTTGTCCGCAAAGCTGGCCGGTCTCGACGACCGAAACCGCGTGTCGCAAAAGTGGGAAAGTGGAGATCGGCTGCCTGCCTTTGTCGGATCTCGTCGGCAAGCTTTACGGTCTCTTCGGGAGATGTCATGACGAGCGACGAAGAATGAGTCCCACAGGCCGTTGTGGCCTCGCTGGAGGGGAGCTAGACGTAAAGGTCTTCACTGTTCTATGAGCTCGGCATGCCAGAAAATAAGAGTGACGTGCAACTCTGAGACCGGTCGGGCGCTCTTCGAATGCGCGTTAGGACTGCGCTGAACTGAAGATAGGCTGTGCGTGTCGGCCTCCGATACTCTCCGACGGTCGATACGCAAGGAATGGGAAGTCGGGCTAGGTTAAGGAGGCAGTTGATGATGGATGAGCTAGTCTGAGAGTCGAGTGAAGCGTGTGACAGGTTTGAGTGGAGGATGCAAGGCGTATTGGAGCGATCCGTGCATCAGAGTATTTGATCTTTTTTTAAGGTATATAGGCGCAAAAGCCGATCTACCGCATCGTATGGCAAGATGGCCGAGTGGTCTAAGGCGTAGCATTAAGGAAGATATTCTGAGCATTCAGG